GTAGCACTGATTGTAAAAGGCAGAAATCCTTCTTAGGAGATCGATTTGTTACACAATTAAAGAAGAATTTTAGTATCATTCAGGAAAACTAAATGGAGAGCCAAGACATTGCATCAGCACAAATGGCATTGGAGATGCTTTATAAATAGTAAATACTGGAATAGGAACCCATATTTGAGTCAGACTCAATGTAATTTATCAATCAAAGTGGATTTTAATACAATCAGCAGAATAATTTCGACATCCACAACTCCAAAATTTACAACAGGTAGATGCAATAATTAATAATATCACTAGTATTCTGATAGATCATAAGTACTTCACAATATCAGAAACTCTCTCTAATTATTACGGTAAGTATGTGCGAAAAATACCGAAAGTTCCATTTAAAGTTCTTGATGCACCACAACTTTAAGATGATTTTTATTTGAATCTGATTGATTGGAGCAACTAGAATTCCTTATCAGTTGCATTGAATTCTTGCGTATATTTATGGTATAAATGACTATTAATAATTTCAGGAATGCATAATCTTCGAAAGTTACAAAATTGTTGGATCTCCATAATGATTCAGTTACAAGTGTGGCATGGTCACTTAGAGGACCGCATTTGGCTGTTGGAACCAAGACAGGAGAAGTCTAAATTTGGGATGCTATTAAATTATAGAGAGTTCGCACTTACAAGGGACACATTGCAAGAGTAGGGACATTGTGCTTTTCAGATAATGTGCTGAGTAGTGGCTCAAGAGATAAACTAATATTGTAGAGAGATTTGCGATTAAAGGGAAATTACTTTCTGAAACAGTCAGCCCACAAATAAGAAGTTTGTGGTTTGAAATGGTCACCTGATGGGTAGATGCTAGCCTCAGGAGGTAATGATAATAAACTGTATCTTTGGTCTTCACATAAACAGGATAAACCCATATTTAGATTGTCTGAACATTAGGCTGCAGTAAAAGCGATTGCATGGAGTCCACATCAACATGGATTGTTGGCAAGTGGGGGAGGCACTGCAGATAAGACAATTAGATTCTGGAATGCTCTTGAAGGAAAATCGTTACAAAAAGAAGACACTGGTAGTCAAGTCTGCAATCTCATGTTTAGCAAAATTGAAAATGAACTTATATCGACTCATGGATATAGTCAAAACTAAATAGTTCTTTGGAGATGTAGCAATATGAAAAGGATCTCTACATTGGTTGGACACACATGCAGGTATTATCCATATTTAAATATAGAGTACTTTATCTAGCAATGTCACCTGATGGATCAACCATTGTTACTGGAGCAGGAGATGAAACCTTACGCTTTTGGAATTTATACCCTCAAACCAATTAAGATTAAAAATAGCCTAATGGGTCTTTGCTTATTCCAACTATTCGATGATCATTTTGACAATTCTACTTAATATTTTTATAAATTTATTAAATTTATAATCAAATACATTTGATATCAATAGGTCTTATGCTAACATAAATATGAGTATGAATTAAAAATTAAGGAGATGAGTTTAATAGAAATTTAAATAATTCATTATTTCTCTATAACTAAAAAATACATATTTGAATGAAGACATGTTGCTATTCAATTTTGTTGATCCAAAAATTGTTATAGATGAATTAGTATCGGATAACTAATTCTTATTTTAGTATAAACCATAATTATGTAAAATTTGAGCTCTAATGAAATTAGTATATTAAATCAAAGAAAAAGGGGTTAATGATAAATTGAAAAAGGAAGTTAAAATATTAGTAGGGTGCCTCATAAAAACAAAGCATTCAAAGACTAGAAAGCTATGTTATGAAAAATCAAACTCAATAGATATATATAGGATATGGTTTATCTTATCCCTTCTCTAAGTGAAGTATATTATGGGTAGATAAGAAGCAGAATGTGTTTAAAATGAAGAATCCATTAACAGTTATTTATATTATAATAGTAATAGTTTACAAGTGTTTGATAACTGAAATTTAATTCCATATCATACCCTAAGAGTACTACGAATGACAGCCAGATATTGAATGAATTTCTACGAGAAATATGGTTGGTATATATGGAATGTAAATGAAGGAGTGAGAGAAGTTTAAAGCTGAGATTATAATAGTATTTGATGTAAAAATTATTAAATAATAATTATGAATCCAAAATAACCTGTATTTGTTTAAGGTATATGGTAAATTCAACATAGAGGCTAAGTTGGACAATTATGAAATTGTGAAACCTCTAGGCTAAGGTGCTTACAGTGAGGTTGTGTTGGCAAAAAGTAAAGTCACTGGGCATGAATCTGCTCTGAAAATTGTGGATAAGGCTTTTCTAGTTAAGGTATGGCAATTCAATAAGGTCAGGAAAAAAAGATGCATCATGCTTGCATTGAAAGAGAAGTGTTGGCATATTTGAGACACAAAGGAATCATCAAGCTATTCCATTCATTTGAAGACTAGTCCAAATTGTATTACTCGTTGGAATTGCTAAACGATGGCAATCTATTGGAATACATCAACAGTATTTAATAATTTAAGATAGAGTATAATTTTAATGAAAAAATGATACAATTTTATACTGCTGAACTTTTATTAATTTTGGAGTACTTACATCAAAATGGTTTGGTACATAGAGACGTAAAGCCAGAGAATATTTTATTGACTAAAGACAAACATCTGAAATTGATAGATTTTGGAACAGTATTTGTTTATGATGAATCAAAAATAAGTATTGGGACCAAGTTGGAAGAAATTAGAATTCAATACCAAAAACAACGATCTCCTTCCTTGAATGATTTCGAAAAGCCTCCCATTAAATATTGCAGAGATTCTAGTTTTGTTGGTACATCCGAATACCTGTGTCCAGAACTCATTGACTATAACGTAGTTGGACCTCAAGCTGATTTATGGGCTTTAGGATGCTTCATTTATCAATTGTACACTCATCGAACTCCATTCTATTCCGATAACGAGTTTCAGTTATTCCACAACATCAGTTAATGCGAATGGGAGTAAGACCAAAGAATTCCAAATGATGCTTTGGAATTAATCAAAATATTATTAGATAGAAACCCATAAAATCGATTTTATGGAGATCTCAATGGTATAATGCTCTTACAATTATTAAGATTCCGACTATAATTACGATAGTTTGAAGAAGCATCCCTTTTTCACAGGAATAGACTTCACTCATATTTGGCTGCAAGATGTTCCCCAACCCAGTATACACACATAAAAGAGGAAATTAAGTAGATTTCAAACTACCATGTTGGACAAATAAAAAGAGAGAGAAAAGCCTGATATTAGGGGCAATTCAGTGACTAAACATTAGACTGATCAAATAGTTTTAAAGGGGAATGTAGATAAAGAACACGGTGTATTATTTATGACTTCGTTTTCTATAAGGTATGCCGATATCAGTATACAGGGTGGCATACCATATTTTAATTACATAAATCCACAGTTGAATAATAAACTGGTATTTAATAGAGTTTATATATAATTAGACTATTATTCCTTTGAATTAATTCACTTCGTGCAGATTATTAGGCAAGGGTAAATTCATTGTAGGAGACAAAAATAAGAAAAAGTATATCTTTAAAGAACGAGATCACGATGTAACAGCTTAGTAATGGGTGAATACTATGAATAAATATATTAATCTTAATCATTTCTGATTCTGATTTATTTAATATTTGCTATTATAAGCTGCACTTACTTATTATATTCATATTGGTTCTTGTTTATTTAGTCAGTATTTATTTTATTTATTCAAATCAAAGGACTAGCTGGGATGATAAATTCTCTATTGCCTTAAATTATATTCTACTTAATTTTATGATTACTCTCGTTAAATTTATTCACTCGTATTAGGTTTGTCTATAAAAATATATAACTTAGAGATTTATACTATTTGTGAAAGTGTGATTTTGTGCTACATGTTTAATTCTTAAGTGTAGATTGCTTAAAATAACTATATATGATTAGTATTTAAGCGAGGATATTTCTCTCTTATGTAGATTTTAATTCTCTTAAACCTAGAATTATTTTAATTACTTTTAGGATATATATGATCCTAAAGGTATGAAGTAAATAAGAACGGGAATTGGTAAATAATGTTTGTTGATGAGAATAGAATTAAATTCTAAGAGGATTGGGCATGGAATATTAAATTGTTGAGTAAAATTATTATTTAAATAATTATATTGTGGGATTGTAAAATCTGTTAAATAAAATAAAATAGAAAATACAAAAATCTCTTACTTTTTTATTGAATTTGATTATTACGATGGTTATTCGTGTTATTTGGATTTTTTGATTGATTAATTTTATATAAATGAATATAGTTACGTTATTATAAAAGTAAGAGAGAACAAAGAGGGATGTGTAAGCCTTGATTGAGTGTTTAGGATAGGTAAAGTTCTTAAACTAGTTGAATAATGGTCAAAAGTTATATTAAGCAACATTGAGGGGATTTGCTGAGAAAGCTACACTAATTCGATACGAAAAAGGTAAGTTGTTGATTGATTAATGAAGAATAGGACACATTATTTGGAGGGATGGGATCAAATAGGAAAAACTATTTATAATTTTAAATGGTCGAGTGTAGGAATATGTATAATTAGAGGATGAGGAAATTAATAAAAAGAGAAGCGATCTGATTCAGCGTTATCCAGAGTGCTAAAATCTATTCATAAATAAGCCTGGAAGAAGAATAGTCTATGAATATGAGAGTGAAACAACTGATTTAATTAAAGCATCAATTAATGATAATATGAGAAGAAGGAGAAGTCTGGTTTTCGATATACCTTCCATGGCTGATGTTCCTCTTATAAGGAGTTCATCGGTAATTTAGAAGAATGTGTAACCATTCTCAACGATAACAATCAACGAAGTATGCAATATTGTATAATGTAATTTAGGCTCCATTATCTTATATGATAGTGTTGAGTAGGGAGGTCAGAGATTGTCTTAGGGAAGTGAAATTGATAAATGATTATCATTTGCAGTACTTTATTGAAGAATTTGTGTTGGCAGTAAGATAAGGTAGAATGTTTTCGCACGGAGAATTGTTGAACTCTGATATCTCTAAGAAGAAGTATGACAATACATTGCTATGTCTTGAAGACACAATGATCATGCAAATAGGTTTAGAAGATTATCATAATATTGAAATCCACTTGAATTAAAGAAAATAATAGAAAATTTGGGATTTGATTTATTCTGGTTTGTTTGGAAAGAGCAAAGTCAATTAGGAAGATGTGAATCAAATCATGAAAGTGTTGGTCAATAAATATACTTCGAAAAAGTACACTTAATACAACATAGTCTACATCCAAGGAGAAGTTCAAAAATTCATATACTTAGTTAAAGAGGGAGAATTTTAATTATCCTTTGATAATCAAGAAAGCGTATTATAATCTACTACTGTGATTGCAAAGGTGAGTTAAGGATGTCTATTAGGTGAAGAATCCTACACAGCCAATCGGCACATCTTTAAATGTACTAGCATAACTTCGAAGAACAAAATAATCGGCCTTAGCATTCATGATTTAGAAGCCTTAGGCCATAAATTTGTTTGGTTTAGAGACCTACTGAAGAACAAGGAGAGAATTAAATAACAGTGGTTGAAGACAAGAATGAATGAGAATGTGCACTTCAGTCTTAAATTAAATGAGAAACAATAGAATTTCGAAGAAGAAAAGAAATTGCTATCTGAATTCATAGTGCCTGATCCGACAATTCAAATAACCTAATTCTAAAGGTTGTAACCCAGTCGTCCTTAGATGGTTACGCCTTCCCCTTTAAAGCGTCCTAAATTAATTAAAACAAACACTTAGAGGAATATTAATACTAGTAGAAATAACAGCAAGGGGAGCACTAAGAAATTGGAGAATTTGAACATATTTGGAAATGAAATCTTGTGTGAATTGGGTATAGGTAAGATAGCCACTTAAAATACAAAGGTTAGTAGTTTTGAACCAACTGATCATTCATTAACATATAGAGATACTAGCAGACTATTACTAAAGAAAATTAGGAGAACATCAAATTACAATTCATCTTAACCAGTGTCTCATAGAGATAATAGCACAATGACAAATGAGATTGATGTTGTACCCATGATGATGAATATGAATAAGAATTAGCTCCAATTCCTGAAAACTATGGTAGGCAAGTTTAACTATAAGAATTCTCAACCTACTGAGTGCACAAATCAATAGAGTACTCCTGTTTTCATACAAAGTATCTATCCGAAAAGGATTGTGAGGAGGACATGGCAAGGGTATGATTGAAACTGCATTAAAATGTTCAATATATTCCAACTTACTGTAATAATTAATTGAAGTAATCTAAATGTTCTTCTTTCTTAATTCATTTACAGCAATCCACTTTCTTATCTCAGACATCCCAATTTTCATTTTTGATTAATTAATATGCAAGATAAATCTAATACTAATTCAAGTGTCATTGAGTCTTAATCGCAGAAGAAGGGAGTTGAAAGTTTTGAATAGCAGAAAAGGAAACGAACACGCAAGGTCAGCGATGCACTTCGCGTACATAAGTGTGAGTGTGGGAAGTCTTACTTGAGTTATCCAGCCTTGTACACTCACAACAAATAAAAACACAATGGGGTTTACAAATGACATAATACTGTAGTAATCTCTAAAGAACCTAGATGAACAAAGACAGGATTCGACGATTTCGGAGTCTCAGACTCAATACATCTTCGCTACTCTTGCAAATGCCTTAGGTAAGTAAGAAGACCAACAACAGACTTCTCTTACAAACAAGGACATGTATGATCTCGTGATGTGGGAAATCTAGTTATATATGATGGAATCTGATTCCAAAGAGTTTCGATTAGACTATTATCATGAATTATTGAAATAAAGTTCTCCGGCTGAAGTCTCCACTCCTCAGCATGCCTTCATCAAGTTCATTCATGAAGTCAAAGAAGTCCTGAGCTTTGAGTAGATGAAATTAGTCTTTCTTTTTGTGTATTCCTTCAGACAATTACTCTTAGAGAATCCAGATTGCCCTACGAGTAATTTGGTTGAGAAGGCTAACCAGCTGATTTGTTCTCAATTAGAAAAGGTTTTAAAAAACATCGAATAACTTTCGGACCGACATTATATAGTACATTTAAGTAGAATGGGAAATCTGCGAGAAACTATGATCCAAATTGTGCTCAGCTTTTGCAATTGGCTCTATGCTCGTAATTTGACTGATGACAAGTTATCTCTAAAGAGTGATTCGGATTGATTTTTTTATATCTATATAAGCAATCATTCTTTGGGACCTGTCTCTTGTTTGGTTAATATAATCTTATTAGGGTCGAAAGGCCACCTATCTATAAGCTACTAGGGTTTGTCTAAGTAACTACCGTCCCCAAAATTGACTTTTAGCCCATATAATTTGCCCTAAAAAGATATTTAAACATTAAAGATACCCAAAATGGAGGATGTCCAATGTCATTTACTAAATGGAGGTACAGTTTATTTGGAATCATGTGTGTTGCCTCTAGAGTATGTTCTTGGATTCCAGCTGGTTGTAAAACATAAGCTCTCACTTCATGTTAATGGTAACCAAAATATACAAACGTCCACTGATAAGGTTTAACAGTAAATGAATGTTGTAAAGATTCAAATGAAGGATCCTTTATTGTATAAGTTGCAGCCATTAACTCATCAACCTTAGTAAAGAGAGCCAGTGTCCTGTCTCCAATAAATTGATTGTCCTATCCTACTTCTTCATTATTGGAAGTCAGTCTTAACAACCCTCTGAATACATCTTCCATTTCTGGCAAAAGAGGAGCATTTTAGTACCAAAAGCCAATGCTATAACTGAGCATTTCCTATTTATCATCAAACTCATATCTAAGTTCATTCTTCTTTTCATCCAAATCATCCCAATTAGTAGAGTCCAGCATTTTGACTGGCCATCCAAATCCTTCAGCAGACTATGAGCTGATGGGAACCTTACGATGTAATTTATGAACCATCTCCGTTATGGATTCAGGATTATTTAAGAAAGCCCCAGCTCCCAAAAATACTCTTGGATCATAGATCCATCCATGGAATGCCTTATAACCAAATTCATTTGCTGCGAGAACCAAGTTGGCATGTCCAGTAAATACAAAGTGAGTCACATCTAAACTGATTTGTTCTACATGTTCTCTATCCCTGAAAATAATCAATCCGTAAAACTGTTTATTTTTATAACTTGCATAAATGTAGTTCCATTCTCCTTCTACATTTTCGTAATTTACTTTTGCATCAACTGCATTGCTTGGAGCTGATACATCATAAGTGCTGAATTCATAGAATCCTTTTTTGAGGAATGCTGACAGTGCTCTATTTCCCAATTCTGCCTTATCCTAATATTCTAAAGTCTAAGATAGACGGAATATGGTATGAGTATCAGATCTTTCAGTCAAAGTAGTTGGAAAAGCTATCAACCATCTAGTCCACATACCCACAGCATATTCATCTACAGATTCCACTTCATTGTCGAAACTTTATTCAAATTTAGTATCAATTTTCTTATCTTCTTTCATGAACCACATATTTTTCTTATTCTTAATAATGTATCTTAGATTTGGCATTGTTTCTTCATTGTAAGTGTGAGATCCAGCTCCAAATAATAATTCCCATTTGTGTTATTCTCCTTAGAATTTCCTGCTAAATGAATCTTTGCCCAAATAAATAAACATGTTATTGGCAACAAAATGCTGAACATCCTTGAATACAACAGGAACATCTTTCTCGAATAATTTTATTAGTGTCGCAACCTCTCTCTTGTCTTCACTATAACTAATATAGATATATGTCCAAGCTCTTTTAGAATTGCCCCATTTTCTGCCTTTGCCTCCAAAAACTTGGCTTCATTCCAATCCTTCAAACCTGCAATGCTATAAGTACTAATCTTCACAGTGTCACTTGTACACACTTAAGCATACAATGTTCTATCTCCTTATTATTTCCTGTCCGATAAGTGTTCTTCATCATTGTTGGTTAATCTGAATAAGAGTTAACATGGTGAATTGATTTCCCCTTCAATTTTAGTTTGTACTTCAGCAATCTTAAACCATCCACTTATGGCATATTCTCCGATTCCTTATAATTAGGTTAGTTCTTGACTCTTATATTATTCTAATTCCACTTATCCCTACTTCTACTTTTGAATGTACCCTACAGTTAATTCCAATGGCAAAGCATAACTAGATTCAATTGATTTTAGGAGTTATTCCTCATTATCTACATATGCTTCCTTGCCCAGATGAGCTGAAATTTAACTGAATAGTCCATGGAATCCTGCCACATTCTTCTCTCCACCCAAGATCAATTTAATCCATTCATTCAATGGTCTCTACAACAACTATTCATTCTTTGCTTTTTGAATATGTTCTCCATCATAAACATAATACACAGCCTCCTATATGGATCTCTTATACCCAGCATAAATGTAATGCCATTAACCCTCCAATGAAGAGTAAGATATTGTGGATATTTCATTAGGAGCATCGTCGCTGATATCATAAGCACCAAATAAGAAGTTATCATGTACTAAGTAAGAACTCAACACTCTGTCACCAAGAACAATCTTGCCATTCTCCAGTTCTTCATTAGAAGTCAATCTGAAGATTTACATCTCCCCCGGTATATTCCACAATCTTGATGGCCATGCTTACAAGAAACGAATCCATAACCCAACTGAATATTCTTAAATGCTCTCTATCTTTTGATTTGGTTCAGCTATTCTAATAGTCAACCCTTGTTTTTCAGGATCTTAGGAATCTAATACCAACTCATCTTCTTCGTAATCCCATTGTAATTTAGCATCTGGATTGAATAGTTTTGGAGACTAGAGATAGACCAACAAACCTTTGAAATTATCCTTTCTGAATGCCCCAGTTCCAAAATTCAATACTACTTAAGCCAAACGACTGTCATATGAATTCAAGAGAGCATCCTTGGCCAAATAGAACCAATAATCAGATGAGACTGCATGCAGAGCTGACTCTAAAGCATGTTACTCATTCTCTTCACTATTGATGTAATAGACTACTTGTTGGCTTTCCTTTGAGTAAGCAAAATAGGCAAATGTCCACACTTCCTAATTCTATTTAGCTATCTAAACTGGATAAGCATTGTTTAATTAAACTGTCTTATCTCCCAAACTGTAAGTGCTAAATTCTAAACCCTCTGTATGACACAACACTAGAGTCCTATCACCTATCTTCTGAGCATCTCCAAGTGTATCTGCTCCATTTGTGGTCAATCTATACATCAATTGAGTACTCTTTTAACTCTTGAACCATCTAAACCATAATTAAACTCCGTACTCTCTTACTTCTTGATTAAAGGTTGTTAAATGATGTTTCTCATCAAGTTTTCTTACATCATGTATTCCAGCTAAAATTTCAATGTTCTTGCTCACTGGTTCGATATCTGGAATAGTATCCTTGGTCTTTATTCTGGATAGCAAATCAGCTTTGTTTTCAATAAAGGATCCTGGACCCAAATTAAATCTAACTTTGGTTATTTATCCATTGAAGTTAGCATAATATTTACCAGCATGACCAACAGAAAAGTATAAATAGTTGGTTAATAAGGAATGCAATACATCCATCTTTAATCCTTCAGTGTGATCTCTAAATTAAGTAAAAGCAATAGCATGTCCCTCCTATTAAGTTTGTCTCTTATAACTGAAATAAATATATTGCCACTCTCCTTCACTCTCTCTTTAATACTCTAGATCCCCTCCTACATTATTTACTTTTGTTATAACATCATAAGTGCCAAAAGAGAAGGCCTTTCTACCCATCAAAACTAGTAGGATTCTATCCCCTGGATTATCAAAATCTTTATATTCTCTATTGCTGGTTAATCTGGCAACTCCCATAAGTTGAGGCTATGAATAAATCCTTTATTTGGATCCAAAGTATTGATATCTCAACCAAAATCCATATCCATACTCTGAAACTCCATGCAATTAAAGAGTGGAGCTTTATTCAAACTGGATTTGCATAGGAGGTACTTCATCCTTAGTTGCACACTCTAAGACCTTTTCTTCATGATGAGCCTCCTAGCCAGCCTATTTAATATGATCTGCTCCACTTATAAAACCAAAATGTATTTTGATATTTTCATCCTCCTCAAAGTTACCCTCTCTGTAAGCTCCAAAACCTACGTTCACTACCCATGTCTTCATCTAACCAATAAAGTCAACATAGGACTATCTTCCATGACCAACCAATATACTAAATACAGCTAAGTAGAAATGCTAGATGTTTTCTTGTGTAAACTCTGCATCCGAGAATGCAAATCTTGTATAACCATAGGTTTTCAGTGATTACTTTGAGTATCCATAATATAAGTAAGTCCATTAATCAGCATATTCGTGGAACTCCTATTCAGCAGGGATCAATTTTCCATTATTAGTGTAAGTAACAAATCTATAAAGTGAGTCTCCTCTTATGATTTATAAGGTTTCTTCTTTGCTACCATCTATATCCAACAATCTCTTTTAAGCCAATGTAATCACATGTGATTCCTTACCAGTAACAAGTGGACCAGCCCATCTAACCCAGCCTGAAACTGAGTATTCTTCTGCCCCTTAAAATCTGTCAAATTCAAACTCAATTGGATCTTCGGCTATTGTAATTGCAGATCCAAACAACTGCAAAGTCTGTCTAGTGACTGGATGAATCTAAGCCTTTTCTGGTAATGTGTTTTAAGTAAACAATCTCAGAGTCTCTTTATTTGGTACGAATGCTCCAGGACCAAAGCTAAAAGTAACTCTGGCTAATTCACCATTAAACAATGGAGCTTATGTCTTTCCAACTATGAATTCAACATACTCCACTAAGAAATCATGATAGACAGTGAAAGCCACCTCTTCTATTTCCCCATCTACTCCAAATTGAATGTATCCTTTGGCCACTCCATTGTCACCCTGTCTCTTATATCCGAAGTACACATAATTCCATTGACCTTCCAAATTAGAGAATGGGATATCATCCTTAAGACTAAGAGTCTAAAATTCATATGATTCTTAAGTCAAAACACAAGCCAATGTAGTATCTTTTACAGTTTAAGGTCTGCCTCCATTGGCTCTAATCCATTTGCCATCCACTGATTCAATTATATACCCTTGAGTACCCACTCTGGCAATATTGTGGACTGGTGCTCTTTTATTTAAATATTTTGGTAATGTACTCAACCATCTTGTCCAAAGACCAAAGGCATATTCACTTTAACCATTAATTTTCATTCCATTCTCATCATGTAATATGATCTTATCCACTACGTTATCTACTTGATCGAATTCAACATATCTATTCTAATCAACTCCCATGTATGTAATTGGCTTGCCTACCTAATAGACTCCCATCACTCCTTCTCCATAATTGAAAGTTGTCTAAAAATCAAGGCCTTCTCTGTAAGCACCTTCACCCAAATAAATTCCAACGAAAGCTATCTTTCCATTGAAAGGTGAGACTGTCTCATCTCCTCCCACTGTGAGGCTCAATTGGTTGACTTGCTTATGATATACTCCTTCGAATTTAACCTCACCAGTTACTTAAGGCTTGATTAAGGCACCATAAGCTCTTCCTTCCTTGTATCCAAAGTACACATAAGTCCATATATATTCAGCACTTTCAACACTCTTCAAAATATTTACAGACCCTCTACCTCTGTTTCCATATACAGTGTAAGTGTTGAAGTACACATTGCTCTTAATGCCTCCACCATAGATGTGATGAACTTCCAAAGATCTATCTCCCAAAACTCCTTTTCCTTGAGCACGCACCTTATTGGATCTCAGATTAATGAGTTAAAAGGCATTAGGTTCATCTACTTTAAGATCATCCACCCATCTAAACCAAAAAGCGACTGCATACTCTTCAATCAATAATTGGGACTCTTGAGGATCAAAATGATAATGCTCTCCTTTTTCATTGCCATTAATTAAAATTGGTTTGCTAATGATTGTTTCTTCTATCAAAATTGGCAATTACTGGGGCATATTACTCAAAGTCTTAATGATTTCTTCTAAGGATTCATCTCCATCAATAAATGCAGGAGCATCTACATCATAAAAGATATTTGCAAATTATCCATTCAATCCCAAATAATCCATATGCTTTCCTCCAAAAATGAATTTAACATATGTAGGTGGAACATGTTAGGCTTCAATTTCAATTCTATATTTAGGTGCGCCCTCTCCATATTTTACTACATATCCCACAACCTTTCGTTATTAAGAACTGTAAGTGTATACGACAAAATACCAAATACTATCCATGCTCTCATTCAATACGACATTAGTATCTTTTGTCTTACTTTAGGTTGTGATATCATAAGTTGAAAATACAAACGAGTTGTCATACAAAAATAGAGCTAATGTTCTGTCACCATAAAATGAAAAGTCTTCATATTCCTCATTCGTTGTCATTCTTGATAAGAAATAATATTGGCCCTCTTCTCTAGCATGCTATTTGGTTGAATGTTCGCTGAATCTCACCCAAAATCCATATCCATATTCAGATGCATCTTGTAATAATGCTCTATCCTCAAATTCAAACACTTAAGTAGGTTCACCATCAAAATCTGAATTGAAATACTTAGTGTTTACAGCAATGGCTTTCTTTTCTTGAACTCTGCCGCTGCTTGCTCTATGTTTGGGTGGTTAAAATTGCGTTGGTTCATTGGCATTAAATTCATCCTTAACTGATGTTAACTTGACAGATCTGTCATGCTCATTTTAATCATCATGTTTATCTTCATTAACTAAATCATTAAGTAAATTCTCTACAGCTAAATAATTAGCTCCTTTATTTTTGGATTAAATTATTTCTTCTCCAACAATTTCTTCAACATAATGTTTCTTTCCATAACAAATTGCAGGTAAAGGCTGCTTTTTTGCCATCTTCTTCTCTTACTTAGCTTCTTTTCTAGTCTTTTAACCAGGTTTAGGACGAGGTCCTGTTCTCTTAACCTTCTTCACAACCTTCTTTGATTTCTTTTTAAATTAAGGTACACATACTTCTCCATCCTCTTCTCCATTTTCTTTTTTCTCTTCAACGGGATCATCTTACTTTTTAACTTCTTTTTTCTCTTCAACAACCTCCTTCTTCTTCTTCTTTTCTGATACAGTTTTCTATTTCTTCTTTGTAACCTCTTATGTTTTAACTTCAGTTTTCTTCGTTTCTTTAGTTTCTGTTTTTTTCTTCTTTTTATTAATTACTTCTGCATCTTTTTAATTTATCTTTTTTTTCTTCTCTTCCTTCTTTATTTTTTCTTTTCTTTTTGGCTTCACTTTTTATTTGTCAACAGGCTTATCATCTTCCTTCTTCTCCTCCTGAGTGATTTCTTCGATAGTCTCCTCTGTAATTTCAATTATGGCTTCTTCCTCTGTAATTTTTTCATCATCTGGAACTGGTTCATCTTCAATAATCTCTTCAGTTGTAGTTTCTTCTGTAATATTTTCTTCTTCTGTAATCTTCTCATCATCAGGCACTGGCTCATCTTCAATTGTTTCCTCTGTTATAATTTCATCCTCAGTACTCTCTTCCTCTGTAATCTTTTCATCATCTGGTACTGGATCATCTTGGATTACTTCTTCTGATGTATTTTCTTCTTCTGTAATCTTTTCATCATCTGGCACTGGTTCATCTTAGATTACTTCTTCTGTAGTGTCTTCCTTCACAACTTCCTCCTCTTCCACTTTTTTATCATCTGGCACTGGATCCTCAGTTACTTATTGAGGGTGCTCTTCTGTTTCTTCCACTCCATCCACATAATCTGGCTCTGGTTAGTTTACTGTATCTCCATAATATTCACACTCTTCTCCAACTCCACTTCTGATATATTCAATGGGTCCATAGGTGGAATGAGCATCAACCACTTTGCTCGTATCTTTTTGAGCACCATATATTTCTCTGGTCTTAATCACAGAGCTCTTTGTCACTTTCGGAGTTTAAGCATATTTATAAACTTAGGGCTCTGAATCATCTACTGGAAATTCAGCTTCCATTTCATCCTCATAAACATAAACATAATCATAAACTTCTTCAATAGCTTATTCTTCAAAGTAATATACTACATCATCATCATCACTTTCTATAATTACCTCTCTGGGTTATGGTCTTTTAAGTTCTTATTCACAAACTTGTTTCAAAGCCTTTAATTATGCAATCTTTTATTTCAAATGTGTAGCTAATCTAACATTTCGACATGAATCCACATATCCATAGATCTACTTCTCTGCATTTCTCAAGTAATTTATAATCGAATTAGCCAATGCGACTCGTTCTTCCTTTGTTCTTTAAGCATTTAGACGCTGCACGTAATCGTAAGCATCATCAATTCTGCATGATGTCCACTCATTTTAGAGAAATGCTTTAAAAGATGGCCGATTTCGTTCATAATCACGAATCACCGTGGTAGCCTACTTTGCACTCTCAATAATCTTGATCATTTTTGCTAACACTTCCAAGTCATTTAACAATTATTCTCGATGCTCAATTATATCAACCCATCTTGTTAGTGCTTCAATGGTTCCATCAAAGTTCATGTAACAATTGAATCTACTAATATCTAAGTCTCTTGCTTCGTAATAAGTCATGCCTACCCTAACTACGCAGACCTCTGCAAAACTTAGGGTAGCAAGCAATAGCAATAACAATTTCTTCATAAAAAAATAAATATGTAAAACCGTTTTTTATTATTCTCATACATCAGGTAGAATACTCTCATTACCTAGATTCTATTCAACTCCTTTTATTTACTTCTCATTCTCACCCAATTCAAAAAGAAAATTCAATCACATATACTATCCAATCTAACTCTACCAAAGAGAAATAAAATTTTACAAAACTTCGTGGAACCATTGTAATTTTACTTTACCTGTAATTTACAACTACATATTCTCTCATGTTGCAGATATCCTGTTTACAATAAAATAATCATTGGTACTTATAATATAAAATTACTGTATTTTTAGAATACTATTAGTTTATTTTTTTGAATTTTGTAAAATTTTTTTATCTTATATCCATCTATCTCATAAAGGTTAAATTTAAATTATAAAATTGACAAATTCATTATATTTAACCAATAGAATACATAAAGTTAATCTAATTTTAATCTATGTTAACACAGCATTCTAACACAATAGCAAATTATTAGTAATTCGAAAGATTAAGAAAACAAAACCAATTAATAATTATGCTAAGATAGCTGATAACTATCATAAAGTATAAATTCCTTATCAAATAATTTGTAAAGAATATCTAACACTTAAGAAGTCAAGTTTATAATTTATGAAAAACCATTAGAATCATTTAAATAATATATATTATAAATCAAAAGTTTTACTTCTGTGATATAAAAGAATATTAACTAGGCGAATAAAGTTTATATTTAGTTTACCCTTCAGCCTAAAATGAGAGTAAATAATACCTAAACATTTTGTTGCAAATTGTCAGTTTCACTATCAATATTAATATATTGGACGTACAAATTATCTAATTCCTCTAGTGATTTTTTAATTGGGGATTGATCAGAAGTATAGAAATTCATACTATCTAACACCTTCTTTCTCTACTGTAATATTTATTTCCATTAAATTCCTTTTTATTCATTAGCAATTATTTGGGATTATTATTACTTTAAGATCTATCCCTATTTTTCTAAAAATTCTAATCTAAATTCATTTTTCTTCTTTATGTTATTTTATTGTTAAAATTCCTGTTCAATATTTCTGATATCTTTATTTAGTTTATTCCCCATCTTTTTGAGTTTTGCTTTTTCTCTTTTACGCATTTCATCTTGCAGAGTCCAAATTATTCTTTAATTCAATACAAAAGCCTTCCATTTTTTCCTTCAGATTATATAAATTTATACATATATTGTAAATTCATCACTTCAACAAGATCCATTTAAGTTGGAAATTATTGAGATTCTTCAATTTTTGAAGACACTTGTTCTTATGAAGATGACTCAGAAATTTCCAAAGGCTTGCTTAAATCTATTTAGCCATTATTAAAACGATCATTTAATTCATTAAGAGTCTGCGAACAATTATATATCATTTATGACTTGTATTGTTTGTATTAGCGATTTGATTCTAATTTATAACGCTTTCTTTATAGCTGTACTAATTCCTTTTAAACCTCCTAATCCTATAATTTAAGTATTTGGACTCTATCACAAATTTATTCGAAGTCAGAATTGATCATGTCTAATTGAGAGGATGCATCTTATAACGAATTGTTTTCAATTTTGATCTGTTAACATTGTAAATATTGTTCCATCTATTTTTTTTGAATCTCTAGGCTTTGAATATTCTCAGAAAATTCATCTATAAATTTCTACTTTTTAATGGTATCTTGGAACACTTCTAATATTTATCTATATTGGCGATTATTTTCATGAAGCCTCTTTTGCTTTTCAAGTCTTTTCAATATAGGTTTCGGCTAAGTTGCTTTTCATTATTTAGTAAGTATTCTATAAATCCATTTTGAGTTGTTAGATCTTGTTAGATAATGTTTCATTCAATTATTATTTTAAGGCTAAAAACTATTTTAAATTATCAACTTTTATTTATTTGACTTCCTTGTCATTGCAATCAAGGTTTAAATACGAAGCAATCTTGAGTTCTTTTTATTAAATATATTTTATTTCATCTTAAAATTATTGTTCTTTAAAATTCCTTCTTTCTATGATATGATTCTCGAAAATTTATTTGGCATATTTATCAATTATTTTGTTTTTATTCTACTATTAAGCGATTTAGTATTTTAATTCGGCTTTTTAAGATTCAAATTTTTAATTATACTCTTTTTTTAGAAGCTCTTTTTCTTTATGAAGCTTAACAGCATTCTGTTAATCTAGTAATTAAATATTCTATTCAATAGATTCAATGATTTATATTCGATATTAATTAAATTCATTTTGCAGGAACTTATTCTTTTCTGAAGTTTCAATGGAAGAATTTTTATTTTAATCAGATTATTTTTTTTAGATTATCTTCTTAGTATTAACTAAGCGATTCAAATAAAGCTTATGTTACAGAAGGTTGAGTTTACTTTGATTAGATTTCTATTTTAGTTATTTATATTATTCTAAATCTTCCAATAATTGCTTTCCTATCTTCATATTCACCTTTTAGACACAAATTATGAATTCGCGACCCAGGTTTTCTTTAATTTTCATTTACTTTTATTTTACCATGCTCTCTTCAGCTTCACTCTACTTTTGATACTAATTTGTCAACTCAATTCTTTCAGCTTCAATTTATTAGCGTAGTATTATTTCATTTTCTTGTAATTTTTTCTGCAATTATTCCTTTAGAGTATTATATTCTTTGTCCTTTTTTTCTTGATAATTGGAAAGTCTAGTTGTATACTCTTAATCTAAACGATTCATCTTCTCCTTTATTGTTTCTATCTAAAATACTTAGTTTTTTAGTTTTACATTTTAATTCTAATTATTTTATTCTGATTTTTTATGTGCTTCATCATCATCATAATCACTAATCTGATTTTGCATGATTTCTTCCTAGCTTAATTAAGTTTTATTGATAATATTTGATTTTTCCTAAAAGTTTTCATGTTCATCATCAAAATTTATCTGCTCTATTCCTTGGTAAAAGTGGTCACAAAGGTAATGATCGGATTCATCTGAGAGAGAGTTGTAAGATATTTGTAATTCTTATTGACATTTTTGGTGATCGTTCTCAGCATCACAGTTTTGGTTTAATTTAAATGCATCTCCATTCATATCTACGATTTAATCTTCTTCTTCTTTTGATATGATTAGTCCTTAGCTACTTATTTCTAATTAGATATCAAAATAAACTTTAATTTTAATTGCAATTATTGTTTTCCTCTTAAGTAAGATCACTTTCATCTCGATATTACATTTTATTAAATTAAATGTAAAAAATTTGTAACTTGTAAGTTGTAGATATATGTTTGTATATATATTCTTGAAAACAAGAACTCATAAACCTAATCAGTAAATAAATTGTAAGACAAAGATTTTACTCATTAAAGTTGATTTAATAACACTTTTACTCAATATTATAAATATATTGAGAAAATAGATTATTAGTACATATATTATCATATAGGACCTAATGCTCTAAATCGAAAATTATCAAATTCCATTTATTTTACAATTGTTTTATGAAATTAATCTAATATATATTTTAATCAGAGTAATATAAGTTTTAATTGATTGTAAATACTTTTCTAATGATACTGGTTTATCGATAATACTGTTTCTTATATAATGGAAATCTATATAATTATGTTGAAATTAATACTTAAAAATATAAGGAGTTACATACTTAATGTGTTTAGAAAAGATTATTGAATATTGAAAATACTGACTAATCAAATGAATAGAATATCTATAATTCAATACAATTGTTTGAAATAAAGGTATAATATAATTGTTCATTATATTTAATAATCATTCTTCTTAATTTTATTCTGTATTCTCTCAAGGTAATGTAGATTCTCATAGAAATAACGATTCGCTCTCGATACCAATGGGAAGGTTCCTATTTAATTTTCGACAGTTTCGATTTTGTACAAAAGAGAGTTGGTTTGTTACATCATTTGCCTCTGCTTTTGTTCTTCTGGTTGTTCAGTGATAACTTATTTGGTATAGTGCTGCAATTACAACTGCTTGTTTACGATGATATCTTATTGCTTGTTCTTGAGTGAAATTTGGAGATTTTTTTGGTAATAGAGCAATTTTCTAATGAAGTCCAAGTCTACCTCAATTTTGTTGGCATTATTGTACCAGCCAGTCTTGTCCTTTCCGAAATCGTTCTCCAACTTCTACTTAGATAGTTTATAGTCCTTTAGTCTGATTTGGTTATTGAACATGGTGGGGGGTGCTTCTTGAGGATAGAAGTCCTTCATGTGCTCTAGATATTCGTATGGCAAGTCTCCGGCTCCAAATATTCTATAGTAGACATCGTAGCAGTCAATGTGGGTGTATTGGTAATTGTTTGCAAAGTTCTCGTCAATTACGTAGCCTTCAGAGTTGGGGAGGATTCGTTTGGGTTTGTAAAGGAGATAGAAGAGTTTGTAATCAATGCCAGTAATTTTACATAGGGCAGAGGCCATGAGTTTGGTTGAGTTATAAATTCTGGAGGCGATTTCTAAATCTGATAAGAAGGATTGAACGATTTATTCTACTGAGCTGAATTGGCTTGTTTGTATTTTTTGGGCAGCCAAATATAGATCAATAATTTCTTAAATGGTAATTTATTTCAATACTTTAATGGAGTAGACAGCAAAGGAACTAAATATAAGTTTATGAATGTATAGGTTTTATTCAGCCTTAATTGACTTGAGATGGTTCTGTTTTAATTGATTTAGGGAAACAAATGTATCTCCTTCTTTTTCGTCCAATTTTTCAAAGATGTTGTTCAATTGTTTTTTTTGTAATTGAGTTTGTTTGACATACTCGAGATAGTCGAGTATTTGTAGATCCTGTTGGGCTTGTGTGATCATCTTGATTTTTTTGATGTTTGCTCTCTTTTTTCTCGAAATCGTGGGTAATGACTCTTCTCTATCAAATGAAGCGATGGTATTTGGAATGACACGTTGGGTGGTGGTTAGATGAGTGGATTATTTGGTAGTGATTTGTTCGAGAGAATGCTTGGGAGATCCAAAAGTGAAGAGAGGTTTGTATTCGTTTCTGTGAGTGTATTCTTGTGTTTGTAGAGGTTGGCCTGAATCCTTCATTTTTTAAATCATTCTATATTGTGAGATGAAGTCCACCCTAGAATTCTCGTCAAGGAGATTTTTGTAAAAGAACTTCTTCTTTGAAGAAAAATAAGGTGCTGTTATTAAATTGTCCGTCATTTAAATAATTATGAAATAATTTCTTAGATACAGATTTTCGACAGTCTTGGGAGTTGTGGGTGCTGGACAAATGGGGACAGGCATCGCCATAGTTGGAAGTGCAGTAGCAGGATTGAGAGTACGAGTGGTTGATGTGAATGAATAAAGGTAAATAGCAAACATGAAGATTAGATTGAATGCAAGTCACAATTTTGTGTCGAAATGGTGCGACAAGGAAATTCAAAAGAATAGGATGACAGATCAAATCAAAACAGATGTTTTGTAGAGATTCAGTTTTCATTTGCAAATGTCTGATTTGGCATCTTGTGATTTTGTTGTTGAAGCAGCTCCTGAGAAATTCGAAATGAAGGCAGAAATTTTCAGATAGTTAGTCAAAGCAACAAAGCCTGAAACCATATTGGCTAGTAACACCTCCTCCATCTCCATAACAAAGTTGGCTGGAATCACAGATAGGCCTGATCGTATTATTGGAATGCATTTCATGAATCCAGTGCCAGTCATGAAATTGATCGAGGTCATCAAGGGACTTTAGACTTCTCAATAAACATTGGACACTACCTTAGAGTACTTGCATCAATTCATTCTAATATAGGTTGGCATCTAAAATGAAGAAGGAAATAGTGATTGCCCAAGACATTCCGGGATTCATTGCAAATAGAATTCTTATGCCCTATATCAACGAGGCTATCCAAACCTTACACGAAGGAATTGGAACCGTGGAGGGAATTGACAAAGCAATGAAATTAGGTACAAACGTCCCTATGGGTACAATTACATAAAATTTCAGGCCCGTTAACTTTGGCGGACTTCATTGGTTTGGACACTTGCCTAGAAATAATGAGGGTGTTGCATCAGGATCTTGGGGATTCCAAATATAGACCTTGTCCATTGTTGGTCAATTATGTAAATGCTGGTTGGTTGGGCAAAAAATCGGGGAGAGGGTTTTATAAATATTGAGTTAATAAATTTAAAATATTATAATGATGATGAAAAAATCTTCAGAATGTAAGAATCAATTAGTATTCAAGTTTTTAAGAAAGTGGATATTTTTGGGTAAAACATACAATTGAATTTTAATGGAGAGAATTAGTACTAAACTGCAGTTGGTGGGTTATTCTCTCTTGCAATTATTGCTGTTATAGGATTCTTCTTTCAATAGAACATCGTTAACTTTCTGAACAGAGATGTGATAAATCTGAACACTCAGACAATCTTCGATTCCAATCCAGACAGAATTGAATTAAACGACAACAATTACATGTTCGCCATAGCAGTTGAATAACCCAAATTCAACACTCAGCCTTTCTTCAACCTCACTCTCAGATAACGCAGATACATAAGATCTTCAGATGGAACCTTAAACAAAACTGATAATTTCATCGATCTCATCCCCTGCACTGAAGATCGGTTCCAAAACATTTTTCAGAATTAGAATTTCACTCCCCAGTTTTCCTCACTCAATCTCTAGGAATGGTTATGTCCTCAACACAACTACTCTATCATATTAAGTGGTGGTTACACAAGTGACCTTTTCGAGTTCGTCAAAATAGCTGTAAGCGACTGCTCCAATAATACAGCATCCAATTCCATGTTGACTTGGAAACCCGAATGTGCAAGTTCTCAAACCAGAGATAAGTATCTCCAGTCCGAACGTTCTTTTAGAATCAAAATGTAAGTAATTTACTCATTTTAGGTACATGACCAATAATGTAATCAACCCATTATAAGTGTAGAATATGTCCCAAGTCTTTTTGGATGATGAGTCCTTTTTCTCCTTTCTGATCCAAACGGGCACTGAAACAGATGTCTTTTATCAAAAATACAACATCACCACCGATGACAACATATTTCCCTATCTCAAAGACCTCCAGGAAAACGTCTTCAATGTGAAGAAGGCTGGGGACTTCAAAACCAGCACTGTCCAAAACAACGGACAACAATATTCAGCCATCTACATGAGAAGAAGTCCCTACACCTATGTCATCAGAAGGGACTTCTAGGATATTGCAGATTTGCTCTCTTATCTTGGAGGATTTGCAAATATCGTTGCTCTTATCTTCGGAGTCCTCATCAAATCCTATAATAAATCGAGATGTAACACTTTGCTTGATTTCTCTAGTTATGATCGACTTGGCCAACCAGATTTACGATTTTCCAATTAAGAATGATTCTCAAGCAGAAACTCAACAGAGAAGAGAAATCAAGAAAACCATAGCCAGGGCTAAAAGCAGAACTATCATTATTAATAAACATTAAGAATAACCTTAAGATCAGGAACTGTAATCTCAACTGCAATCTCCTAAGTACACGCAAAATTAAAAATTGATCTTAAATGATACAACGAAAAGAGAAGACTAATTTACATCCAAACAGGATGAAATATATCCAGCCAAGACAGAATTAATCATTACTCATCGGCAAGAAGAACAGCGTTTATTCTAGTAAGAACAAGAATAAATTATTAAATAACTTGGAATTAGTGATCGAAAGAGTTACTTAACTTAGTAAATCTAAAAGATATTAAGTCGAAGCAAACCCATTCTATTCAACTATAAATATATTCTCTCCAGTATCTTCTGCTCTAAACTATTTACTGACCGCAACAGCCTTCTTCTCCAAAAAGCCATGTAAAATGCAATTATATATAATTAGAAAAAAGATTAATAAAGATTTGGATCTCTGTGTTATCATAGACAAAGTCAAAGAAATTAACGTATTGAAAGAACTCTTGTTAACTCAAGATTAGTTAATGTTGTTTGACTTTGCTCCGAAACAGGTGATCAATAGTTACGAGGAAGAGTAATGTATGACTCGGAGTTTAGTAAGAAGGACCTTGGACAGTGTCAGGACTAATTCTACTCAGTTGGAATGTTACCATTAAGATGAATCACTTAATGCTTACTATAAGTTATTTTAGGTGACAATGACTATATATAATATAGGCCTATGATCATATTCATTAATCATTGCAATAGAGTAACAAAATTAATGAGAAGCTGATTGAAAAATTAGGACAAGAGGTCAGAGACATTTTTGAAGTATCCCACTTTATCCAATGGGAAAAGAATTAAATTAAAATGGACAAAGAGGAGGTTTAATGTGATTCCGTTAATTCAGATCCACTTTCCATTAATAACATTGAATAAATAAAGATCAATTTGAAAGTCAAGTAGTGATTGTAATAACAATTTACATATGATTAATTTTAATAAATAAATTAAATGTCATTTTTCTATAACAGATAACAAGATCAAACATTACCATTACCTCATGGCTATCAATACAATCAAAACCCTGAAGTCTTAGCAAAACAAACTAATCATCAATATTTCTTAACTCAGGCAGCCAATCATTCACCATAAGAAAATGATATCAAGCTTGAAATAATCCCCAAGGGAAATCAGATTGATCATCTAACTCCTCAGAGAAATAGAATCTTCGAAGAATTACCTGACATAAAAGTAAGAAAAGAATTAAGCTAAACAAGATATAAATCTACACCAGGTAAAAGACATAGAATTTTTGAATAAGATAACAGCGTAGATCTAACTCATCAAAAAATTGAGTAGAAGTAAGTTACGAGAGTCTCTAATCATCATAATAACAATATTAAATCCTTACTTTTATAGGAAATTGAAACCATTAAACAAAAGTCCTAGCTCTACTAAGGAACATACCAATAGCTACTACAAAAAGTAATAAGAATGAATTTAAAATTAGTTAATCCAAATCGTAGAGACCAAACAAGACGATTTGAACTTACGCTTGGATCCCGAGTTCAACAATATCATATTCAAAATACGCACACTACAAGGACTTGACTTTAGTGATAAAATATAAATTGAAAAAATCATTAAGCAAATTGTGAATTAAGACGATAAACTATTATTCTAAGGATTGGTTAAAGAGTTGATTTAAAATGAATGGATGTATTGGATAGAACCATTGTATTATGATGTATAAAAATAATAAATACCCAAAGAAAAATGGAAATCCTTCATTGAAAAACAAAAGTCAATCTACAAAGTATGATCATTTTCCTATTTATAATATTAAGTTTTATATGAATACTTAAAGTATTTTGTTACACTATCTTCAACAATTTTCATTATCAATCTTTCTTAGTTAATCATTGAAGCAGATATTGTGTACACAATATGCATATTATAAATTATTAATTTTTAATTCATATTAATATGAGAAATAACTAGCCTTATCCAAAGAGATAGATAAGATTAAGAAAGGTTATATGAGAGAACGAGAAGTTCGCAAAGGTACAAGTGATTCAATAAATCAAGAGTTAAACAATCGATTTGCTTAGAATTATAGGAAACGAGTCGAAAATTTTGTGATCAATATGTTTGAGAATCCAGTCGTTTGTACTGAATACAAATAGCCAACAACCTAAGCGTTTAGAGAGGAAGACCCAACCAAAAATTTGGGTGATCCGCAATTTTATGTTAAGGGTTTCAAACACTAAAAAGATCTTATCCAAGAAGCTTTGGAAAGGAACAAAGACCTCGATTTTCTACCCAATCGACAAGTTGTTCATTACTGCTTTCGTGAAAGGGATCCTTCCAAAGACATCAAACGAGATGTGTTTCGATACAGAGATAAAACTAGTCTGGGAAGAATAAAACAGTTTTTGAAGGATCACACATAAACTCAAGTGGGGAATCAGAAATTCAGCAAGAAGAAAGTATTAAATATGGAAAATCTCTCTGAAAATATGAGTTCACTTGATAGAAAAGCATATTTAAGCAGATTGATTGCCAAAAATTTACTCCCTAGTTTACATCAAAAAACACATTTCTAAGCTACTGCTACTATGTTTAATAATTTGCCATGTATTCTCCTTATGTTAATATCTAGTATCTCTTATGGACCATGCTAGATCGGCTCCATTATTAAAATAAGCAGAATCAGAAGAAAAAAGTAATTGTTTTACTCATTGTCTTTAGAATCTCAACAATAGCAAAGGGAAGTTTAAAAGACTGAAGAAATGGAACTAAAAGATAATAAAATTAAGTAAGGTAACGAATTGGAGACTTTTAATCCTGTTGAGACTTCTAAATCAGTCCTAGAGAAATTTAATGTCATTCGAAGCAAGAATCCTAAAATTAGCACTATCCATAAAGGATAAGGGCATCTAATCTCTACCTTAGACAAATCTATAAGGATATTTATGGAATAGATTTAAGTTAAGGTAAATTTTTAAAAAATGAATTATTTAATTATTAATTGACTTTTCATTTCAAAGAATAATAATTAAATAAATGTTCTTTTAGTCATCGCTTAAGAGTTAGAATATAATATCTTTTCTAATAGCTGCTATAAATTAATAAAAACAATATTCATTCTTGAAACATTTTGATAAATTCTAAATTTAATTAAATTTAAGAAAAAATAAAAGCGAAACTCTATTCAAATAAAGTGTCTTGTGAGATATTTAAATAAATTAATAGATACAAATAATATTTAATGCAATTAAATTATTTATAATAATATAATTTATAATAGTCTTATATTAATTTCATTGGCTTTTTAATCATTATTAATAGGTTTTTATAAAACTTCACTAGGAATAGTGAATATCAGTATATTTTGATATTTTTATTATTGGTTGAAAATATATAGAGCCAAATTAATAATCCATTAATTAATACTTTGAGAATTTTATTCCTAAATTAAGTTGTAATAATTTGTAATTCAAACATAGAGACTAGTCTAAATAATATGAAATATTAAATTATTGATTTAATATAAGGTTTCATATCTTGAAATATATATCATTATAAAGATAAATATTTTCATTAAAATTAAATATTAACATAGATGAATTCTAAAATTCTTATGATTGTCGGAGACTATGGAGAGGACTTGGAAATTTATTTCCCCTTTTAAGCTTTAACTCTTTTAGGATTTTAGGTCGACGCTGTTTGCCCATAGAAAAAGAAATAAGATAAAGTTAAGACAGCTGTTCATGATTTTAGAGATGGAGATTAGACTTATATGGAATCTAGAGGACATGACTTCACAATCAATGCTGATTTCCCTCAAGATCCAAGCCAATATGCAGGACTGGTTTTACCAGGAGGAAGGGCTCCTGAATATTTGAGATTACATGATGAAGTATTAGTAGTTGTGGAACACTTCCTTAAAGAGAAGAAACCAATAGTAGCTGTCTGTCATGGAATACAATTATTGACAGCAGTAGGAGGACTAGAAGGCAAAAAATTGACATGTTATCCTGCTTGCAAATTTGAAGTGACAAAACAAGGCGGTGTCTATGAGAAGGTTGGATATGACGAAGTCGTTGTCGATGGCAATATTGTAACATCTCCAGCTTGGCCAGGACATGCAAATGCCTTTAGAGAGTTTGTTAAACTCTTGGGAGTAACAATAACACATAAATGAGAATTTCATTTAATCATAGATTAATTAATATCTCTGTAATCCATACTTGTTAATCCAATTGGCTACTCTTCTTCCTAAGGATTATTTTTCTTTTTTCTTAGTTTTTCTATATGCTTATTAGTCTTATCGCCTTGAATATAATTGGATATGTCAAAAACATCTTTAACCTCTTGGCCAAGTTTTTCAATCAAAACTTAGTTGAACCGATTGTTCTTTTCATTTGATAACGCAACCTTCTCATACGCTGAATAAAGCTTATAATATATTTGCATTCCAGGAGTGACAAACTGCCCTTTCTTAAACTTTTTATCTAACATCATTTTGGCTACATCTCCAAATTGAACTCCAAGAGTCTTCGTGAATGCTCTTCTATAGAGATTTAGATTCAATAAAATACTTATTTTCCCTTCTACCAGGAGGCTAATGTTAATGGTACTCATTATCAATTGTAATCACTTCTTTAGGAGCAAAGTTAAACAAAATCTATTGATCTTTATTCAATAATAGTTCTTTAATCAATTCGATTTCATTCACTTTGTCTATCAATACACATATGTCAATATCTGAGTTGATTTTCTTTCTATTTTTAATTTAATTTGATACATAGCTTTATTTAACAAAATTGAATTTTAATCCTAAAAGAACTTTCCACAAAACAATTAATGTAGTAAAAATTTAATTGTAAAGACAATAGGTTTACTGCGATCAAGCATGGCTTAAATTTGCTTCGTCAGATATTCCTTTCTATTATGATTTCCGATTTTCTAAACTATTTTTTAACGGATTTCTTTGCAGGATTTCTTCCGATCCTATTCAGTCTAATCTTTAGAAATTCTTGGATCCTCTTAATAATTCTTTGCATTTTCTTTTATGATGTCAGAGACATCTACCTAATGATGATTGTAGGCATCAGCAGCATCTGCACTTTGCCATTCAACATCCTTGTCTCCCATCGGCTGCCAATGACTACCGATAATCATCTTGCATGATTCATCCTTATTAGCCTTAACTCCTTAAATGTAGTCCAATTTCTAAGAGAAAGTTTATCGAATCGACATTCTATAATTCTTACCTAAAGAACTATTTCCAGGATTCATTGATGAAATAGGACTACATCTACTTAAAATCATAGGTTGTGACTTTAGATATGTAATGTCTTAGGCCAATTTTTCCCTTTCAAATTTCTCATGATATTCCTACCCAAAATTAAAGTCATAAATTTGATTTGCCAATTCAATTAAATCTAAATGGAAATCAAATTATAGATTACATAATTGTTTATTATACATGCCAACAAAGAACCCGAAAACAACAATTACAATATTAGCAAATCCTCCTAAAATTGAGAGCATCTTATCCAATTTTTAATACGATCTCGATATGTAGGTAGTGTAAGGGGATCTTCTGAGATAGATTGTTGCATAAGTATCACTAGCATAACTGTTTTAATCTCGATAGTCTCCTTATTCTTTGGCAAACATCTCTGTTGTATCAAATTCACTGCCAGTTGGAAGGAGATTATTATCGGTTTGCATAAGATATTTAGTAAAGAATATGTCGACTTCCTTACCAATGACTTAGGGGATGAAAGAGAAAAATAATTCATCATCTAAAAAGGATTAAACATAATCATCTCCCTTTTGTGGGCTGATCATTTGGTTTGTAATATATCTGAACTAATTGTAATTTATACATCTTAACTCGATATTATCTCTGTTGCATGAGCCATTGAGAAACAGCTTCTTCAGATGCACAATTAGGTTACCATGTATAAAAGGAATTTGTCTGGGAGGAGTTGCTACATTGGCTAACAGTTATTTTCAGGAAATCAAAAAACTTATTAGAGTACCTTCCCTTTAGGGTGAATGAGTAATTCAGTCTAATTATAATGGCGTTAAATACTATGGACACAGCCAAGAGTCTAAACCAATCTCATTATATTGCTGAGTAAAATTTTATCCAAACTGATTAAAAATCTATTGGAATCTCTCGACTGTGCATGGAACAAGATCCATTAGGGACTCTTCCTTCGATAGTGATCCATCGCCTAAGCGTTCGTAACGTCTAGTTTATTAAGAGGGAATACCTTGTGGACATGGTGATGTTGAAAAATGGATTAGAATTGAAATTCGTTTATTCTATAGCTACTGCAAACATGAAGTTTGTATCATTAATTTATATTTAATCTGGCTGATCTTCAAAGACTTGATTGGATTCGCTTTGAATATTGACTTTGTTGACGAAATCTTATATGTTGGATTAAAAGAATAACACAACGATTGCCAAAATGAATAAAGTCATCATCCCTCCGCACCCAGTTTTATACTAATCTTCGCCGTTGAGATTGAGAAGAATATTTTATCCAAACAGATCAATCGACCTAAGAACTTTTAATTAGTTATTTAAATTACATTTCACAATGGATTTTTTGTAGTTGCTCATTTAAAAAAATATATTAATATTAAATTTAATCTTTCAGAACATGTTAATCTCAATAAGAATTAACATTATGATCACCTTCTATCTTTTATAAAATTACTAAAATATATATTCAAATTATGTCATTCCTTTTAAAAGAATTTGTAAACCTATTTTGTCAACGTAAAAACAACTTGGCTTTCTTCATCATCAGATAAGTCTACATTCCATAATGATTACATGTACCTGTTTAACTATGTTCATTCTCATCACAAAAGTAATTGAATATACTGATAGTTGTCTTTGTTTTAGAAGATGTAAGAGGAGTGATATTTTCAACCCAATCATACAGGTAGTTCTCCAGCATTTTATTGTCTGCCAAGATCTTCTTAAATAATGAAATCAAAAAATCATGATCTGGTCTATTAACATTTTGATTCCACTTGATGTACCCAAAGAGTTCAGCAAAAGGAAGTCTGCTCATGGTTTTAGAACTCAGATAGGATTCCTTATGTCTCATCACCTCCTCGTTGTAAAGTATGTTGTTTGGAAATTTCATCCACGGTAGGTGACCTATGATCAACGCTATTTTACCTTTATACAGAAATACAAGGGTGTATGCAAGCATTTCAATATCGTCAATGAATCTGTAGGGTTATCTTCTATGCACCTAAAGAGGATCGTAGAGCAGAGTGCCTTCCACTTCTTCAGTATACACAAATTAGTCAGCTTCCTTAGCTATCCCAAAATCAATCAGATATATTTATGAATCTAAGAATCATTACAATATTAAACACCTTCAAGTGATTTTATCATTAGATTTGTAGGCTTGATATCTCTATGTACAATATTTAAAGCATGAACTTCTTTCAATATTTCGAGTACTTTGATGGCAATACAGCAGATGCTTCTTAAAGAGAGTTATTTCAGTTTAGCCCTTAGAGTATGCAGATCTGAATTTAAATATTCCATGCTTAAATATGTAGATTTGCTTTATTCTCCTAAAGAGTATGCTTTAGGAATTCCTGGTATATGTGATAACTTTTTCATAATTTTGTATTCATTAGATAAGTCAAACTTAGAATATTTGATAGCAATTTCTTATTTTGTAGTGTGATCCACACCCTTGAATATTGTACCATATCCTCCTTTAAATAGCTTCTCATGTATACTTAAACCTGGAAGATCATCAACTGAGGATATGGTTTTGTGGGTGTTGATAATCTAAGAATGTCGTGTCATTAATATTATAAAATGATTTAAACTGTTTAATTTAAGTCTCAATCCAAAAATGAAGATTAAGAATACCTCTTATTTATACTTACCACATTTATTGTTCTAAATTTCCCATATATTAATTTTATATAAAGAAAAACCATTCAAATAAGAAAATTAATGAATGGATCACAAAGACTATTTAAATTATCATTAGGTGCTTAGTGTTAGAAATTAGTTTATAAGAGCATCTGTATTTTTCATAAGAATGTTATCAAATGAAAATATTTATTTATTTTTTACTTTATATTTGTGTGAAATCTTAGTATTCGAAAAAACAAAATTTGAGATAATTTTATACAAAAATTCAATTCGGTAAATAGTTTAACCCATTTGAATTCATACCTCCAAGTATTCCAAAAAGACTATATCAGCCAACGATAAAGAAAAATAATGAAAACCAAAATATTAGATAAAGAAAACTACTTAGTTGAAAAAATACAGTTTCAGATTTTAAGAGACCTTCTCAACTTCCATCCTTCAAGAATTTTGGAGTAAGATAAGAATAAGAAATTAGCTTAATGTATAATTGATGCAGTTGAATTCCACCAACTTTATTGTTTTTCTTAATCCAAGAGAATTTAAAACTTCAATAAGCAAATAGATAAAGGCAAATAATCCACAAAATTTTAATTACTAAGAAACCTGTGTCTTTGTAAAGAGCAATTACCTCTGACATAGAATGAGGCACAACAAAAATATTTTTTAGAACAGTAATTTTTTCGATTCGAAGATTCAGAAATAAGTCTATTTCAATAAACTGAATTGCATTCTAGGGTTTACTTTTTGTAAGATCTATTAAGCGAAGGAAGTGAGAAACATTTAAAGATTGTCAATGACGAAATCTAATAAGAGACTGAAGGTTTTACTTCTGAATGAAGTTTGGAAATAAAATTGTTTTTTGATTTTAAGGTTTTAGTTTGGTTTCTATAATGTAATGGTATATATTGATTATTATGAGGCTTTTTAAAATATAGTAATAAAATTGAGATTCCAAATAAATGTATTTATTATAGTAAATATTATCTTGAGTCATGGATATTGACTGATGAGAACAATAGTTAAAAGTAGCACTATCATGTTGATGAGGTTAAACTTTGATCCGTTGTAAACGAACTCTTCTTCATCATCAGAATCTGAACTTAATCCTTGAATTTCCATAATGGTTTTATGCATATCATTTTGCTATTGCCAAACCTATAGTCTTTACTCTCCAGACATACTTTCCATTTCCATTCTATCCAACTTGTTATCATCAACAATATGTACATTCTTTTATGCTTTTTTTAATGTTTTTTTCAATCTGCTCATTATTTTCGGTTATTCTCCCTCCTCTGCCATATCCAGAAATAATCCTAAAATTTCTTCAGATTATTTTGCATATTACTCTTAATATTTTTACATAATTATATAATTTCATATTTTATAATATCATACTATTTTTCACAAATTATAAGTATTCTGATTTTTAATCAAAATGATTAATTGTGATTAGGTATAAATAAATTAAAACTAAAAATAATTAAATGTTCAGAAAATACACGTAAATAAGTAAGTAAATATCTTCATTTCGATATCCCTAAACTTTTGTAAACTTAGAGATACTTTCTCACATGAGAAAGTGAATTATTACACACATAAATGACCTATTAATTAAGTTGATAAATACTTGATATTTGGTAATTAATAATTGAATGAAGGAACAAAGTCTTGAAATGTAATTTTCATTCATATTTGAACGAAAATTGACAGTGTGATAATTAAAGTCTCCAAATTTAACAGAATAGGTTGGTTAGTCAACTTAACTTGAGAATTCGACTATTGTGTGGACATTATAATCCTTAAGCAAATTAAAATCTGTTTTATCATTAGGAACATAACCGTAACAAATATGACTATCCAATTGATAGATTGATTTTGTAATGGTTTCAATTCCTTCACAAGAAGCTACGATGTAGTTTTTGTATGAAAAGCTGAGGTTGGAGTTTTGCAACGCTGCAGTATCCAAATATAAACTCATTATAGAACTTGAATAGTGTTTTTTCGTTTTGACGTGGAATTGATAATGAATCACTTTATCCTCAATAACATTGGCAATTATTTTTTTATAGGATATATCTTATTTTTACTTCATGTGTACTCGCTTAATATTATTGCCAAGATCCAAGGTGGATCCAGAAATAAGCATGGGATACTTCTGAGGGTTGTAGCATTGGAACATCACCTTTCTGTGATTCCATATGTCAACTATGTCTTTAAAATTTAAATATTGAATACGTGAGGATTCCGTTGTTCTCATGAGACGATTGGGGCCAAACTCCCATTCGACATTGGTTGGTTGGTTGAAAGTAGAGGCAAAATATTTGTATTGGAAGTCATGGATGGGGATTTCGATGGTCCAAAGATGTCCCTATTTAAGAGATTTGGCTTACCTGATTCCATTGCATTCGTTTAGCTTGATTCAAAGACCATCTGCCAAAATAGTCAGAATCACCAGAAATATATATTGCATCACCAAATAAAAGTTGATATTGTAATTGAAAGGTTAACATGTATATTAATAATTTTTAATGATTATCATTCGAAATTGTTGCCATTTTATAAGCAAATCATAATAGTTACTATTTTCATTATTACGTATCTGAAATGAAATATTATTTTATTATTTTTTAATTGATTAAATTTACTCTAATTGCAATTCTAACCTACATCGTAATTAAAATAAATAATTGATCAATCGCTCAAAGAACTGGTCAATACTGAGATTAAATTTATCAATTACATAATTGGGATAATTTTTCAGTCCTCAAAATTTCAGATCTCAATTATGTTAAAAAAGGATCATTTCAAAAGGAGAAACTATATTCCTATCGAATATGATAAATCAAAGAGAACATAAGATTAAAATGTTAATTCTTGAAGCTAAAAATGAAAAAATATAAAACTAGATTGAAATTACATACAATTTTTGGATTTTTCCTGTATTTGTTATTTTCAATAATTCAAATAAAAGGGAAAAATTTAAATCTGTAGATAAGATTTGAATTCAATTTCTAAAATTTTCTAAATTTCACTTAAAAATCTATGTGAATATTAGATATACCTATTTAATTTACAAATAGTATTATATATTAAGTTAGTTGCCATCATCAAATTTAATATAGATATATATATATATAGCTGTTAAAATTAAATGATATTTATAATAATGTGGATGATTATCAAACTTTGACGTTTGAGAAGTCGACACTCTTAACAAGAGCCAAAGCTTACTCACTGACTCCCAATTCTCTGGTGAATTCATTCTTGGTGTTGGTGTAGATATCGGTTTCTTCAGCATAGGTGTTATTTTCCAATTCTAATTCGGCTGTGTATTGCTTTTAATCAGCAGCTCTTTAGTCTCTGAATTCAACCATGGAGTCGATCTTTTCTATAAATAGTTAATTTATAATGGATACCATTGGTGGCAGTCAAATCTACGGTAGCTCTGTCGATTTGTCTTTAGAATTCATGGTATTCGTCATCCAATTATTCAAGGTAGGCTTCATGATCAATAACATCTTGGGCTTCTTAGGCTGTCAAGTCATTAATTTAATCAACAACAGCATTTCTGAATTCGTTAAGGGCATCAACGATGTTCTTCAATACGTCTTAGTTGGAGAAGTTTTGATTTGATGCTAAACTAATCAAAGCCTTGATCATTGGAGCCATTCTGGATCTAGATCTGATCTTGCTCTCAATGTTCTTAAGTGTATTTTGGAATCTTCTGATTTACAACAAAGATGGGTTGGTGAGTGAAGCAAGGAGGGCCAAAGCATCATCAACTGAAGCTGTAGCATCGTTCAATTCGGCAACTTATGCTTCAAAGGCATCATGCTCTTATCCTCTAACTAAGATAGCCTCATCATAATTCTTTCTGTTGTCTTCTTGATATCCAATGACAGAGTCAATCTTGTCTTGAATTTAACCTCTTCTTGGGTACAAAAGGTTATCCAAAGTATCTTGTGTATTGTTAACATCTAAAATATTCAATATGTATTTTTACCAATGACAGCATCTTAGATGTCTTATTCTAATGAAACAACCAAGGCATTGTGTTCGTTTGTTCTCACTTAGAAATTGAATTCTAATTCTTCTAATTCCTCTTCTAAATCGTTGATGAGTTCTTCAATAGCATCAATCAATTCTTGAACTGGTCCTCCAGCCATTGAGTGTAACTCAACTAAATGAAGCAAGGCCTTTCCGTAATTGCTCTTAGCCAAATCAGCTTACACTTTGGCCATGTTTCTCTCTTAGACTCTAGCTGTGAAAGCCACAGCAATGAGGGCAATCAGAATAATTGATTTCATTTATTTTATTATCAATCACATAAAAACGAATTTTTCCCATTATCAACCATAAATTAATCAAACCAAATACAACATTTTTATAGCCATCTATCTACTTAAACATCCTATTCTAAGCATTTCATTTACCTTGTAAGTCAAATACTACTAAAAAACTCATATTTCAAGATATCCGAAGAACCAAAAACGAATTTTTCTCTTTGGATCAGAACATCTGATTCATCTTTTGAATTTGTATTTACAATAACATAAAGTAAATCCTGTTCCAATTTTAGTTTATTTCCAAAAGATTTAAAATGCATCAAATTATTAATTTTAATCCAAAATTACAAAACACCTCCAAACTTTACAATTACTTAATAAAAAACTCAATATGAATTATTTAACTTTATTCATTTTATTCAAAATACCTATTGTTTGAACTATTATTTACTTATTAATAATATCATTAAATTTCAATAGGTAAGTTAATAATAAGACAAAACAAATTACAGTGTGGGATACATAGATTTTAAATTGAAACGATATTAATTCAACTTCAAATATATCGATCTTAATATAGTAATTCTTTTTACTGAAAAATTATTTGATATCTGTGACTTTTCATTCAGAATCATCAGTTTATAAAATGTTAATCTCAATTCCCTTCATTATGTTTCAACTTCATTTTCATCAAGTAAAAATAATAATTAGATTCAAAAATGTCCTATATTTCATCTAGTATTGTAAATTTACAAATAAATTATGAAGAATTTTCTGATGAGCAAAATTTAAACATTGCAAATTTGTTGGCAAAATCATTTAATAGAAAAGATCCATTCGTAGCTATTGAATGGCTATTGAGTCTCTTAAAAATTCAGATATATCTAAATTTTGATAATTTATTTTAGAATTTGTTATAGTTTACATTATTAAAATGAGAGGAACCCTTATTGAAACACACGCCTTTTTGTATAGGATCAATGTAATATATGCATTTATCAAATGATGTTCTGATATGCATCAATAAATTAGTTAGTTGAATAATTTAAAATTATTTTAGATTCTAAAATAATTGATAATTTTTATCCATTTAATTTAATTTTTTTCGATTAGTAAATTATTTAATATTCATACCTTTCAAGTATGTTCTTTGAGCTCCCCAGTTATTGTTCACAGTAATAATGATTTAGTTTATATAAAATATGTAAATAAATTTAATTTAATTTAATTTAAGACTCTTGAAAAATAATATTTTCTCATTTAGGAAAACCTCATTACCAACAATTCATTTTTTTAATGCAGAATATGAAGATATTTAAAATGATATATATAGCAATCATTCAATTCTATTGATTATGTATAAATTAAACCTTTTGTTCTTTGAAATATTTTTTTGGATTAGAAAGTAATTTAACCTCCACATTTTTAATAATTATTATGAATTTAGATTAAGAAATAGAATTTTTCAGACTTATTCTATCGTTGATTAATAGAGATAAAACATACTTTTAAATTGTTGTCTATTGTAAATTATATTTTCCTAGGATACTTTTTACTATGACAGACTTTAATTATTGAGCCATTATTTACTGTTAGATTATTTTACAATGATTCTTTATCTCTTATTAGTGTTCCCTTATCTGTAAGTAAATAGCAGGCTTAATAATTATTTGGATTATTGTTTAAACTAACCACTTCTACATTGAAGATATAGTCATCAATATTTAGGGTATTCATTCTTACATCCATGACGAACTTGCTTATTTTTCCTTTCCTGAATAATAAAGGAAACACTTTTAATCAAGTGCCTGGGCAGTCTTGAAATCATCCGTAAATTAAATTTATGGGCTTGACTTCTGAGAGTCAAAACAATTAATTAGTTATAATGGGTTTCTAAAGATTGGGGGCTTTTAACGGAAAATTAATTGTTTTTCAAAATTTTCATCCAAATCCAAAGTTTATTATTAACAAATTATAAGATTTAACTTAAAAATTTATCTAGATTTTCTTGAGTATATTTAATAATTTTCTAAATGTAATTATCTATGTATTCATTAAGGAGTTCTTTTTCTATTTCATACTTTTTAATTATGGCTTAAGAGAATTCTACAATCTTTTTACAAGGGTGGATTTTTTCATAAAGTATATCAAGCTTTCTAATTATGAGTACATATTTTACTATTTATAAGTGCATTCAAAGTATTTGATAAGAACTTAAATACTATGATTCATGGCTATATAATGTTATTCATTTAATATTAAGAAGTAAAGCTATTATCAAACAAATTAACTATCATATCTCTAAACTTATCAAACTTAATTAATTTATGATGTTGCTAGGAATGTAATAATATTTCGGAAACTGTGTCAACTACTCTTCCAAAATTACAATTATGATCTAAACATACCCTTCTAGTGTTATTTATTTATCAATTTTATAATTTTTTCATCTATATTTCTATATGTCCATTGATACAATTTTTATACTTTCTCAAAATGGGTATACATCAATGATTTACATAGTCAAATTTTGGCTCATAGAATATTTAAAGGCCTCAAGCGCAAGGACACTTTGCCTGAATTCTACACTCAATTCATATAATACTTTAGAGGGACAAATGCTGTAATTTTGTGATATTGAGTCTAGTTTAGGATAAGGAATACCCAATTATTAGAATAAAGGATGCTCTTTACCCTTTTGTTACCTTCTCGGAATTCATCATAGGAGCAATTGTAACAGAAGAGATTCCTATATTACAGTTATTTGCAACACTCTTCCTAATTCTGGATGTTCTCAAGGCCTCATTCCCAAATGAATCCTATGAGAGTCTCAAATAGAATTTGCCTTCAATCCTCATCATGCTTGATACCTTATTCGATTATGGATATCCATAAATCACATAAAGATACGCACTAGAAAGTATAGTTAAACCAAGAAGTCTAATTTAAAAAATAAAGGAAAAAGTAATAGGCAGACAGAACTTACAAAAAGAAACTGTTTCTGTAATGGATAGCTACATAGAAAGCTAGGCAGATATGAATGAATATAGTCAATATAGAATCCCTGAAATCAAGGGTCAAGAGGAAGTTTACTTCGATGTTATCGAATACTTAAATTGTGTATTAGATAAGAATGGAAGAATTTTGATGGAAGAGATCAATGGAGAAATCAAAGTTGACTGTAATCTATCAGGAATTCCTGAATTATATGTATTCCTCAATCAACCAAAACAGTTTGATGATTACTCAGTTCACGAATGCTTGCTCTAAAAGATTGATACTTTTGAAAGGGAACAGGTCTTGGTATTTGTTCCTCCTTCAGGAACTACAACTATCTTTTATTATAACATTAAAGAGATTTCAATTAGAGTTCCATTTGACTTCATTCCAAAATTGTAATTCCTAAATAACTAAGTTAAAATAGATCTCCCTTTTTAAAATAGACCAGTCAGAGATATATCATATGTAGTTGATGAACTTCATGTAAAATTAACAGTACCAACTGGTCTGAGTCTTGGGGAAACGGAGATGGTTCAAGGAACACTTCAAGAATTGGAGAATGTAGGTACCTGATGATATCATTTAGGCTATTCTGTGGAAAATAGGAAAACTGGAAATTGATTCATCAATTAGATTAGCTGTAACCTTCACAGCAAAGGAAGAATTATTCAATATCATCTAATAGGGAAATTTCTTGGTCCAATTAAAATTTGTTGTTAAGACATTCAGCTCATCTCAAACTAAAATTGATAAAGTTGAGGTTAAAAATGGGCCTAAGGTTCTGATAAAAAGAGCCAGAAATATAGCTAAGAGTGGCTATTACGAAATTCGATTAAATTGATGATTTTATTTTATTTAAATTAAAAGTTTTACATAATTCGAATATTTAGAAAAGAGAGAGAAGAATTAACATAATTTTATTAATACTATTGCTGCAATTTTCAATTTATAATTTATAATAAAGAATTTATTAACATTTATGGAAAATAATAAGATATTGAAAACTCTTTGAAGATATATTAGTTGTGCAAGTTTGTTTTTTCAACATTTTTCACATAATTTTTTGTACATTCAATTTTAACATATTTTGATGTGCTTTAATTTGAGAACCTTGATTGCTAGTTATAACTGTAATTACATATATTATTATGTAAAATAAAGATATCTATTTTTCTTATAAATAAAAGTTTTATTTTGACTTACTCCTTTAAACCAGATATATATGGTACAAAATTATATATAGGATTGATATTCAATAAAATAGAACAAAATTATCAATATCATTATTATTCAAACGTGAATATCAATTATTAAATAATATAAGCTATGAAAAACAAGAAGACCATTTTAGATGAAAGAGAACATCTGTGGCTTTTAATCAATTCTAAACCCAACAAAACATTTTAACTGAAAGGAACCTATGATTATGCTGCTGCAATATCCCCAAATAATCAATATATCGCTATTCAGATTCAAAATGAAGATGAGGAAAGGGAATTATTGATCTACAACACTGTCATGAAGAGAAACATCAAAATCCAAAAGAGCAATTATATATAACTGATTTTTTCTCCTAATTCAATGATCCTGGTTGGATCTATCTGTAATAAATGGATATAAGTTATGAAGTTGAAGTCAACCGCTAAAAAGTTTAAAGTAGATAAGCAATCTTAGTTAATCAACCCAAAACATTTTCCGTCTAATTACAATATGGAATTTAAGACAGATAAAAATTACCTATTTGTATTCTCAGTAGAAAATGGGTAATTTGCAATATGGAATTTGGAGAGTGATGATTTAATAGCAGTTGTTAATTACTATATAAAATAACCTATGATGGTGATGAAATTGTCTCAAGAAGATTCCAATATTTTAGGCATCATTAAAAAGATGAGAATTCAATATAGAACTACTTCAAAGGATTTTAAAAAACTAATTTTCAATAATAATCTCTTATCAGTTGAATATTTATAAGAAGAAGGAGGAATGATGATAAAATGTAGGAATAAAATTTTAAGATCGCATTTTGATTCTAAATTTGGGGATGAGATAAAGAGTCTTTCAATTTCAACTCTAGGCACAAGAATTATATATGTATCAGGCCTAGTGATGTATTTGTATAGCGTTGCAACAGGAAATATACTTTTGAAAAAGAAAATTTATAATGTTGAAAAATTGATATTAAATGATCATTCATTGATAATGATTGAAGGGGAGTTAATTAAGTATTGGGATACAGAATAAACTTGATTATTTTATTTTGTTTACGCAACTACTAATAATATTATTACTTTTATATGTAAACAAGATTATATTGTTTTGAATTATTATAATAAAATAATTCTAATTTTCTAAATTTAATTATTGCTTGTACTTAAGTCCTGAATCATACCTTTATTCTATACCACAATTTTCTATAATCTATCCCAGAATCAAAGATTTAAGTTTTTCATAAAATTCCATATATTTTATATAATCATCATTATTATTAAATACACTACAAGCACATTAAAAAATCCCCACTTTATAAATATGCGTATTTGCTGCAAACTAAACAGCAATTATTTCCACAGCCAGTGCATTCATTAATGCACTTCTAACACATCAATTTGTTGCAGACTGAACAATTGATGTCATCTGAAACTATTTTAATTTCACAGTTTGAGCATTTCTTGATAATTTGATCCTCTAGAATTTAATCTTGATCATTCGTTCTCTTGTAGACTATTTTTATATTTATTGACAATATTTACAGATACTATTGAAATTTTATTTTGACGCGCTCTTTTTACTATTGCTTGAAGTGGGATCTTTGTATTATTTCATTTAATCTAATTCTTGAGCCAATTGATAGTTGATTTCAGAATAAACCTCTTATCTCACATTTGTATAGTATGGACTTGTACGAAACATATATATTAATTATAGAAATCAAATTATGAATTGAATCATTTTCTCATTATTCTAAATAATACCAATACTCTTTCCTATCTTGCTAAATGTTGAAGTATCAACCTCAAAGTTATTATTCATACTCTAGTATCTAAGGTGCATTTGGTATAGATGACTATTTCTAATATTATTGCCTTGATTCTGATTGAGAGGGCAAATATAGATTGAAATATACATATTACCTATTGAATCTTAATATGTAATTATATCTAATATTCTTTTTTATATAGATTTTATAATAGTGTGAATAAAAATACAATATTATCATTTTAGCTTTTGGAAATTAATGCAATATTATTGTTTAATTTAATAAATAAGAAATAATAGACATAATTTTAAAAGCGATCTTTATCATTCAACAATTTATAATTATATTTGATAATAATTTAAGATTTGTATAGTTATAACATTAATAAATGCAGAACACAGATTCCTGTTTTGTCATTAATACTACTTTTGAGTTGTTTTAAAATATTACAAATTTTATTAGCGTTTGATTAGGGAAGTGTGAGTAAGAAATAATGGTTTTATTTATTCAATGTAACTTTAATCTCTAAATTACAAACAATGTTTGTTGAATAGGTTTATATTTTATAAAATTCAAAAATTGATCAAAAATATAAACATATATATTTACTTTAAGTCTAATCAAATTCATAAAATACTTATTAAAAATAATTATCTATTTAATATCAGGAATTTCTGAATCTATATATATAAATGATGGAACATAGATATTAATAATTAATTCATTTCAAACCTTCTGCTTAATTTGTATTATAATTGTTGGGTGTGAATGTACCTCCATCTAATAGGAAATCAGTATTTTAAGTCTTGTTGCCTTGTAGGTCATAGTTGAAGGAAACTGATTGTTATTGTTGGATTGCTAGATTGAATTAAATATAGATACTATTTTTTCGAGGCTTTCTTTGAGGACTCAATTAAGGAGTGGACACGATTGGATATTTGGCAAGGTACTATAGTCTTAAGATGTTTGATTACCTCATGGAATTTTTCTCTATTGATGAGTTTATTTTATTCCAAAGATTTAAAGAAATTATTTGTTAAATCTTAATTCTACTTGACATCGTAGAGTGATTCTAAGAAGTACTTCATCACTTTGATGCATCCAATACTGTCAATCAGATCGGTGAGGATGGGTTGAAGTATAGTGTACAATTCAAACTCCTTATAGGATTTGGTTTAAAAGATGAGTCGTTCATAGAGTGCTTCAATTAGATTAGACTTATTTAGTTTAGAGTATTGTCCCATATAGATGACTGTAAATTCTACTCGATTGTCAATCACGATTTCTTATTCCTCAATAGACACAGAAATTCTTTGGTTAAATGATTTGTTTACAATAAGTTAGGATACTCAACAGTCAATCTTGCAAAGAGTTCATACAGGAAGTTCACTCTCTGTCCAGATAGCAAAATAACAATGTCAGAGGTGATTTTCACTGCATTCACTAACCCCTTATAGATTTGTTCACTTTTATCCTTGCGGTAATTGGTGAGGTTGATAAAGATTCCGTCGACTGGTGTTCGATTCCAATCCATTCTGAGAGTTGCAAAGTTGGCCCCGATCACTGAGATTTCAAGTTAATGCATTTTCAACTATTCTAAATTGTGCCATCCCATTTGTTGATGTTGGATATTTTAGGTTACAGCAATTACTGACATTCCTTGGCTGAGAAACTACCATTCAGGATTGTAATACTTGGATAGAGTGTTAATTGAATTGACTGTTGATTTCAAGGACTCTTTAAGCCGGTTACATTCTTCCAGCGATGTATCGACTCAGATGCAGAGGAGCTATTTTATTTTGCTTAGTGTCAAAGAGCAGCTTCTTCTCTTCTTGATGATCAAAGATATGAGTAGGGTTTTTGGAGTTCACAACAAGATTCTTACTTATTGGAAATTGCATCTAAGTTTTGTGAACCAGAAAGCAACATTATTAAGTGTTGTCAGTGATCAAATGATACGGCGATTCAATCAACTAATTCATAGATTTTAATTGAGTCATGATATTACTATCTTCCATTGGATTTTGCATCTATTTCTATTGCTGATAATGTCCTTGATTTGGAGTTTACACTGATCGAGACTTCGGACGCTATTCATTACTCTCCTCTCCTGTGCATACACAGAATAACCTTTTCCAAAATGGCTATTTCGACATGAAAATATAATTAATATACACAAACACATACATCATCAAACTAGTTTGTTTATTTGTTAAGGAATCTTGACAGGATTTATAACAACCCCTGCCTTAGTAATTATTTATGGCTGCGTCAATGCTGAATGACTAGTCAAACTGTTCCATTCCGGACCAAGAGGCAAGGTGTGTAGTTAATCAAATTGTTAGGAATTAGCAAATTCGCTTGGCAATTTTGGAACTAAATATTTTGCAAACTAAAACATCCTTATAATGATTAATACCTTAGCATCTCTTTTCTCACTGATAATCACATTATCTAACTTAGCATCTAGTCTCTTCTTTTAGACTTCTCTAATCTTCTTTATTTTATTCTATAAAATCTACTCCTAAGTCAATGGTTTTTTCTCTTTGATCCCAAATCCAGCCCAAGATCCCCATCCCTTTGTATTTGCTGGTTCAGGAGGCAACTCCTCTTCCATATCTTTTATTTTCTCATCTATAAATGCATTTTCATTCTAATGATTCAATGATTAAATTTAATACTTCATCTTCATCCAAAACTAAATTGAAATTGGCTAAATTTTACTATAACAATTCATCTGGATCTGATTGCAATTTCTTTAAGTCTTGATTAGTCAATTTTTAATTCACTTATTTTTCATACTTCTATTTAATGTTTTTTATATTTAATCCTTCTATCAATTACTTCTTTTCTTCTTAAACAGTCAATTACTTCTCTATTTTATTTTATTATTATTGCTTTTCAGGTTCTAAGTTTAAATAATTAGACAAAGAAGTCTTCGCATCAATCTTCTTCTTCTAAGCTTCAGTTAGTTACTTGGTTTCATTAACAAAATTTGCTCTGCCATTGAACTCATTATTTTCAACATTAGTTTTTGTTTTATCCTTATCACCATTTCCATTAGGCTCATAATTATCATCACTATTCTATTCTTGATTATCTGATTCATCTAATTAGATGGCATCATCATTCCCAGATTTGAGCATTGTCAATAACTTCTATGCTATTGATTTTGATTATTACAAATCTTGTTTCTTTTATTTGTCTAAGAATCCAAAATTATTTTATTTTTCCTTCTCTCTCCTTTCTATATCTAATAATTCTTATTCCAATTGAGTTATTGCTTATTCTCTAAAGTTCTCTTCGTCAAATTCACCATCCTCCAATTCATTAAGTTATGCCTTGGCTAATAATTAATGCTTAAGATTATTGAGGAATGACTATTGTTGTTTCAGAGATTTCTTGTCTCCTCCAAATCTTAGAAGCTAAGAGACATACTTATTCTTAGTCGAGTGTCTAAGTGTAATTCTTTCCTTAGCTCTTGATAATCTTAATTTTTCTATTTCTTTCCTTCTTTCTGCAGGTGTTAGTTAAGCCATCAATTTAAGTTTCTCCTTGTTGCCTTTCTTTTTCTTAATTTATTTGTAGATTTTCGATTTAATTGATGAAATCTTCTTCATTTTCAGATCATTGTAGAATTGCAAATTGCCCTTTTGTTGATTTGATTATCCATTCAACTCTTGTTTTTATTCGACTTTCTCGACTTCCTCCATAGCATTCTATAGTTTGACACCTAAATGATTATTTAATAAAGCATTGGATGTATCAGATCTAATTACATTTTTATATTGATTTACATCTTAGATATCTAGACATTCCTCTATTTGGTAAAGTCTAACCTCTCAGACTCTCTATTTTTCTTCACAATGGGTAACCATTTTTTGATATCCTACTTCATCACAGTAGCAGCCACTTTACGTTCTTGTAAGTCTCTTTCAGCTTGAGTTTCTGGTTCTTAAACAATCCTCTAAATTTAATTGATTAGTCTTACTGCTTTTTCATGCACTCTTAAGTATTGAGTTTTAACACTATCTATCTACTATCCTTGATCTTCAAGTGTTTGAATCAGATTGGCAACATTAAAATCATCATCTGGAGTCTCTTACAATTTGACTTACTAATAGGCATCCTATTTCTCTACTTTTTTAGCCAACTATTTCTCAAGTCTTTATTCTTTATTTAATTTACCCATATTTAAATTAGTAATAAAATAATAATATATATGTAATCATTACACAAATTGCCAAGGAGTCAAACCTTCATTATTCCTCAAGTTTGAAGCTCCCTGGGAAATCAAAATGTCAGCAATGTTGAAGTAATTGTATGCAATAGCTTTGTGCAAAGCAGTATCACCATCATTCTTAAACAATAATAATAGACACTTACATTCTACATATTTACAAAGGATCCCTTGCGTAGAAGTAGTTCAACTATGTCGACATTTCCAGTTTGGGCTGCAATAATCAAATACGTATTTCCATCCTTTAATCTTTCATTGATCGGCAGATTCGGGTTATTTGCAAAGAGTTCCTCTAACTATTAATAATCGCATGACTCATACTTCAGCTAACTTTTGTTCTTCTATCAAATATTTAGCAATTTCTATAACAGGAATTGACTACCTCCTACGAGATTCAGTAATCTACGTTCTCATTTGCAAGGAGTGCTTACTCATTGAAGAAATCATCATCACAGCCTTTCTTCTTTCTTGACTCTTGGTAACAGTTGGTTTAATCAGATCCTCTTTTTGTGAAGATAGGGGCTGTAGTATTTTGTATCGTTTAAGTAATTGTGGCTTTCATTTTATTAGACTAACTAGTATTATTGCTGTTTTCTTTGATACTAATTTCTTCCTGGGGAGAGTCACTTCTTCTTCTTAAAACACTTGTTTGACTTGAAGTGGCTTCTAATAATTATTTGACAGGTTTAGTCTGTTGATTTATGGTTTGATGACGAGGAGATGATATAATTTTGGAATTATGCTTTTGATTCGATCTCTCACTAGATGGAGATTAATCTGGATTGGATTTCTTCTTCTATATTGGTTTGGCAGCCTTGATAAACATTTTGGCTATGTCAATTTTAATAGTAGATTGTCTATGTTATGGCTGATCTTCAGGCTCTAATTCAATTAAACCATAATCAGTAGTCAAATTATCGATTTCGTGTTGATCTTCAAATTCTCCTGTCAAAATGCTATTATATTGAAAAAACATAAGTTTTGAAACTTTAATTTAATCACTTTTCTTAAGATACCTCATTTAAGAATTAATCTTTCTAATTATTTGACCATCATCGAGAGCAGGATTAAGGCGATCATTAATAAATTTTGTATCTATTTAGAAATCGAAATCATGCAACATTCATGTTTCTATCCTCACAATCCAATGTATTTACAATGAATTGAATATGATTGCTTATATTAACAGTTTTTATTTAGGATGAACATTTGCAACATTTCTTAACATTGATTATCGATGCTGAAACTTTGATCACCGAATTCCGAATTATCCAAATGAATAATCATATTAATAGATTTAAGAGAATAGGAAACGATTGGGTTCGATTTCAACTTAGAATGTTGGATTAGAGAGTGATTCATGATTACTATTAGCAGGATTCGTACACCAAGAATAGACTCTGCTAGATTATTGACTTTCACTTGGTTTCGAGAAGGAGATAGAACCTCTTTTCTCTTGTATCAATTGCAAATGCAATAGGATATTCTCCTCCAATTTAGTGAATGTGCGAGACATCTTATTTTGCAAGTACATCTTCATGAACCTTCTAGTCTTACTTCATATAATAATTACTTTTTATATATTATAATATTGGTGGACATCCTCTTATTAATTCTCTTCTTCAGTTATTCCAACAATCTTAAGAATAGATTTCGAAAACTTCGTTGTCATTTTCTTGGGTTATGAGGTGATCTACGATGAATTTGTATTTACTTACAAACTGCAAAGCTTACTTCAACACATGCTTAGGCTTGTCGCTGTACTCTTGAATCTCATCATTCTCTTGTAATCGCTATCCATAATCTGGTATACTGAAAGAGAATATTCCAACTTCATTCTCTGGACTACATACAGATATAGTTAATTTTCGACGATTGTTCTATGGCAATGGTTGAATCTCAGCATTCTTCTCTTCGATGGCCTCCAAGACTTGAGATACGATTGTTCCTGCCTTCTACAACTAAGTTGCCTAGTTCTAAAACTAAATCGTAGAAAGATGATTAGTAAATGTAAATCTAGGACTCGTCATCTAGGTTTTGAACTTATCTGACAAAAAGCTATTCTCATTAGTATGAATGTCATCATGTTGAATGTGACTAGTAGTAATGATTTACCTGATCTTTTTCAGAAACATTTTCATGTTCAGATTTTCATCAATTTAATCAAAAGACTCTTCAATATTGGGATTCTTCATAAAGATTTTGTTCCTCCATTCCTTTTTAAATTCCAAGGGGCCATCCAAAGTAAAATTCTTATCCTCCTCCTTTTTTGACTTCTCTTCGGTAATGATATTTTTAAATTCCGCTGAAGCAACCAACTTGAATATTGATTGCTATTGTTTAATCTCATTCTCATGAACACTCTCTTAAGTCTTTAATTACGTAGCCTTAATCACTTTTCTTGCTACAACTCTTCCAGTCAAAGGAGCTGGAACCTAAATCTGTGGTAATTAAGGAAGTTGTAATGGGGGAATAATACTTTTTATAAATGATCTTTGAGTGATTCGACTGATAAAAAATGTGTTAGTGTTTGAAACCTCTTGGACAGTGTGTAAAGATTTGGCCTTATTATGACTCTTAGTTCTCATTATAAATATAATTAATTGTAAATGAGTGTTTTTATGTTTAAGCAATTTATTTTATTTAAATATATTTAATTCATTTAAGGAATGAATAATAAATGGCTGCTAATATGGCAAATATGGCCAAGAGTAGTATGGTTAGATTAATAAAGCAATTGCAATCTGCTAATTGTTCATCACTTTATTCATTCGCTAAAAACAATCATAAGCTTATCATACTTGAATTATTAATCACATTATTGCATTGATTAAAAGTCTAATTGTAAGTGATATTATTATTGATAGTCACCGGCATAGAACCACTAGTCTGCGTACTAATCAATGGCTATACTTTCTTATTAAATTTATTCTTGTTGTGCTATCATAAATCCTTAAGTCTTACCTTCTAAGGAATGGTCTTCCTCTTGAATTACAATTTGGCCAATTCTTGTCTAGCCAATTCCTATTCTTGCATCTAAGTAGCCTTATCTGTATAACTCCATTAGTTTTGTTTTAGCCACTCCCTAATGTCCTCTAAATTCTGCTCTTGAATTCTCTTAAACTCGTTTTGTACTTGAGGATCCAATAAGTTTATACCATACTTCTACGCAAACTCATACAATTTCTACTGTTCAATTTTGAATACTTACTTTCTTAGGCCTATTGAAATCCAATTAGGATATCTTTTCCAATTACTTCTTCGCTGCTATTGCTTTTTTCAACTTCTCTCTTAAGTCTTCAGCCTCTTTCAATTATCCATTCTACTAATATATCTTCACCATCTCCATTCCTCTTGTTTCTATGAATCTTCCTAACTCTGATACTTCCATTGGAATAGGCTTTGTGTTATCTAATTCATAACTCAACTCTTGATCATAATCTTGATAAGCCAAATGAGCCATGAAATCCTATTGGACATCCTCATCATCTTCTTGCTTTCTATACTGTTGAATCAACTCCAATTGTTTTCTTTGCAAATCTGTGTAATTTTTATATTCCAACTCTTTATATGCCAATAATTATGCTTTCACCTTCTCATAAAACTTTGCCAATGCTGCATTGTGTGGATCAAGTTGCTAAGCAAATTTGAGATCCTTGAATGCCATTTGACAATCTATTTGTGTGATATTGTCAGACAAAAAACGGGACTATTGCTATTTCTAACACATACTTTTGCACGCAAAATCAAAGCATTTATACATTAGGGACTCATTTGTAACCAGTAGTCGCACATCTTTGTACATGCACCTTGTTCCAACTGACGATAATAGCATTCTGCCATTTTCTCAAATAATTTGAGACGAAGTCCTTTTGCTCTTTAAATTATTTTAAGTACTGTCTATTAGAGATTGCTCAGGTTATTTTTATTGAATTAACTCTTCAAATGTGGTGTCTTCCCATCTCTTTGGCATTCTAGCCTCGGCAAATACAGACATGCAAATCTCAAATTAATCTATTGCATTTCCAAATTGTTCTAATGGATTATTCTAAACTTTCACATACCTAATTCATAAAATTTCAGACCACGTTCGAGTAATAATTCACATATTTTCATTTTTTACTAGAAAGATTAACGTTTTTATTGCTTGAATGCTAAACGAAGCATTTATTTTAGATAATATAATAATAAATTAATTAATTAAAATCTAAATATTCCTGATCAGTGTGTTAACTTTAAATAACATCGAATAAATTTAATAAATTTAGATCGACTTTCCTTATCTTGGATATTAGTACATCCCCTTAAATTAATGGATTAAAAGAAATATCAATGAGATCAAGCAAAACAAGTAGATATGGAAAGGGTGGGGAATTCTATTGGTTTTTGAGGCTGATTCGATCCAAATAGGAAGGAGTGTGTTACCTTGAGAGAATATGTGGATCAATAATAAATGATTAATAAGTTAAATTTTTAGATTTGTATTAATTTATAGATTGTTATTATTTAATAAATAATTTTTAATTGAATTTTAACTTTGTGTATGTGATTATTATAAAAAATAATCCAATATGAAATTTACATTTAATAATGTTAAACGAGAAAGTAATATTTGATTGAAAGTTGAATTTCGATATTGTAGGCAGCAATTTAGTGATAGTATTTATTATCAGTAAGAAATTAAATTTAATTATTCATTATTCAAAATATGCAGAGAATTAACTTTGCGAGTTTCTTCTATTTCGAGGCATTCGTTACTTTTGAATTGATTTGGGCGAGTTTGAATAGCAATGACAATTTATTGTGGATTCCAATCTTATTACACTATATTGGTCTAATTGTTAAGATGGCTCTGATGAAATATTCAGATTTCAAAGTGTTATGGATTGTGGGAGTGGGGAATGATGGCATAGTCTTCGGATTATTGTAAAATGACAATTAAGATTTAGCATATTTATATGTAGAGTAGATTTAAATTTTAGGTACTTATATTGATATAGTTTGAACTGCTGTACGACACAAAAATGTTCTATAATCAGAGTATTCTGGTGCTATTTTGGGGGATGGTTTCTCAAATTTTGTACAATTATGTGTAGGTGTGGAGATTGATGTTAACTTTGGGATAATGTGTTGCATTGCTTGGATTTTTATACTTTATAAACCGAAAAAAGAAGAAGTCCTCAATAGCCAAATCAAACTAATGTGTGCAATAGGAGACCATTTAGAGTGCAAAGATGCATATTCTTAAATTAATGTATGAGTGATCAGTAACCGAGGCCCTGGATGACAGATCAAAAGTTCATTGTCCTAAATGATCATTTTAAATGTCTCCACAATCAATCTGACATCTGTTAGTTGATGGAAAGCGATAAGGATGAAGCGATCGAACGTTTGTTGGATATAAGATGCGATACCTATTCATAAAATCTAGTAAAAATATTATCAGAACATAATACAAATATTATTTCATCGCCCTTCAAATTGCCATTTTTGAAACCCGACATCAGAACCATTTTATCATCTCTATTATCTGATATGAATTCCTATTACTCCTATTTTTGTGTGGCTGACTTGGATAACAAAAATCTGATTAATGTTAGATTAAACTTTTTTGTGTTGAGCGATAACTTTATCGACTATTTGATCATCCAATTTGAACCCTCCATGAAAACCATCAACAAATCTGTTTACACCTTTCCAGATAACTTCAAACTAAACAACACAAACAATTTCTACAACAACTCAAATCATTCAAAACAAACCTACGAATCTTTATCAAGTGAATTGCTAGGCAACATATTCCAATCTATTTCTCATGAGTTTGGAACATTTCTCAATTGCATTGTCACTGTCTCATCCGAAGCTATGGACAACGAACTTATCAATGAACAAGTCAAAGCAACTTATATCGAGCCTACTTATATCAACTCTAAATTACTCTCGTATGTACTTCAGAGTGTAAGGGATTTCAACACTATATTATTGAAGCAATTCGCTTTGAGACTTCAGGAATTCAGTCCCTACGAAATCATTCAGGAGATATAATATTTACTGAATTAATAAACAACACAAAGAAATAATTAAATTATAATCAACTGTCCTCAACAACTTCTTGTGTATAACGATCAAGATAGATTCAAATAAGTACTGTATCAATTGATGAGCAATTCAATACGCTTCACTGAGAATGGCATCATCACAGTATCCATCACCTTTTACAAGGATAAAATTAAGGTCAAAGTATAGGATAATGGCATTGGGATGAATCAGGCAGAACAGGTCAAATTGCAAAAACTATTGAAGGACAACACCAAATTACTAAGGATATCTCATAATTCAGTTGGATGTGGATTGGGCTTGAGCATCTCTAATGCAATCGTATTGAAAATGAATGGAAAACATGGAATCCAATTTACGAGTGAATTGTAAAAGGGCAGCGAATTCTTCTTCACAATATCCAATTCGCAATAACTCTATAATGATAGTGTGTATGTGGCTAGTCAAACCTACGTGAAAGTGTTAAATTAAACCTATTATTTAGAATAATAACCAATTTCTGAAAGCTCTCATAAAGGCTAGATCTTGAACAGTGATCACAAGGATGACAATTGCGACACATGGAGAGAAAGAAGTCTGTTTCAAAACCATGCTATACGTTTCAGATCAGCAGATTCCAAATCATTATTTGGCCAGAAATTATAATTGGAAGAAGATGAAATTGAATCACGATAGGAAGAATCGAAAATTATGATTCCTTCTTTATAAGCTAGCTTCAAGTCAGAAATAGTTAAATTTAGCATTGGCAGCAATTGTTGTAATAGGGTATTAATTGTAGATGATGAATATTTTAATATTCAGAGTCTGCAGTTGATTCTGCATAGATTCAATGCTCATTGTGATTTCACTTTCAATGGGTAGGAAGCAATAAAGAAGGCTATTTAAAAAATGAAGGAGCCTTGTCGACACTGCTAGAATAATGGTTATGTTGTATTCTTCCTTGATCTCAATATGCCTATAATGGATGGATTTGACACAGTGAGAAATTTGAAGAAGATGATGCATGAGAATCAAATTCCAAAAGGAATCTGTATAGCGAACACTGGGTATGCTGATTTGGAGAGCAAGCAGAAGGCCTTGAATTCAGGAATGGACTTTTATATGATCAAGCCTATAGAAATAAAGGAGTTGGAGTCATATTTGAAGAGAAAGTTCCCTTAATGATATATGATTTTCTATATTATAAATATTTAAAAGTCGTTGGGGAGGAAATGCTGATGGTGAAAAAAAGTAGTATTGTGAAAAGAAGGAACAATGATGAATATTGATATTGTGATCATGAAATGTCCAAAAAGGAATTACAGAATCTGTCATCATAGTTTTGGATGCGAAAGATGTTGAGTTTGATTGAGTCTGCTGCAAATTGATTTGCACACTCAATGACGCATGTGTCAGCCTCAATATTAATGTGCTTCACCAGTCGAGGATTGACAGCGTGACCAACAGCGATGCGCAACTCTTCGATTTTTAGATCTTGAGTTTGAATCTGCTTAATTTTCAATTTGACAGGCTCCTCGATCAGTTCATTAATCTTTTTCTATTTCAACTACTTGCACTAATTTTTGTAATTGAGCCAATCGATCTTACTCATCACTCGTAATCCGCCTTTGATCATTACTAAATTAGACTCTCCTTACTTTCCCTCTCCATAATCTCTTTAGGTATTAGGTTGTTGCAAACTTGAATGGCCTTGTTTACACTCTCGATGTTGAGAAAGGTTATAAATCCATACGTGTCGAATTTCTTCACCTGCAAGACCTGCTTATCTATCTATTTTTCATAATGACAATAACACTACTCTGCTGAAAATCTGATGCAACAATTATTGATCCACGACTCGGGGAATGTTCTCCACATAAATGGTCCTCTCATCCATAAAGTGACTATTGTCAACAAATGGAATTCTCCTCTTCACCATCCCTCGATCCTCATCCACCTCCAATATGTCACTTCTTTTCAATGCATATATTAGAATGAGCACTTGTTGCTTCGATCCTTTCGGATAATTACGAAGTATAACTTTTATCTTATTACATTATAAGAATGCCTCCAAAGGAATCCAACCCTAATTCTCTTGGAGTAGCCGTCTGAAATAGTTATCATGCAAAAGGTTCGCATCTCCCAAGTAGAATTCAATTTATTTGCAAATCCGGGGTAGTAAATAATCATCCTTCTCCTGGCGAGACGAAACAACTATTTTGGCTGTGGGGTCATATTAATCACCTAATTGGCAATCCAGACTTTGAAATTAATTTATGTTCTTCATTATTTATTAATTATTTTATTATTATTACCCTTCATATATATACACTACTATTTAATTAGTTCCAATATGAAAGAATGAAAAATAGGTGGATAATAAAGGGATTCAGGTGAATAAAATCAGGTATGTATTTTATGCAAAAGGGAGAGTAAGAATTTTATTCTTACCTACCTTTTGAAAATTACTTCCGTATTAATGATATAATGAAAGGAAATCTAAGGATTTTTTTACTGAAAATGATGAAATAGGTATCTTAAAAATAGGATTGATCAAGAAATAAAAAAGATAAATATTAAATATTTGGATTCTTAAAGAATTCAATAATTATTTATTTTATTTGGATTTATTAACACTCCTCAAAGGATATTATTAAAAACTAGAGATGAATATTAGTGGTGCTAATAATAAAGCTGATATATCTAAAACTTAGACAATTTAATAATTTAATAATCGATTTAAGATACATCAATATAAAATGAAAACTTAAAATATTAAACCTTTTGTATATGTATTTTATCCAAATTAAAAATTTAATTGATATTAGTATTTTGTTGTAAAATGATATCATAATATTTAACAAATTACATTCATTATTATTATTATTGTTATCTCTCCTCTTTAGGAAGATTAGCATGATAGATTTTTTCCCAACTAATAATGGTGTTATCAAGATTGGTTATGCTTTACTGGAGGAATCCATCCTAAGATAATGTGATAATGAAATACAAAGAAGGTATTCAAAGTGAACCAAAGAGGTCTAACAATCACTTTAAAGAATCCCATTTCAGATTTAGCCATAATATGCAATTTATCAAGATCCTTCAAAAATGGTGTTTATGGAATTCCCAATCTGCCTTCTTCATCATATTATGCACTGAATTCTTTATTAACTCTCTCAGACCAAATTCTGGAAATCTCAAAGACCTTAGCTCCTCCATTAAAATCTGCTGTATGAATAATCATTCCTGTTAATAATTTTAGATCATCATCCCCAGTACCAAATGGTTTCGTGACTTCATCCTTGATCCTACTTTCAAAATCTTTTAACAATGTGAAGTGGACCTTAATGTCAGTATATAAAATGTTATCTATGAGAACTCTTCTGAATTGTTGAGTTTGTTCCTTTGATAAGGAATTCAAGAAATTGAGTGAAGGATCCTTTAACATAAAAATAGTAGTTGCAGCATGATGCTATTCCAGAGGCTTAAATAATAAAATGATTAAATTACACTAGAATCATGATAGCGAGTTGCTAATTTGGATTGGCTATTAATCATAAAAATGTTAGTTCTGCCAGTGTGTGATACATCATGACACAAACCTGAAATTATAGTTGACATTCTTCTGAAATCATCAATGAATTGTTTTGCCTTTCCACATTACAACATGAAGTGAGAACTTTGCATCACAGCAATTCCATGATCATAATTGTGAAATGAATTATTTCGTCTGTTGTACTTCTTCTACAAAACACTCAAGAATTGAGCTAAACATTGTTTATTTAAATTGTATTAGGATATGAAACCATTCTTCTCTAAAATGCTATACACTATTCGATGCTTCTCTTATGATGAGTCTAAGACTAAGATGTTAAACTCAAATAGATCCAATTAAGAGTCACTTTCATTCACTTTAAATTGATTAGCATCCACTGTTTCTAATTATAACTAACACTTAACATAAACACTAGACCCTATTTTCTTTTACTTTTGTGGAGGTATAATCCATTAATCATTCTACATATCCTTATTTTGTTACTCTGGACTTCTACCATCAGTTTTGCGATGTCTAATCTATGATAATTCATTTTCAGGGATGAATAGTGCAATCATAGAATTGGCTACATCTTGAGTTTCATCCAATTAATTTAAAAATTTAAATGTCTGATGTTTGTTGTATTAAATTAATATTTGTTTCTAAATGTCCTCCTCTAAAGATTTATTGGCCTCTGCCTCTTTTTAGACATCATTTGTCATATTGTCAATTTTTAATGCCATGAAGTATTGTTTCAATCTTCTGGCTTCATTCTCATGGAAAATCACAGTAAACCCTTTAAAATCATTATCAACAACTTTGAGGAAAATTTCAAACTAAGGATTCTCCAAATTACTCAAATATTGATTTCTTCTATTTTCATGTATGTTCTAAATATTAACCTCAATGTTCGATATGATACTATTCTAAGCAAAGATATCCTAATAAGAAATCTTGTTATACAAAATGGCTTTGGGATCAAAGTTGATATTATATCTTTCTCTATAAATATTATAACAAACTTAATACTTTAAGGATTTAGAGATTGGTCTACTCAAGAAAATCAATTCTCCTTGTTTATTAAAATCGAATAATAAGGAATCTGTCGTCCTCAAGAAATACTTATAAAATGCTGACTTTTCGTAACACAACTTCACATAACCATCATACTTTTCTTGGATTTGAATGATCTATTAAGTAAGTGCTTAATGATTACCACTTAGTATAAGTGTTGATCCTATTCATTTTTCAAATCCATATCCTTTATTCTTAAGGTGACTGGGTTTGAATCCTTTAATTCGATTTTGACACACGAGGCTTCCTTCAACCTTCTGATATTTTCATCGGTTGAGAAAGTTTGTTCCTTATCCACCTCATATTTTATGCTAAGGACTTTCTCAATTCCCTCGACCAACAAAAATCTAGATATACGCATGAAACTAATTCCGATATCTTGAACTTAGTCAGCAAATCTAAGTGGATTGAAGAATTGGACCTTGGCTGTAATGATGGTTTCCACCAGAAATTATGCCAAATGAGTCACATCCTTGTTGAATCCATACATATTGGCATAACTTATATAGTGAATCTACAAAGTACTTTATGAATTTCCTTTTGATATTCTTCTTGTCTTTGTCAGCCCAATGAAGACAAAATAGAACTTCGTAATTCTTTAATTGCAATTAAAACTTCACAATTGATGTTTGGGCATAACCAATCGTCTTGCAGGTATCTTCAATTTAAGGATACTGTCTTTGTTTTGGATCTATTCTGTAAATACAGAAGGGACGAATGTAAGCTAATTCATCCGTTACCCTCTGAGCTTCTTCAGGTGTTACGTCTTTGATGGAATCATTGGAGGATTAGTACACTTCCCATTCTTTATCTCTGTGAATGAAGAAGGTGAATTCATCTGCATCCACCAGGATTTTAAGTAAGAATTTCAGGACTTAATATAAATTCTCATAGGAAATGTCCTCTTACATGAGCAGTAAATGTGTATGCAAATTTCCAGTGAAAATACTCTTTAACTCTTTATAGATCTCGTCTATTCCCTTTGCCATTTTCTCGTAGACGTCCTCGTCACTGGAATCCAGATCCTTCTCACTTATTTCAGCTAATCTGCTATTTTCCGACGAATATCTAAACCTAAATGGACTCACTCCATCTAAATCAACCTACTCTGTTGTTAGCTTTGAAATTAAGCTGCTCAGTTATATCAGCTTCTCTTTATCCTCTGGTACAAGCAAACTATGCTTATCAATATGTTTGTGTAAGACCCCAGTCAGTTGTTCAATCATAACAGCTGCTGCACTTGCCAAAGGCTGGGCTGACGATTCCTGAGGAGGGACAACCTCTGGTTGTTTTTCCTGCTGCTCTGCTACATCTTTCATGAAATGAACAGTCTTTGATTTATGTGATCTCCTTCTTTGTATTTGTTTGTTTTACGCAGCCAGGTAATCAAGCAGGGCTTCTCGCAATTGCATTTCTCTAAGAAGTTCATATTCAACTCATACTTGCCAGGACCACTATTTTACATCAACATACGACAGATTTTCTCCTCTTTTCGAGTGAGATTGCCTTTCAATAAGGACTTCTGTTCTGGAGTGATTTGATTAGTCTTGCAAAGATTAGTAACTACGATGAAGAATTAAGTGTAGTGACTTAATTATGGATCCATTTTTATATTTTATACAATCGTTTCAAAGTAATTTGCACTTGTGAATAAACAATGAAATTGAGAATACTCAAATGTCTAGAGTATAGTTCATTTAATAAAATATGATCAAATTTCCATCTTCTATTGAAATAGTTTCTCAAACACTGCTCCTGCTCCTGAAGGATCTTGGAAGTATTACAATCTTAAATGTTTTCTAAAATATTGATGGTTTCTTACTTATTGTATTCCCTGACATCTTTACATCCTTACATCCCTTTTAAATATTTTAACAATGATTCCAATTCCCTATCCTCCTTGTTATCGTAAAATGGAACTATAGGTATGCCATTGTCTAATTGCCAAGCATAGGAGTAAGAAGCGTTGTCTACTAGGACTAGTTGACTTAATGGTCTATCAAAAATTCTGAGATCCTTTGTATACATGCCTCCTGTGGTCATGATGCAACTTTCTCTATAAAGACTATGAGAAAAGAGAGTCTTCTAAGGATCTAGATGCTCGATAACTTTTTAGGCATAACAAGGATGTGAAGCCGTGAAGAGTATCAATTCGAAATCATTTACTAGTAATTCTAGCAACTTTACTGCTCCAGGTCTAATGTTTATGCCGGCCTTAATTGTTTCTTGGGGAGACACCTAAATGGATAAGATTAAATCGCTTGGGATTGCTAAACTTTCATTGCAATGAACTAAAGTCTCATCAAGATCAAAGACAATTGTAATTTTATCTAGTAATATAGTAAAGTTTAAGATTACTTTTGTAGCATTCCTTCTACTTTAACTTAACTTGCTTGTTTTACAGATCATTCGGATCAACTGGTTGTAAGTACGTAGCAACATATATTCCTTGATAAGTTTAAAAAAAGTGTTCCCTGTGCATTCGAGTGAAGTAATCATCCTTAGAAGGCTTGGAAAATGCATTCTTCACTCTTGATAGGTAGTATTCGTGAGATTCATCTTATTATTTTTTTGTACTCTCAAAATACTTGTTCACACTCACACTTCCCTTCCCATTACTTTTAGGCGTCACTTGCTGAGATTGAGTCTTTGGCTTCTAAAATAAGGCAGTTTGGAGCTTTTGTAAAATCAAATCCTTGCTTTGTCCCACTGATTACTGAGGACGATGATGAGCTTTCTTTTCAGATGAGGGCCTATAAGATTGGGTTCCTGAAGGGGTCGGAGGTTTAATCGGAACATTAATGTCCAATGATGGTGTAACCTTGGTCACCAATTGACTGAGAATCTTGGAGGATTGAGTCGGAGAAATTATTGGACTCGGACTCTTTCCTTCCTTCTTCTTGAGCATCTAGAAGTATTTCTGAACCGCTGCATTCACCTCTAAGTTGCTTAGTTTCTTGGCCGACTGTTCTCGATTCGGCTGTAATTTTTATAGCAAATAACTTTTCGAGAGATTGAAATCCATTTAATATCGTTGTTGTTTCATATATTTTAAATTTAAGGTAACCTTATTGAAAGGTTAACCTATGATTTATGAATAATATTGCTCAACTTCTAGACATTATGATCCTCTTGCACATCCTCCATTTGCTACATCATGCGATAATGCAATTATCTTATACGACTAGTGGGCGCATTAAAAATTGTATTTGGGAGTTTGGTAAACTTTGGCGGATTCTATGGATCTTACATGCTTTCAGCCTTCCTCTTGCTTTTCTTCTGCTCCTTAATGAAATTATAATCGTCATCGATAACTTTACGCACACTCTTTGTCTTCTCCATTGTAATTGAGCATTCCTTGTCTTTCCGCGGAGAACCCACTTGCAATAACTACAACATGAAATTGAATTTCTCTTTATTTGAGACCCCTTCCCGTTTCAGTTTTTCATGAAGTCTCTTCCGTTCAATTTGCTCACCCATACGTTTAAATAGCCCTTCGATTGTTGGAGGAGTGAAATAGATTTCATCCTTCTTAGGCTTGAACAACTTTTATATGTCAGGATTATGCAAAAGCTGATGGAAGGCTACTTCATTCACATAGTTCTTTGCATTCTAATGACATGCTTAATTGGCTTTTCGAAGAAGCAAACATAAATTCGAGAAGGGTACTTCATATTACCAAGTCTTTTTTTATATTATGAAAATTGTCATACTCGAAGCATTTTGAAAATACGTTCAAGAGTAATCGAGTCTTCATCATCTCGTATGAGATTATAGAGATCCTGCAATTTGTATGAACAATCAGGAGGATATCCATGTAAGTAACACTGTGATTTCATTTAGTTTTATAATTTATGATCCATTTGAGTATGATAGATGCATTTTTAGATAATATATCATTGTTATGATTATGATAAAAATATTAATAAATATCAAGTTACGCGTCTTTTACTAGATGTTAGATCAGAGCTTTCCGTTTTCAATCCCCCTGTTTGCATGAAATTGTTACTCATCAATGCGGACCCTTTCTGGGGACTAGTTCTCAGAGAAGTCTGTTGTTCTAATCGTTTTTGCAATTTCGACTGTCTACTGTCCTCAGATATAATCTTATCTAATGAACGAGGTTTCTACTGCTGAATAGAATCTACATTCTTTATGTGTTCCTTCAATAATCTTTGTTAATCTGCTATTCGTACATTCTCTCTATAATCAAAGTAAAATTCATCAAAAATTTTAAAATCCTTTTTGAAACCTGCTTTTCCAATCAACTTCTCTCTCACTTCCAAGTCTCCCTATTGCAAATTCTTAGTCTCAAAATTCAGTTTCTGAATATCAGGTCTAATGGGCGGTGTCACTCTTTTCATAAGGATATCTGTCAGATTAACCTTCTTGAACCATTTGTGTTACAAAATTTCTCTGACTCCTCCTCTAACTCCCAATCTCTTATGAGGATCTTTGGCCAATAACCCAGACATGAGATCCTTGATTTCTTGACTTAGGAATTGTGGAAAAGTGACTTATTCGTTAAGTATGGAATCATAGATTTTTTGAGTATTTTTACTGTAGAAGGGAGGCAAACCTGTAACTAGTTCATAAAGGAGAGCTCCCAGACAATAATGATCTACTTATATGGTGTGTCCACGTTTGAGGAGCATTTCTGGAGCCATGTATTCTGGAGACCCACAAAAACTATAGGCAAATTCGTCTGGAGTGGTGAGTTTAGAGAGTCCGAAATCAGAGATACGAATATGCCCATCCAAATCGAGAAGTATGTTTTCAGGTTTGATGTCACGGTACATGATTCCCATTTAGTGCAAGTACAACATGCTGATGCAGATTTCCACAAAGTAAAATTGAGCCTACTCCTCTGACATTCTCTTGAGGGTTTTGAGTTGATAGAAGAGTTCTCCTCCGCTACAGAACTCGAGTATAAATACAACAAAGTTGCGACTCTCAAAGGAAAAGAGCATTTGGATTGTAAACGGATGATGGATGAATGCCATGATGTCTCTTTCATTTTGGAGCAATTCTTTGATTCATATATATAGATAAAATACCTGCTTTCTTGTACTTGATGATGAACTCTTTGTCTACCAGTTTCATGGCATAGAAGTGACCGTTCATTTTTGATCTCACCAAGTAGACCTTTGAGAATCCACCCGCTCCAATGCATTTCAAAATTTGAAAGTCCTTAAGTGAGACATGTTAAGCTGTTAGTACTGGTTCTTGGCATTCCAATTGCAATTCAGGCCAAATGATTGGTCGTTCTTCAAGGGTTAGATAGTAATCTATGAGAATGTTGTGGTCAACTGTAGTGAATGCCACAATCTTCAGTTTTAGCTTCTACAGCAGGGCTGCCCGCATTTAACTTGTAGTGATGTTGCGAGTGAAAGTGAATCGAAATTACTACTGCCCAACATGTACGATCACCAATACGACATCCATTATCTATGAGTTCTGGAGAGTTGTTTCTCTCTTTACAAATGATCCCTCTTGAGTAGTTTAATTGGTGATGAGCTTCGGCGAGACCATTAACTTCAGTAATTCGCTATTCTTTCGAGTTTTGAGGGAGAGTTTGGACTTCTCTGGAGACAATTTATGGACTGGACTTAGTGAAGATTTCTAGAGTATCCTAAACCCCTTCTGAGAATTGGACTTGGTGAGATTCATTATTATATTATTGATTATAACTAATCTAGAACTCACATTGCATTTATTAGATTTATTAGCTCACATTCCCAACTAGATGTGCCTCTCTGGTAAATATGGTCGAATTGTTATACTAAACATTTACATATATAATTATTCATTAATTATGATTCCTACTCTGCAACCGTCGCAGCAGCTTTAACCAAAATACATCTTCGGATTGAACAGCAATTTACGGAATAACCTCTACTTCATGGATGATACTCGAATCATCTATCCAGCAGGCTTTCATATAGTGTGTTACTCATTGCAGGATAAGAGTCAAAGTTACTTCCAAGGATTCGAACATTACAGAGGGTTCTCTTGTATGACTCTCTCTCCAATGAAGAGATTTCTAGCAGCAGGTGTGAAAGGAGAAAAACCTGCAATTCAAATTTACGACACGATGTCCTAAAAGAAAAAAAGAACACTAATCTATCATGATGCCCCTGTCAAGGAATGGGTATCTGTTGCATTTGGACCTAATGCTGAAGCAAAAACTTTGATTGGATTGAGTGGAGGAGTCTCTGTCAATGGCAGTCCTGTTGATTCATATTTATGTTACTTTCAAACTGATACAATGAAATGTTTAGCTTCTGTTAAAGTGGCTTCTGGAAATAATGAATGTCTAGAAGTAGCCTTTTAACCTAATGATGCCACTTTCATCACTGTGATCGGAAAAGGAATTTTCAAATCATTTAAGATGATTCAAAATGAAGGCGAAACTAAGAGCTACACTCTCAAATAAGTGGCAGCCTCGTTATAAAAAGCACCTGCAGATTTATCAAATAATTACTGTTGTCATGCCTGGATGATATAACATCCAGATCATTTGGTTGTATGCACCTAATTGGGAGAAGTATTCCTCTGTGATGAAAATGCTGAATATGTTAGGTACTTGAAGAACCCTTACCACCAAAACAAACAACCCTTTTTGATTGAAGTGATATAGGCAATGCAATAAGGATTTGCAATTGGAGGAGACAATTCTACAATTTATATATACAGCAAAGAATATGAAAATATCTAAATGCTTCACGTGAAGTCAATATCTGATATCAAATGTTAAATCAAAGGAATCAGCTTCACGCCCATCAGTGAAGATACCATCATAGTTACTCTGTCTAGCAATTTAATTTATAGTCTGAAATTGAAGACTGAATAGTTTTTGGAAGAACAACAACAATTTGAATTGGTTTCATTGCCTTTTCACTCCTGTCCTCCAGTAAATGCTGGAATTCCAATCAACGGTATGGATGTGTGTGTACGAAAACCACTGATAGTGACATGTGGAGCTGACAAATACATCCGTATATGGAATTACGAAGAGAAAAGCATGGAAGCCTACAGATTCTTTAATGAAGAAGCTTATTGTGTAAGCATCCACCCTTCAGGATTCCATATTGTAGTAGGATTGACTGATAGATTAAGATTGATGAACGTCTGTGTTCATAACAATCAAATTAAACACTATAGAGAAATCGGGTAATTCAAATAATGCAAAGAAATCAAATTCTCTAATGGAGGACAATACTTTGCTGCCGTTAATGCAGCTAACACTACTTAACATATAATCCACATTTATAGATTCTATGTTGGAGATAATCCTGCCAACCTATAATTTAAAGGTCATAGTGGTAGAATTAGATGCATAACATGGAGTAGAGATGATACAATTTTAGCCACATGTGGTTAAGATGGTTTGATTTCCTTATGGAAAGTAGGTGCTGATACAACGGGACAAAGAATGCTTGATATCCATGCTAAGGCAAATGGTAAGAATATACCATAGTCGAGTGTTGCATTGACATTTGATACTAAAATAGTGTATGTCGTGGGGGAGGATCGTCATCTTAGAGAATTTAATTGTCAGGAACCAACAGAAAATAAAAGAAATGTAGAAGCTACCTTATCTTAAATTTGTTTCTCAAGCAGTAACAAAATATTATTTGCTGGTGTATGCGATGAGAATAGATACTCTGGAGCTGTAAGATGTTATAAATATCCCTTTGTTGGTCCATCTGCTGGTACCAATGTTGAGTATTAGGCTCATGATGAACGAGGTATAGAGAAAATGAAGATCACTGCTGATGATTAGTATCTTATTACTGCTGGTAGGGATGGAGCCATCATTGTGTTTGAAATTAAGGATAAAGATGCAAGAGGATAAAAAAATAAGGAAGGATATTAACAAAGATATGCAGATGATATCATTGTTACCAAAGAAGATAAGGCTGATCTCAAAACCACCAGGGATAATCTCAAAACTTAGTTGTAGGATATCACTGCTCCTTAAAATGCTATTAATATTTCATCAAAGGAGGATCAAATCAAACAATTGACAGATAAAGAATCTACCTTGAAGTAACAATATAAAGTAGCCTATGACACTTTAGTAGAAAAGAAGAGAGAAACAGAAAAGCATATTCAAGAAACCAGAAAATAAATTATGGAAGAGTTTGAAGCTGAAATCCAGGAATTAGAATAAAATCAATAAAGTAAAGTCAATAAGGAGGCAGAAAAGTATGAGAAGACCAAAAATGAGAAAGAAATTCATCAAACTAAATATGAAAAGGAAATTGGAAAATTATAAAGAGAACATACTGACGAACTCAAAAAATTGGAAAAAGATTACGATGCTCGTTTACTTGAAGAAAGACAGTAGAGAGAAAGAATGGAGAAGGAATACAACAAGGAGAAAGAGAAGTACAGGGAAACAATTGAATAGATTAGAAAAGAGACTATTGGTGAGATTGAAGCACTTGAAGAACAGAATCAATAATAGATTCTTTAAAAAACTGATTAGGGTCTTAAGGCTAAAAGTGAAGTCAGTATGACAAAGAAGAAGATTTAATCTTTATTGTAAGAGGAGGAAAAACAAAATGAAAATCTCAAAGATTATAACGAATAAAAGAAATAATTGGATGATCAAAATCATCAACTCAAAATAGCTATTGAAGAATAACTAAAATAAATTTAAGATAAGGATAAAACAATAGGAGAGAAGGAAAGGAAGATTTATGAATTAAAGAAGAGATCATAGGAATTAGAAAAGTTTAAATTTGTTTTAGATCATAAAATTAAGGAACTCAAAAGAGATACTGGACCTAGAGATGAAGAAATTAACAGAATGAAAGAAAAGACTAATATGATGGATTAGAAATTAAAAAATTTTGCTTATTTGAATAATAATCTTGGAAATGTGGTTGATGCTCTTGATTAAGAATTAAAAATAATGAAAACCAACATCAAAAAGTAAAGATAATTAATTTCATTCCAAAATGTGAGGATTAAGAAATTTAAGGATTCTGTATATTAAGCTGTCCAGTTCATTCAAAATTAAGATGAATTAACAAAAAAAGCACAAGAAATCTTTAAAGAATTCCATAAAGACGATGTAAAACCATAATAAGTCAATGCTGACATTTTAGCAGAATATAAAAGTTAAAAGCAATATTTAGAAAAGTCTGTTGAAGGATTGAAAGCCAATCTTTAAGCAGATGAAGAAATACATAAGGCTGAAAACATTAGGATTATGAGAGGCAATGTTAAATTGATTATCGAAATCAATAATCTAAGAAAAAAGATGAAGTAAATAAAATCAACACATAATAATTAAGAATAGAAAGGTGACAAAAAAATGTCTCAAACAGGTACTTATAATAATAAATTATTTAGCTAATTCTGAGACTTATAAGGCTAAACAAAGAGCTATTTAAGAAAAGTAACTGATTATTGAATAATAGGAATTGGCAAAAAATTCTTTGCTCAGTTAGATTTAAGAATTGGAAGCAGAACTTTCAGTTATGGGAGAATGATAGATTTTATATTAATTATATTTTTAATTTAAATTAATTCCCTTATATTTTGTGAAGTATCCTATTTTATAAATTATCATTAACATACTAAATCATTTAAAATTTAGCAAACTGATATCACTGTCCTCTGGAATTTCTTGTATAGTATAGAATAAGAGATATGCGTTCTTTGTTTAAACCTCTCTTACCTTCTGAACATTGGAATCATCAAATTCATACCATTCATCCTTTTTTTTTACATACGCGGTATAATGTGCTAAAATAAAGATCATCTATTACTGATATCCCTTCCTCTTTTATTGTTAATTACAGCATAAAGGTCATACAATACAGGCTGTTTTGATCTTCGACAATCCTTTATGTCAAGAGAATTTAAAGGAAAATCAATATATCTTTCAATTTATTCTCCATTACTTTTGTATTTTTGCAAATTAATAATCAACATTATCGGGGGTTTATTTAGATAAGAATTGTTTCTAATTTGAGTGTTTTACCTGCATGAAAAGCATTCTTATGTTATAAATGTATCCTCTGCTGATTTTTCTAGACACTTCTAAAGCCTAAGATGAATTAGACTTCTCTCTTCTAATTCATCTTTTCTTTTCTCTAATATTTTGGCAAATTTTATTTCCTTCCACTCCAAAATTATACTTGGCTTTGTAAATTGATCGAAATTTAATAATATCGGATCTTCTTCACATCCCATACAATGAGATTACGTAATATTGTTATGTGGCCGTATGTTCTCACAAAATAAGCATTTCCTATTCTAATCTAATACTCGAATTTTATATGGGAATGATGGATTTGAAAAGAAATTACAAATTTCCTATTAGGATACATTCGATGATTTGAAAGGAGATTGAACGTTGAAATGAGTCTAAAATTAATCAAATACTTACAATGTTAATAAATCTTGAAACTTATTTGTAAATGTAGACTTTTAGTTCCAAAAGAGACAGCGATTAAATCGGTAGCAAAAGGATGATTGGCTTTAATGTTAAATTATATTGCTTCTTAAATGTATTGAAATAATAATGTAAAAGTGGGACTTTCTCATGGGTGTGATGTTTAATTTTCTCTCTAAATTTTACAATTTTTTATTTGTCCATAATATATTCAAATTGTTTTTAGTTGTTATTTTGTTATTGTAAACGATATAGTATTTTATATTTAATCGGATTCGATTGGATTACTTAGACTATTTTACCTTGTTTCCATTAATTATTAGGATCCAAAAAATTGATTAGGTCATTTAACTTGAAATCTTGAGATGGATAATTAAACATTTAGGAAATTGTTTCAAATTCTCTTTCTGCTTAATGTATACTTCCCAATTAATATAAATTTAGAGTCTTATTTTGGTTAATACCCAATTTAGTTAATTCTTGATTTTCATCAATATTGATAAAAATTTTTATAAATTCCTTCTTATAACTTCTAGCAAATTCATATTCATTTTAAGCAAGACCTAAAATTGAATTTATCTTTTCATATAGATCTCTCATAGTAAAAGAGCCATCATTTTTTGTTAGGATAATCGTTTTCTTCAGTAAGTCTTTTTGATTTACAACAAATTATTCATCGCGATCATAAATAAATTTTAATTTCATAAAGATTAATAGCCTTAATTTAAAAACACCAGCTTCTTCTTAAATTTTTAAACGAAATATTTTATTCTTTTCTGGTTCGTTCATCTCATATTGACAACTCGAGCATTGTTTTTAAGTTAAGTAATCTCCTTGAAAAAGGGTCTCAATGACTGTATCCTATTATGTGTCATACCCTTTTAATTCATCGGAAATCTGAGTTAATAAATAATCTAAGAATTCGTCTGCATCTTAGGCTTCATACATCTTAAATCTGGGGCAAATCCTAACTAAAGCATTTTAAAAAACTGAGGGTGATATTGATAATTCAGCTGTTTGAGTCATTTCTTTTGCTAGAGAACTTAGATGTTGTACCAAAGAATTGTTAACTTTAACTTTATTCTTGTAGCCTTCATTAAAAAGAAAATTAAAAAAATATTTAGTGTTTATTAAACATTGTAAGGCTGCATTCATATAACAAGTGTTGCCAAGGTTTTATAAACCAGGATATTTAATATTATAAGATCTTCCTTATATGTAAGAGTTAAATTAGGCCCCATGATTTTCTTTTATTTCTAATTAAAAATCATCGAAAAAACTCTATCCTTCAATATGCAAAATAACATATTTAAGATCTTCAGTAAATCTTTACGCTAAACACATTTTTTCAACTCTTTGAGAAGGATCTTCAATTAAACTTTTTTAACCTAATTACCAATTACCTACTTTGGATTTGGGCTTTTATTTAAGTTTAGTTAATGTGAAGTACGTTCCAGATGTAATATTTAGACTTGAAATGTTATCATCTAAATCTAAAATCAACTCCCAATCTTCATTAATTTTCATCTTATATAACAGATATTCTGAACCATTTATGGTTTTAATTTGAAATTTCTAAAATAGTTTTCTTCTGACATCATGCATTGTTGAATCTTCAGACATTTTAAGTTTAAACCATTTTTTATACTATACAATTCCATTCGCATCTGTTTCAAAAGCTTATATAATAGTTGGATGAACTTCTATCTTAAAGCCATCTTTATCAAATTTTCCCCTTCTCTTAAATTCAAGTCTTTTATCTGTGATTCCATACCAGCTCAATAACTCCTTCCAAGCATCTTCTCCTACTTCTTAAAAATCACACTTTTGTTTTGCCTGAAGCTTCAATTCTCCTTCATATTCCCCTGCTATGTCTCTGTTATCAATTGGTCCTGGTCTAGCTAACCATAATTAAGAACTGATTTCTATAAATTCCTGTTAAGGTTTTTGCGTGACATCATCTATTTATTACCCAGGGTTAGCAGTTGCCATATTTACATATTACTTCCAGTTATCCCACCATTTAGAGCTTATTATATAAACTTTATCATTTTTTATTTGATCCTTTAACTATTCTATCATTTATTTTTCCTAATCTGGCCTTAAAAATATTTTAAATGACATTGTCTTATCTAGTTTGAGATTACCTTCAGCCCAAGTTTTGAATTTGGATCTCGTAAAATTTTAATTTCTTCTTGTACTTTGATCTAATAAATTATCATTCTCTTAAATAAATAAATTAAATTCCTTTGAATCCAGCATTTAATCATTATCTAAGTCATATAATTGAAACAATATTTCTATTTTTCCCGTTTATCCTGCATTTAAGAATTTACTTATTAGTAGGCAGATTCCATTAAAATCAATCTGATCCTCCATTTTCATATTAAAATATTTTAACAGCCTGTTTAAAAGATGCTCTTTATATTTGTTAAGTATTTACTTGATTTAATATTCGGTATCAACCGACTTAACTTTTCCAAATTTAGACCATATTCAGGCTACAATGCATAATATCTTTATTCTAGCACTTTGAGATATTGGTCAGGGAAAATAGCTTTTGATTTCCAAATATCCTCTTCCATATGTTAATATTATGTGAATTCACTTTTTTTGTTTTTCTAACAGCAAACACCCATGATTTGTTGGGGTATTTATTAGAAAATATTTTAATTAAGCTTAAAATGTAAAAGTTCAGGAAATTATTTTGTGGGTTCTGTAATTAAACCGAATCAATAAGCACTTTTTATGAATTGAAGAATATTATGAATCCCCCAACTCCTGAAAATTTTCAAAGATTGTTACTCACAGTTTAATAGATGATTAAATCTAATCCCATCAATTGGAAATTTATGCATCGGATTTAATTATTGGAGGACTAATTTAATTTGGGATTAGATATACCCAACCTCCTTTCTAGGCTTAAAGATCAAACTATTGACCCTTACAAGCAATAATTTGTGATTGATATTATGTAATCATACTTTAGGAAAGATGAAGAATTATTTAAGGATTTGTTTAACCAATTATTAAGAATGGATGAGATACTCTTTACGACTTAGTTAAAAATGCTATAGACATACTATTAATATCCAGAATTTTTTGATCAAGATAAAGTATTGCCAAAATTAATTCAGAATATGATAGTTTAAGAGGATTTGGAAAGCTATGATTTAGTAAGTGCATTAGAGGTATTCTCCTACAGTCCTTCCTAATTAACTGAAAAAAATAGATAATTGCTTTAAGATCTCAAGGAGAAATTGAATCAATAAGTAATCAAAATAATTCCAGCTCTAGGATAAAGATAATATAGAGAATTAATTATTAACTTAAGATCTAAAGAGTATTACAATGAGGAATTAAAATAGGCTGTTTTCTAATATTTTCATGACAATAAAGAAATTCTTGGATAATCAACTTTGTTAGAATTGCTAAATCTGTGCAATCTAAACCTCTATATTAATGATGATCTCAAGTATCAAATCTTAATTTAGATAAATTTCCTGAAAGTAAATGCGGTAAATGAGTCAAAATTAATCAAAAAAATTGTGTTGCCTTCAGTATTACTTTATTCTAGACTATTAGATATCATAGGCTGAACAAGAGATGATGGCAAACCTTATCACTTTGTCAGGTATACAGTTGGATAGGGAGTATATTGACTCACATTTTATAGGTAGTAATTCTTAGAAAAGAGAATAGCTTATAAAACTTGAACGTAAGGATGGGCAAATCTCCCAAATAGTTCAATAAATCTTGAGATATATAGATGGTTAATTTAACACATACTTAAAGTAATATTATGATTCACAATTTTAGTGTCATACAAACAATTTAAACTTTTGAATTATTGCTCCCAGAATTGCTTTAACCAATGATTGAGGAATTGAAGAGAATATTAACGAAACAAGTTGTTGGTCCAACCGATCTGCTATCTTTATTAAATTATTTTGATAGCTGCAATATACTATTTGATGAATAGGACTAAAAAGGAATGGAGTAGTTCCAAAATTATTTGAATCAAGATTACTTTTCTTATTAAAAAATTGATTATTTGTAGAGATAGTTCGCTTACAAAAGGAATTAAGATAAAATGCGTGAATTATTGGACTAGAGTTATAACAGTGCCTGGACATTAGAGTTGTGTTCGAGATAAGTATTGCTCTATGAATATTTTAACATACCTTTATCATAGGCATTTAAAGATAAATTTTAATCAGCTATTGAAGATTATGTTTTAAAAAAGAGATCCCAGATTGAATAAATATAGTTTTATAAGTGTATTGTTTAAGCCAAATGGGAGAAAAACCTTAAATAGGAACACATGAATTTTTACAATGAAGGTCAAATTTAATCTTAGAGAACGAGAAGAGAATAAACCAAGAATTTAAGACTATCCTCATTTTTAGAGTAAGAAATCACAAACGATATTTTACAATATATGCCCAAAACATTTATTTTGCAATCTAATCAATATATGAATGGTATGGAAATTGATATCGTCATAACCAATCAAAAAGGAGAAAAATTATATTTCTAAATTCATGGTCAGACTCACTTTTATCATGCTTCGACTATTTACAATTACAAAACATTATTGGAGACATTCTATTTAGAAAAACTTGGGAAGCACAGGGCCATTAATTATTATGAAACAGAAGCAGTGTGGAAAAGTCAAAGAGAAAAAGCAGTGGAAAAATTATTAAAATGTTTAATGTGAATATCATTATTATAGAGAATATATTATTACTGTTATTATCTCATCTAATTGGGAATACTGTCGTTGCCTTCTTTTTTAGAAAGTGTTTTACACTATGTCTAACCTATTCCAAATATGACTTATTTTGTTTGACATCTTCTTCTTCAATTAAGGAATTTCTAAATAGCCTTATATACTCAAATGGAAATAATAAGTATTTTGAATATTTTTTTATTAACTAATTTAATATTTCTGCGTTATTTTTTCTTATAGGCCTCATCAATTTAGTGATAACTCTATCAATATTCCATTCCCTATCAAATTTATCAAATTCCTTAAGCTATTCAAATCCTGATATTTAAGTTTAGCCTAAATCTCCTTCAAGCTTCTTAATCAGAAAGAAACACTTCTCATATTCCCTAGGTGACAATTTAGGTAAGATAGATTATAATTTATTTAAGGCTTCTTAGCAATCTCCTGGTTTGTCAGAAAGAACTGTTTGATCACTTTACTTATTGGATGCCCCTGATAATAATAACTTTTTTTCTCTTTTATTTTTAAAGCTATCTAAAATCTAAGTTTGTTATAATAGGCCTGTTCTTTGCATAAATTTTGCAGGATGAAACGAGGTCTCAACCAGCCATTCTGGAGGATTTAATTATGCATGCTAATCTTCAAAAGTAACAACGTTAACTTTAGGATGCCCATTTTAATGGATACTTAACCCTTAACTTTATTGTTCTTGAATTTCATTTTCAGGGACTATATCATTTTCTAATTGATATATTTTAGCACTATCCGATATTAAAATTTACTCATTTAATGCAGAAAATCTAGCTTTACTTTTTTTTATTTGTTTCAATTTGCTTCTTTCCTGAATATTGTGAAAGTTATATCTCATAATGACTTTCTCCATATCAGGTATATAATGAACAACATTACATTGATTAGTAAAATGTCTTTTATCGTGACAAATATAACAAAATTTTTCTGGTATGATTTGCAATTGGAATTTGTTGGTCACTTTTAGAACTTCAGAACGAGGTATCATTAATAGACTAGAGAAATCAGCAGATTTATAGTTTATGTTATCGCTTGCGGTAAAGAGTTCTTGCAAACCAAAAAATTAATTCTCTTTTAGTGTGTCAATTACAATCTAAAATATTTATATTCAAACCTTATCTTGCAATACTTCAACCTTTCCATTTTCTATTATATAAATATACTCTTATGCATTTATGTGAACTCCAGGCTAAAAGACATTAAACTCTGTACTTTAGAGTAAACATTCTAAAGCAGGTTTAGGAAATTGAGAAAAATATGGGCATTTAATAATTAAAGATGAAGCTGATTCCAACTTTAATTTTTATTGTAGATTCTCTGGCAATAATGTGATAAGTCTTATTTGTTCATTTTTTTTTTGAATAATTTCTTAATTCCAATAAAAATTAAAATATTCTCTTACCTTCATAGAAAGTTCTGTGCTTAATTTTTTACAATGTAAATATTCATTTATGCATGTCATCTTTTATCTAATCATTTCATTATTCTCCTTCATTTGAGTAAGTATCAGACCAATTGTGTTGACAGAATAAGAATATTGCAAAGTTGATAGGAACATGTAACAAATACAAAACATCTTTTCCAATGAATCTAAATATATTTATTATATACTTGTAGGTGAGATATCTCCATAGCCTACAGTAAACATGGTTACACTCATAAAATAGAAAGACTCAAGAAATTGTACCTACCAGCTTTCATTTCTTACATCCATCATCCAATTCATTTAACCTTGACTATCGTAATACTATCCTAATTTTAACCTATGAAATTACTATACAGTTTATACCATAAGCAACCACAGAAGTGCTATATTAATAACACTGTAGCTATCAATTTAAATAGATCTATTACAGAACTGACCATTTTAGTAGGTTTTAAATTATACTGAATAATATCCACCAATTTCATTATGTTTCTCAATTAATAATAAAACAACATAAAAAACCATGTGCTTAATTAATAATCTAGAGATACTAGTATCCCAAATAAAATACTCCCTAGTTCTATTGCCAAACCAATATTGAGTTGCTTTTTAAATAATTGGTACCGATTTTTAACCGGTAATCCTTTATGAAAGTAAATAGTAAAGTTTCTTATCACCAAATCGAATGCAAGAAATACACAACTGATTCTAAAATAATTTGCATGATCGTTCTACAAAAATGGAAATGAAATTATGATAGGTGACCAGATTATCAGATAAATACGTATCAGACAAAGCAAAAAGTCCCAAATTAATTTCATAATATTATTTGGTTCTATTAATGGAATATAATTATATAATTGGGAAAAGCATCCAGACAATTTATTTACTACACCATTTTTCCATGTTCTTATTTTAATTCTTATCTATAAATCTATTGTATTGATATTTTGTTGTAGAAAATTACCACTTATCTTCCCTTTCTATTGCATATATGAACTTGCTTAATCGTTTAAAATTTCATGTTATTTTTGAGAAAATTTACAATCTGGCCTTATAAAGCTAATCATTTTGTTCGCAAACTTTAATGAATGGCAATTAGTAATCAATTTAGCAAATGGCGATTTCTTTTTAATCAGTACAGCTTAGTTTTCTCTTTGTTTATCAATTGACAATATTTCTTCAGATTCTGGTAAATCTGGTGGTTGTAATTATTCGAGTGGAATTGAATTAATTCTCATTGTTGTTCTACTATACTTTTGAGGAGAGACTAACTGCTGAGTTGTTGAAATACCTGGGTTAGAAGTTTCTACTTTCATTGGACTCATTTCTGAAATTGAATTATTAAACCCCTTAGAGTTTATCTCGTGTTCTGTTTATGGTGATATCAATTTGCAATTGCTGATTGCTGTATACTACATTTTAATTAAATTATATATCTGAAGATACTAGATTAAACCATTTACTTATTCTACAGTTGTGCACATTAAAAAACTCATTCGAAAAAAGATCAATTAATAAAGTAATCAATTATTTATGATACAAAACACTATTTTACTTATTTATTATATCTTCTAGAACCAGCTTCGAAAAAAGAGAGGTTTAATTTATAAATATTAATATATATATTATTTCTTCTACAAAATCAAATTTTTGTGAATCATAATTTTAAATTCTTAACCTTTGTGACATGATTTTAATTTCCTAATAAAAAATAATTATAAAATATTTAATGCAAAATCCATTAAAAAAAAGTCGAACATTTTTAAGAAGAAAAACAGATTTACTAAGGGATTATCTAACGGGGGCAACTGCCCTTTTACTATTTGGATTGTTCGTCTCATTTCAATATAAGAAAATCAATCCCCCTGATCCTGTAGATGAACCATAATGTATAAATTAAGAAATTATCAAGATAGTCAGGATTATAATATTCTAGATTTTGCACAAGATAAAATAAGAAAAATTACAAATATCAAATACAATTAAATTCAGGACTAAAAATAATAATTATCTGTTGAGAAAAAAAATTCATAATGAGATTATTTATTCCAATAAAAATATTGTTTCATCTGTTAAAGTCTCATTGAAATCTAATACAACGCAGTTTTTGGATCTAATTAAATACCGAAGTTTCATTTTTGTTTAATAATATGATATATGATTGTTTCTATTCTCTTCAACATTTATAGTAGAGAGTAGAAATTAATTAAAAGGCAATAAAAATTGAATAAAAAGTCTCGTATATGAATTTAAAAATCAAGCATAATTCTTATTGATAATAAAATGAATATCAACACAATTATAAAATATATTGTAGAGAAATCTAGTCAAATTATAAACAAAATTCTTTCGATTAATTTATTCTCCAAAATTCTAAAGTTAATGTAATCATAAGCCCAATAATTAAAGAATCTATCAGATAAGTAATTTAAGAAATAGTTTCATTAGAATTGGTAACAAAAAATAAGATTATTTAACAATCATAAATTTCAAATATTTTTGATATGGATTTTTTCATTTTTAAAACCTAAATTTTACAACTTTGTTTCTTCATGAGATCAAAAAGACCTTCTTTTGTATTTCTTTTTCTCATGAAGATTAATTTTCCAACAAGAATAATTTGTGAAAACTTAAGGAAGTCAATTTTTTTTTAATTTAATCTACATTTATATCTTAGATTTCTTAATTTATTTTTTAAATACATTTCATCTCTTTTTTTTATAGAAAATTTACTTGGAAATTATTTGTAATTTATTAATCCTATTTTCTATGTACATTCTATTTACTCTGACCTGAAGATATGTATTACTCTTATTGCAAATAGATAACAAATGTATTTGCTTAAATCGAGAATTCAAAAAAGTATAAACCCTTTTCTAATTTGACTTAATATCTTTTGAAATATTCTATTTTACTACTTTTTACATTCTCTTTGCCTGCATAATAATATTTAATAGTGTGAGAATCACATAATTAAGATTCATTTTGCATATTGTCGTTATTATTGACTAAATTCATCCATAATCTAAAATAAATAAATTAAGCTCCAAAACTACTTGCCATTTAATGATATATTGCTTAGATTATTTTAGTATATTTTTATCATTTTTCAATGTTTCACTTTGGATTGGTGATAATTAAAATAATCTAAAATTATTGTTTATATTTTTACTTCAAAATTAAACGTTTTTTGGCTTGCTGAATTGCTAATTAAAAAGCAAGCAATTTCTTAAATTCATTTGCTCTAGAAGATGAGTCTAATTGAAATCGATACAAAAAGCCTAAGGATGAATATGTCTAGTGAAATATTTAAAATTGATTAATTATGATTATAAGAGTTGGTTGTTTGAGGTTGGATTCTTAAAACGATAGAATTAACAATTAATACTTATGTGAACGAATAAGTTTTAATAAATTTAAAGCTCGTTTTGGGAGTAGAAATTGGTGAAAAAGTTGTAGTTATTAAAATTAATTATTAATGGGGAATTCATGCTGCACAAATCAACCTCCAGAGTAAGTTTATTGGATGATTTTGATAGAACAGATAAGCAGGTTGAGACAAAGCCAGAGGATATGAGCAAGTTAATTTAATAGGAGTCTAAGAACGAGGAAGAACCTTTAAAGTAAATAACATGTAAGAATATATAATAATTTGAGCAATTCCTACTTTATCTGTGTAGCCTTCGTTGTTTATTTAGATGAAGAGGGAAACCATTTATGGCACTTATCAAGTGGGGAAGCTATTGGGAGAAGGTAAAACGAATTTTGATGATAGGTGCGTATGGGCAAGTTTCCATAGTAACCCACAGAGTGACAGGGATGCAAAGGGCAATGAAGGCAATTCGTAAGGACTGCTTATTTGAGGAGGAGCAGGCGAAACTATTTTCTGAGATGACGATTCTGAAAAACCTTGATCATCCACACATAGTGAATTTATTCGAGCTATTTGAGGATGATAAATTTTATTATTTGATAACAGAGTAGATGCTAGATTGATATACTTAGATACTTACGTGGAGGGGAATTGTTTGATCGTATTCAGAAGGCGAAAAATTTCAGTGAAGCAGATGCGGCTAGATATATGAAGTAAGTGATGTAGGCCGTGTGTTACTGTCATTCAAAGAATATAGTTCATAGGGATTTGAAACCCGAGAATATTATTTTCGCTTCCGAAGATTAATATTCAATCTTGAAAGTGATTGATTTTGGGACCTCAAGAAAATTTGAGCATAATTAAAACATGTCTAAGAGATTGGGAACGGTACATAGTCTATCATGATATTGTATTAGCCTTATTACATAGCACCGGAAGTTCTCCAGAAGAAATACAATGAGAAATGCGATGTGTGGTCATGTGGTGTCATACTCTACATTTTATTGGCTGGATACCCACCTTTTTATGGGAGGAATGAAACTGAGATCTTTGATAGAATTTTAAAGGGCAAGATCCCTTTTCATAGTAAATATTGTGAATAATGACTAAGCTACTGAATGGAACAAGATATCTAAAGAAGCCAAGAATCTGATCTCGAATATGTTGTGTTTGGATGTAGAAAAGAGGTATTCTGCCTAATAAGTGTTTGATGATCCTTGGTTACAACAAGGATAAGGCGAAAATTTGATTGATGATAGTTTCCTTAAGAATTTAACAGAATTCAGTGCGAAGAGTAAATTGAAGCAAAGCTTTATTGACTTTCATGGCCAGCCAAATGATTCAACCAAAGGAGGTCGAATAAATACAAGAGTTATTTAAACAATTGGATCGAAATGGGGATGGCAAATTGTCGAAGGATGAATTAATTACAGCATTCTAATAGAAAGTGTAAAGTGGTGATCGGTTAATCGAAAATATGGAAATCAAGATCAATAAGATTGTTACAGAGATAGATGTGAATATGTCTGGGTACATTGATTATACTGAATTCATTGTGGCTTGTTTGAAATATGAAAAGTTATTGACAATCGAAAAAATTAAATAAACATTCAAAATATTCGATATTGTAAAGCAGTAGTTCGATATATTAATTAGGATGGTGATAATTACATTTCAAAAGAAGAGCTTCAACACATAATGGAAGGTGTGGATGATGACATTTGGAAACAGTTCCTAGTAGAATGTGATCAAGATAATGATGGTAAAATATCGGAAGAAGAGTTCATCAATCTTCTATCAGATAAATTTTGATATTTTCAAGAATCATGAATAATCTCTATATCTGCTGCTTCTGCCATACTTTCAATAGATGACTCATCTTATCCTCTCTTCATCCTAAATCTACCATTCTCTCCCCACTGTTTACCCCAACTATTCTAAAGTAACCAATATTTGACTCCATTCTCTTCTCCCCACCCGTAACACAACACTGAATGATCAACCTTTTCCTATTTTATGTTAAGATTATCAATCATACCCATTCTGGTTTAGCTAGCCCATTGATAATCCAATCTGGAATTGTGGAATGAAAGACTCCTCCAACATAGAACATGAAATCAAACGATGGCTCAAAATTCAACACCACTGGTCCATTCTTATGGATCTCCTCCATAATGTTCAACTCATTCGACTTCCCATAAGCTCCCCCAATAAATCTATAATTGATGACCCTGTAATGTTTCTTCTTTTCAACTGCTTTACATTCTCCTAGCTGTCCCTTATAAGGATACTCCTTCTCTTCGAAAATCATTCCATCCAATTCTGTCAAGTACTTCTCCACCAAAAATGGATAACCACCATCACAACCCTAATTGTAATAATTGCAATCGATTGATTGTTATGGTGACAAATCAGCCTTCACTCCTTTGATTCTCAATCTAGCTGATAACATAGTCATGGTTGAAATAGTATAACATGATCCACATCCCTTTTATTCGTATATCTTCTTGCCCAAGTATTTCTCCCATGAGAATTCCTTAGGCAAATGACTTACATCATATTCCAATATCTATTATTTTTTTTTTTATTTCTCCAACAAAATAGTTGATGAATGCTTTCTTCTTCCTGCATACTTATTCAACTACTTAGTCGTCAGTCCAATTATTTCACCATATGCCTTAGCCTTCCACTATAATTTTGCACTGTTAATCTACTCAACGAAATTGAGTGCATCAACTCTTGACCAAACCTTATTCATTCCTGAATTCTAATACTAGAAGAATTGAGGCTGCACAACATGTCCATTATTAGCACCCTCAGATACCTTGTGAGTCTTCTCTATTTTAATTGCTCTATAACATCCTCTTTCGTTAGTCTCAGTATTCTAGTACCAACCGATCAAGGTTTCTCCACAATACGAATAAGCTCCAGAATAGTTGGTCTTGTATTTTGAAAAGGCAAAACATTTGTATTTCGAGAAATCAACCTCAAATCCTTCATCATACACCATTGTCCATTTGCCTTACAGTTTCTTCTTTTATACAACATTGTTTTTAGCAGTTAGTATAACTTCATGCGTAGATGTCTTCACAAATGTATTCTATCCTGCCACTTACGATGTACGTTCATTATCTGGTACATTATGACCACATGTCAATGGTCCACTGCCTAGGTGAATCTATTAATTACCTTTAATTTAGGGTTCTGTAAACTCTAATTGCCATTTCCCTACAATTTAATGACGAACGCAATGCACCGGCAAATCTGCACGAACACTCAGAACTAGTAAAATCACCAATAACATAATTAATTCGTTTTTTTAATCGATTTCAAACACATAATTATAATGGCGAATTCAAAAATTTCTTCAAATTTTCAAGTCCTGGAATATCTATCTGAGTCTCTTTCATAAATTGTACATCATCAATTTGTTCCTACCAATACTTCAAGTTCTCGTGAATTTACTCCAAACAAACTTGTGCCACCTTTTCACTATACAGAGTTAGACTATCAAGTACTTCTGCAATAAAGTAACAAATGCATTGAACATTGGCAAGACAATAGCTTTTAGAAATCCCTCCTGAGACTTGGTAACACACTACTTTCTGTCGCACATGGGAGACACAGGCACTTTCAAATATGATTCCAAATCTCCTTGCAAAAAGAACTCCTCAATAATTCTACGACTCCATAGTTTATGTATTTATAATTTCTTGGCTCCATGACCAACATCTTAAATGGATGATCATTGAATACCTGCACATTTAATACAAATAGACATCAACAGATTTTTATCCATTTCTGTCGATTCTGTCAATTCTAAGTAATTTTAGAACCTATTCATCAATTGGAAATGCTTTGTGAGGTCAGTGTCCAAGATTAGATTAAGACAGTACTTTCTGAATCCTTTCTGCTCTACCTATCCCAAATTCTGGATGATGTTGAATTGATCTTGGGAGAGAATTTGAAACAATAAAAAAGAATGATAATTTTCAAGCACACTCTAATCATTATCTAAGCATATATATATCATTACACAACATAGCTAATTTACACCTATTGCTCATCATAAATCCATTATTCAGACCTGGATGTCCAATATCATGTACCAAAGATGAAATTATCAAACAAGCCTATTCAAATTCATCCAGCATTTCATTTACACCATTCTCCAAAAAGAATCCAGTTGAATTTGTTACGTCTAATGCATGCATAGAATTGTGATATAGATTGTTATGATAAGACATGTCGACTTTTAAAGCGAATTCTCTAATCAATTCAGGTTTAGTGATCTTAAAAGTTTGTGCAATCTTGAATCTCTTAAAAAATGTGATAGTATTTTCAAAAAAGATTCTCGTCTAATTGTTGTCCTAAGATTTGTTCCTATAAAAATGAAGAAAGTCTGCATTAAAATCTATTCTCTCCAACTCTTCCTCCTGAACATGGTCCTGGATGTCCTATATGTATTCAAACGAGGGTTGCTTCTATGTGAAATGAGATAATAAGAATCTATCCAATAATATAGGTATCATTACTATTTAGCATCCACGCTGAATCCTTCCTATTCGTTGATTAATTAATTGCTCCTTAGAAATTTAGGAAGCCAAATGGACTCTTTCTTCCCCGAGAGTAAGTTCAATAGATCATCTATATCTTCAGTGGTTATTTTCATTTCCTCGATATTCTTCTCCGAGAAGGATGGACTATTAGAACTCTCGTTGATTCTGCAATTTTAATCAGTCGCACTCGTCATCAGTCTTTGCGATTTTCTTCTAAACTGTGGAGGCTGATTATCATTTTATATACTCTAGAAATGATGGTTAGAGATGTCTTATTAAATTGAACTCTATTCATCCGGTACATTATCTTCAGGCAATTATTTAAGTGAGAATGCATTTTAATGAATTTCTGAATTCATTTTTTTTGGTTTGCGAATTCCTTTTTAAAAAGTATTATTTTTCATTAATAGTTGTTGATATTTGATTAATCTTAACTTTTTTAACAAATCATTTGCTCTGGATGATAATTGTTGTTATGCTTCACTCTCCTAATAATCTTACAATTTCATAATTTATTCATTGTAATACTCCTTCATTTGATCCAATTCTTTGGTGAAATCAGCCATCTTGCTATTGTAATCCCTCTTTAAAAATTGAGTTCTCCATTGAATTCCTTCAATTGCAATCACAGCAATAACAAAATACTTGATTATTGAGAACACTTGATTTTGTAAATAAATCTAGGTAATTAAGGATATCATAGATATTGAGTAAGTAATTTCACGAATATGATGTAGTTCAAATCTAGATGAAATTAGTATCAGGAAAGCAATAGTGATAAGGTAATTTTGACAGTGCTAGTTGCTTTATAAATATTGTGATTCAAAAATACCTTTGTTCTTAATACACAAAAATTAGATTGCTGAATAATTGGAGGCTGATTCCCAAATAAACTAAAATCTTAGGATGGCTTCTGCTGTCTGGTTTCGTATTTCTGATGATGTTTGCTACAACGAAGACTAGAATGATTCTGAGACTCATATGATATTCTTGATTATCGGTGGATTCAATCAATGGCCAAAGGGCTAAGATGGATAGGAGGAGGACAGCATCCAAAGGCTTGGTTTAATTCAAGTCGGAACGCTTGGAAAAGACCTCCAAAAACTTATCTTTGATTTGATCATGCATTTCAGAACTCATCAAAATAGATAAATATTATTTTCAAATATTCAATACATCTTTTCTAGATACATCAATCCTTCTTTAAGACATATGATTATCCACTCAATATTGGGTCTGTTTTAGGGTTCAGGTTGAAGACATTTAATTGCTAGATTTCGGAGACATTTCATTAGATGCTTTGGTCCAAAGGTCTTTATGAAATCAATGTTGGATCTTATTTGATAAGTTTTGTTTTTATATCTTTCTTGAAGATTGGCGAGATTACTTTTTTTGAAATCCTTACACATATGAATAACTTTTTACTATTGGGTATTATTCAAACAGAAACTCATACATCAGTATGCCAAACGAGAAAATGTCTGATTTATGATCAATTTTTGGCTAACCTATTTATGAGTTGTTCGAAGACTCCTCAGGCAGAGACTCTGGAGCTGCAAAAGGAAGAGTTCTTCCATCCCCTCCTTATATTATCACCTGATCTCCCTTCTTGTACATAGCCTCTCCGAAATCTGTCAATTTGGCATTGTAATGTTTTGCAATCTCCAATATATATAATGAATACCAATATATTGCCAGGCTTCAGATCATTGTGAATCACTCCATAATAGGACAAATATCTGAGTGCATGTGCGATCTAGAATAGAATGTATAGTCTGGTGTTCAAACTCTAAGTAGTCTAGAACTTCGATCTAAAATTGTCCAATGATGTATGCTAATAAAACTCCATGAATAGATGTTCATTAAATAATGGCATATTGTTCTTATCAAATGTATCTGCTTTATAGAACTGGGCAATGTAAGGGCAATACCCATTAAAAATCAGCTTCTTTTTATTATCATACAAGGGTTAGGACAAGATATCACTAAAATATTAGTTAAGTTTTATACAGTATTTTCTTTTCCAACACAATCCTACTTGGCTGTTTCTTTTCTGCCTTCTCATTCTATTGCTTATCTACTTTCTCCTTCTCTCTGTCCTTATCCTTTTTTATCACTATAGTTCTCTTTATAAAAGCCTGGACATCATCTTATTCTTTATTGCATAGATGCTGAATTTATTTTACTGAGGGTTCTTCCGTTTCCACTCTGTTTGAATTATTCGGCTGACCTTATCTTGGTTATCCTGGAATGTCTTCTGTTTCCTACTTTCCTTATCCTTAATTCTAAGCCAAAGTGAAGGCCAATTGACCCTTTTTTACAATGGAAAACCCTCCCTCTCCAATTAACTCGTAACCATCACCATTGTCTACTTGATCGGGATTAGAAAACTTAATGAAATTCATAATCTTAAAAGATGCATTTGTCTATTTGGGATAATTAAAATGCTATTAAAACTATCTGGTTTCATCTTCGGTTATTGGAGTGGTGCATTTACTAAATTAATGTCTTTCTCTTACTTCTATACTATTTCATTAATTCTCTACAAGTAAATGTCAAATTAAGGAGGAATCTTACGATATTGATCTTATAACTTTTACTCTAAAAAAGGGAAGACTTTATAAGATAATTTATTGATTAAATGCATGAGCCTATAAATGTGATATCCAATTGCATAATGGGAAGTGAAATGCAGTACTTTTAGTAAGCTTGATAGTGATCCTTGATTTTAGTTGTCATTCTACATAGGAAGGAGACATATCAGATCTGTCCAATGTTCTGAAATCATCACCGAGTTCAATTTCAATTATATCTGTCCAGTCTCATTCTCTATACAAAAACACCCAAATCGTAATGAATTATTTATTCTACAAAAATATCTTGCCAATAGTCGCTGCAAATACTAAAAAGAGAAGAATGTAGCTTACTTTCTCTTTGACTTAAATGAGTTAACCATCTGGTTTGGCAATAAATGATTTGCAGTCAATTCGCTTCCTTAGAAAATTAATTGTAGTTGTGCATAATGCTAAGAATTTATTTGAAAATCTAATTAAGATTATATTTTTAACTCACTATTCTAATGTGATTGTAAGTTACCACTACTTGGTTTCTTCATTTTGCGTGATATCAAAATGTTTAAAATTTAATTCTTCAAAGTGTTTTTCTATCAGAGGTCTATTCAAGGCGAATTTGTCAAATTCAGTCTCCTCGACGTCATTCAATTCCAGCAATTTAAACTCTAGTTCCATGTCTTCCTCCTTTTGCATTTTATTTTTAAATTAATTATATATTTTATGGATAAAATGATGCCACACCCAAGAAAACTCTATTAAGAAAAGGTGTTTTAAAAACATTGTTAAATAAATTTCAATATACTTTATCTAAATATGTCAAGCAATCCTTCAAAACTAAGACTATCTTATCTATATTGGGTCTAAGTGCTGGGTCTGGTTGCATGCCTATATGGAGATAATACCAATAATCTAATACATTATAGACACATTCTTCCCAAATATTTCATAATCACCTGTGGTCCCAAAAGTTTATCAACACTCTCGTCATATCTGATAGCATAAGTCAACTTATGTAATTTCTCCTCCAAGGGTTTTAAATTTTATCTTCTAAAATCCTAATTTTTGATAACATAATTATATTACGATGGGGAATCGATCGAACAATAGTTCAAAAAGCAAAACACCAAATGAATAAATATCATAAGCAAATGTGTATTAGTTTGCTTCTAGTTTCTGTTGGATCTCTGGGGCACAAAAAGGCAGGGTCTTTCCTGGTTTCTCTTTATCTGAATATTTGCTCTTATTTATGGCCTCACCAAAATCAGTAATCTTGGCCATTAAAGTCTTGGATATCAAGATATTGGCCGACTTAATATCCATGTGTATGATGCCATAGTTGTGAATGTATCTCAATCCCATGGCTATGCTATGAGCTATGAAAATTCTGGTTGATAAACTGAGGACTTCTGATTGTTTTGCTTTAAAGAAGTCCAACGAAGAATGATAATATCTTTCCATCAACACCTTATCAGGTCTTTCTGGAACACAATAAAATTAAGCGATATAAGGACAACATCCTGAAAATTTGAAATATTTCAATCGATTATTAGCTAAATCTCTAAAAATATTTGAATTTAATATTACTTTGGGTCTAGAGTTTGTACTTCGCTTAATTTTGCAACGATCTCAATTTCCTTTTTCACTTTGTCTCCTTATGGCTATTTGTCGGTCTTAATAACAAGAGGTCTCTTTTGAGACTGCATTTATTTCTGACCTTCTCTTACAAACTGATAAAAAATATCCTTAGAATAAATATTACAGAATCCACCCTCTGATATTAAAAATGATTTATCCACTTCTAGATCATTCAATTCGACTGGTTTTATTTAAATCAAACATTTAGTATCTGTCGTAACTTACTTTTACAAAATGGGTCCTAATTCTTCATAGTCCTTACCGCTAAACTCTAGATGCATATCGCTATTTAATTGTTCAAATAATAAATTACTTTTTCACAACTTTCTTAATCCTACTTAAAAGAATCTCAGCATCCTTTGGTAATTTCCTCCAAGACATGTTACTTTCTCCTATTTTCTTACTTTTGCTTTCGCTTTCTTCTTGATACCTAATTTTATCCATGTAATTTTCGAAGACTTTAAAAAGCTTTATGTTGATCTAATTGATCATAAAGAGAATTCTCATAAAATGGAATCTCAGGGAATGAATTGCTGTCATAATTAAAATATCCAAGTAAGAGATGAATTCAGATTCATACAAATTTTGTTTAAAGAAGGATTAGTCACTATTGTTACATTGTAGATTAAATCCGAGCTACCCAAATACAGGATTTATGAAAAAGCTACCTACTCTAAGATTGTTGTTCAAGCGTAGCATATAGCGACTAACTGAAAGTCTAAGAATCTAATATTATTTATCAATATCTACTTTGGACTGGATTAGAATCAAGCCATTGTTGTTAGTGAAGTAAGAGAGGATTTGAATTTTTAATTGCTAGAAATCTATTTCGATTTCGAACTAAGTGGTAAGTATTCCAACATGAATTTCTAGAGGGAAAGTCAACAAATAAATTTGATCATTAATATCACTCTAGCTTACGAAACTTTAAGGGTATTTTTCTTAGATACTTTATTTCAATTAATCAACCTTCTCTTTTCTTTGATCTTCATTAAATTAATCCTATTATATTTCACTATTAGGAATTAAATTTGTAATTCCCTCTTCATCCATATTGCAATAAATATTAATAAAGAAAAATATTAATAAATGATTGAGTCATCATCCAAATGTTTGATTTAGATTATATATGTTGTCTTAGCAATCATATTTATTATTCTTTGCAAGTTGGATGAATGAAAAAATGGTGTGTTGAATACCATCCATAATTTAACTATGTTGAGTGGAATCATGATATTATGTCAAGAAATAGGAACTCTGGGGTTTTGGAGATTGTAGAAATTTCGATTCTTCTTTAGAATGGTTTTTTAAGAGTATGATTCAATTGAAATTATGAAATTAATTTATTATAGGTATATGGATTTTTTTTCATTTTTTGATAGTAGACTCGTCTTCGGATAAATCCTTATAATCTAAACTGATATATTCTTAAGTACCTTGGAGGTAAGATTGGAGGAAGGATCCGTTCTCATTTATAAATGTTTCCGCCTTTTGATAATCTTTACCGACCATATTGAGAACAATTGCAATATCTTCATCATTAGCCTCCGAAAAATTAAGTTTTAATTAGTCAAATAATTTAGAAACTAAGTTTATTTAAAATGATTTTTACATTTATCTTCTTGTTTCTCATAGATTTTAATGAATTTTGCCTTCACATTTGATTAAGGATAATTGAGCTCTTGTCTTTCCGCTCCAATTTACACGTGCTTAATCTTCTGATAGGAATGTCGAATCGGTTCTTTGCGAATTTTGACTTATTTCCTCTTCTAAGGTTTATAGAGAGGTTTTGGTGGTTTTTTGATGATTCGCTTTGGCAATGGAGGGGATTAGGAACTTTCATAGTCATATAGCCTTCCTTGTGCTTCAAGGGTATCAAGGTCCAGCAGTTTGGCTGTTTTTTTTTGGGGTTGAGTTGTATTGAGGGTTTAGGTGGGTGCTGGTTTATCTATTTTTTCGATTGGTACACATTCTTCATCATCTGAGATGAGAATAAATTGTTGTTATTTGGGTGGTAAAGGTGCCTATTGAATTTGAGGGTGTTTGTGTGGTAGAAATTGATTGTAATTGAAATATTGTTGAGGGAGATATGGCGGGTAGAAGTATAGAGGGGTTTAGTAAGGGTATTAAGTGAATTCATAAGGAAAAGAATGTGGATGCATGTTGAGTGGTTTATGAATTTTAGGTTTAATTTAATATTTTTTAATGTTTCATATGAAGAAAAGAAAATTTGTTTTAAATATCTTATTTAAAAATGAAATAAAATTGATTATTTTTATAATATCATTCACTAACAAGTTTCATAGTTTCAACAAATTACGAGTCATTCAATATCTCAGAACTTATATCCAAGATACTGAGATCATGATTTTTGGATCTTTTAAAAATTAAAATGTCTCTTTGCTGTTGCATCATCTATACAAAATAGGACCTATCGAATTGAGATCATTTATACTATTTGAAAAGGACTACCATCCTCACTGTTAGTGACAAGTAACGCATAGACATAAGGGAAATTCCAAAAATCTCATCGTAATATACTTCATATTGCAATCTTATACACAAGATGATTGATAAAAATGCGCAAAAATCTAAAACATTCCAGGCTGTTGTGAAGAATTCCTTTATTTAGAGTAAAAATATAAAATAATAATTTATAATACTCTTCCTTCCATTAATACCTTGAGTGCCAGATCTGCGCAAATTGTGAAAGTCAACAGTCCCTCACAAATGAGAACGGGAGGTTTGTCCAAACTCTAGATATATCAAAGTGAAGAGTACTTGTGTCGATCCAAAATGACCTAATTTTGACATTCAACCATCTTACGTAAATGAGCAGCATCGTAGAAATAATTAGCTGAATCAAGCAATACGACAAATAACACAAACTTCTGTGTAGACTAGTAATCAAGTATTTCGAATTCATCCCCCGTTGTCTATATTATTTTTCAAATAAATATTTAATAACATATATGCATGTTAATTTTATAGAATTATCTAAAAACTCTAAATTTAATCTAATTCTCTACTCATGCTATTAAATCACATAAATAAATCAGTATTTAATAAAATGAATATTGAATAAATTTTAGAGAAATAAGAAAATGCAATTATCGAGAGCGGATCTCAACTGCTCCCCTCCTTTACCTACTGGCAAAAGACTAAGCAAGATCTCGAGTAGTACTACTACCTCAAGAGAAGTCAGACATCACTCTGTCACACTCCATTCAAAAAGGACATGACCATAATCACACAATTATGCGAACGTACATGTGATAAGGACAAAGAACTTTAGCATATCTATGATTTTGTAGACGTAGAAACCATGCATAAACAACTCGAATTTGAATAGGTTTGCTCCTACAAATATTTCAGAAATCATCAAACCACATTTAGAGTTGGAACCCATCAGGATATATTTGATAATCTGGTAAGTGATGTGTGTGGATATGGTAGTTCTTCCAAAGATTTAACAATGCCACGCTTATCTTTGAGGACGCACATGATTTACCTCTCAAATTAGAAAAAGCAATGAGTGCATCAATTAGTACTCATACCATATCCCAAATGATCAAAGCCTTCTTAGTACCTTAGAAAACCCCTTCTAAGTGGGATTAATAAATGAATACCAAACTCAAATTCCTCTCAAAATAATTTCAGCCTAATCATACGTTTCAAACTTGCACCCTGACTCAATAACATTATGACATTTTAATGCCAATCATAGCCTTCTGTAATAGAATCGTCTAATTTGCATAAGTAACACATGATATAACTACTAGAATATAAACAACTAAAAGGATGAATTTATTTTTGAATCCAATAAGATTGCCTTAATTGTAACTTAGTGTACTTAAAAAATACCAGATTCAGAATTTTTTATGTAATTATAACAATACTTCGTAAAATCTAATGGGGCTTTTCAATAGCCCAAATACACCTGTATTGATTCCTCAAATTATGAGTAATATTTGGATGAAATTTACAACTTACCATAAAGGTATCTAATGCAACAATGGTATATATTTATAAAATAAACATTTGAATTGCAGGATTCAAATGAATTAGAAATAATAAGTTAATAATAATAATAATTTAATAATTAAGTCGTTGTTCCAACTAATGACAAAATATCTGTAGATAAATCTATCTAAGCTGCAGAATAATAAAATCACAGAGATTACAAATTAGTACTATTCATAGATAATATTCAAAACTCATTTAACCTAAATCTTATTTGTTTAAGTCCCCTTTGTGGTATGAACAAATTGTAAAACAATGGTGTTTAGAATATTGTAATTATCACTTAACACTCTTATCCTGCTAAACTGTATAAGACTGAATTTAATATCCATTTTCAATTTTATCCCTAGATCCCAGTTTAAGAATTGAAAATCAATCAAACCATAATCAGCTAAGTTCAAAATTACAATATCGATTATTTAAATAAAACAGAATAAAATTTCGATGCCATGATTCTTGAGATTGGTAAATAGTTTTAATAGATTAATTATTTGTTAAATGGACATGGATTTATCACTCTTTTTTCCTCCAAATCCTTCATGCAAAAATGCTAAGATATATGGAGTCAACATTCTATACTCTCATCCCTTGGAGTAAATAAAGAGTTTTAGTGGATCAAATATTAGAATGTACTTATCATTTATAAATACTGAATAGAAAAAAAGCATCTATGAAATAATTAAACTATTTCTAAATAAATGTAGATCCAATACGATTTTTGGCGATACTATGCCGTCAATCTACACAGTGTTTAATGATCTATTTTTGGATCAATTACAGGAAGCAATCTAAATACAATTAGATTATTAACTTAAGCATCCCTAAACACTAAAGAACTAATCCTAAATAACAGTTTTTTTATTGGGAGTTCCTTGGGCTAGTCAATTTATGTATTATCAAGAGAATGGACATGAACAACTACCTTAATTGCAATTGAACTTGAAGTTAGAGTGGCTTAAGAATTAAAAAAACAATGTAATAAATCCAAATATTAAAGTATGATAGAAAGTATTTCAGTATGGTGAATGCAATCAGAAATATCTCGAGATTATAGCATATACTTGATCCATTGATTCCATGCAATTTAGTAGTTTTAGATGAGAAATTTTAACAAAAATTATTGTGGAAAGATCAGCAATTTCCAAATGTACTGACTTTTCCTGATCTAATCAAAGAATTAAAGAAAGTATCTATATACATTCTATATCTTTTAGTAAGGAACCACTTTGGTAAGATCAGAGATTTTAGGTGAGAATAGAAAGGACACTTAAAAAATAGAGAACAATAAAGGTTAAACTATCAAATTTAACATCAAATAACCAGTTTAGATATAAACTTCAAAGAGAAAGATAATGTTAAATAAAACACTGTTGGGGGATATTTACAACCCTTAAAAGAAATCACTTCCTGTAGAATAACAATGTGAAAAAATAACCATCGAGCAATTGATTGGACAGACTGACACCAAGGATAATGTTCATACAACTGAAGAATAATTGGAAATTGATAATTTGAATTGTGTAATCTGTTGGTCTAACACGCCTGATAAAGTGATGTGCAAATCTGAAAAGTGTGGTCATGTGGCATGCTAAGATTGCTGGAAATAATGGTTATAAACTAAATTAGAGTGTCCATTATGCAGAGCTAGAGTAAGAGAGAAGTTTCTGATAAAATTTGATTGACTAATTGATTTTTGTAATTTAAATAATGGATTATTACAATTACAGATACTTGTATTCTAGTGTATTTCCTTTGATATAATGTAGTAATAGAGATATTTAATTAAGGAAGGATGATTAATATGGGGAAGCTATAAATATATAGTTAAGAAAATGAGATAAATTTAATTAGATATTTTATTAAATGAACGGAGAGAAAAGAATAGTAGGATGGGATGAGTTAGCTGAACATAGTAATCGAACATCACTTTGGGTTGTGATAGAGGGATAGGTGTTTGATGTAACAACATATTTGGCCGAACATCCAGGAGGTGATGATATCTTGATTAAATATGGTGGATTGGATGGGACTTAAAAGTTTCTAGAGGTGAACCATTCAAATTATGCTCGTTCCCTCAGAAATGCTAGATTGGTTGGAACACTTACTTCTGATCCCTAACCAAACGATTACCTAAAGGCTGTGAAATCTAAAAAACAAAAAGTAGAAATCTGATGATCAACTCTTAGAATAATTTTAATCCAAATCGTTAGATTACATGGGAGGAATTAGGATAGCATAATAAAAAGGAGGACTTATGGATTGTTATAGAAGGAAAAGTGTACGATGTGACAGATTTCTAAGATGATCATCCAGGAGGTCCAGCAATTCTGTTGGGAAAAGCAGGAGATGATGCAACTGCCGCATTCCATGATGCAAATCATTCTCAGAGTGCTTACAAGTAATTAGAAAAATTATAAGTGGGTGTTATAACAGGTATAAATAATTGAATAAATTTAAAGGAGTTAAACCAAATTTGAGTGGTAGTGGATCAAGTACAAATTTGATATTCGTAATTCTATTGATATTGGCTATTGGAGCAGGAATATTTGTGATTACAAAATGAGGGTTTGGATTATCATAAATTATAAATATAATATTATGAATAATTTAAGAGCATTACTATTTAAAATCTAAAATTCCTATATTCATTTAGGATAATACAAAGGACTGTGTTTAGAATTTGATGAAAGTATGAATGATCTAATAAGAATTACTTGCATATTTGTCTGGCTCGGAGACCATCGACCATTTCTTATTGAGAAAATTAATTGTGGAGATGGAGAAAGAACGATTTGGATCAACAATAACGATAACTAAGGCTCTTCAACAACTGAGTAAGATTAGACAGAATGATAATATTTATTTATAGTCGATCTTAGGCATTGCTGCAAGGCATAATCTCTGCCAAGCAATTCCGATGAAAGTTGATTTAAGCAAAATAACAGCTTAGAATCTAGTACCTGATTTGCTCTTGTATTTGTCCTTGACTGAGAATAGTGGACTGGTTGAATTCTGTCAAAAGCAACCCATAAAACATCGGAAAATGTATTATTACTTACAATACATGTTACCACATGAAACCAATTACAAGAAGGGTCAGTACATTTTATAGGAATCCAGTATGTAGAAATAATTCGAGGAGACATTGAATGAGCCATACGTCAAAGAGTACGAAGTGGGATTACACCATTGCGATTTCTTCTTGCCAAATTCGAATACGATAGTGGAGGTGAATGGATATAAACATTACATTCACTTCAAGGAGAGGAAGACTGGTCAATACCAGTAGAAATATAATTACCTGATAAAGAAGGGATTTAATGTTAGAGAAATAGATAATAATGATAACCGTATATGATTTATGTATTCACCATTTGAAATGTTAGCATCCACACTCTTTCATATAATTAATAGATTGCTATGGGTCTTTGGCATTTACAACTATTCATAATATTTATAGGATATACTTCCACTGCCAGACACTATTACATTGGCTCCTGCCTCATAGCAACTAATGACATTATCGCAATTCACACCACCATCGAGTTGGATATCAATTTTAGGATATCTTTGTCTCAGTTGAGTTACTTTGGGCAACATATCAGCCATGAATTTCTATCCACCAAATCCAGGTTCTTTAATTAGGTGATTTTATACCTACTGTCATAATCAAGATCATATCAAATAGTTATTTATCAAATATTTCTATTAAGGTGTGATCTATTAGTGTTTTTGGCTTTAAAGCTAATGCTGGTCTCATGCCTGCATTCCTAATCATTTATGACAATTCTTCAATGTTGCCAATGTCTGATTCATAATGCACAGTCATCTAATGACCACCTGCATTTGAGAGATCCTTAATCCATTTTCTGGGTTCCTATATCATGCAATGCAAATCAATGAATGTCCTATTTTACAATCTCTGAGTTAAACATTTTATGATGGGAGGTCCAAAAGTGAGATTGGGAACGAAGTGTCCATCCATTACATCCAGATGTAACCAATCCACTCCCATTTTCAATAGCTTATCACATTCCTCATAGAATATAGAAAAATCACATGTCAAAATAGAAGGTGCAATTTTTATCATTATTATAATTATATCAACCAGGTTTTAAATACATAATCTTAACTAATGTCTTTTAACACACTCTCCTCTTGTTAACTGCCACTAAACTATCCATTCAAAGTGTACCCCTCTTCTACAAGAAATACCTTCCCCTACTATAATTAAATCAATTAATTGTTATGTGTGAATTCCATAGTTTGACCAATCACAATTAAAGCAGTAGCATTTTGAATAGTCACTTTCTTATCTGCCAATTTCAGAAAATGGACTGTGCAATTATCATATTGGTTCTCATTCCCAGTTATGTTTGAAATTGAACTGGTAATATTATCATGGCATGGCAATTAATTCTTTGCCGTAAAAGACAATTTCAGAGGTCCCTTTTAATTATTCTACTTCTTAATCTTGGTCGATAAGAAATTGGCCATTCTCACCAGTTGATCCCTCTTTAGAACATCCTTAATGAGTATCCCCCATTCCAATTATTTTTCGAATGAACTGTCGATAGATTACACTTATTGATATCTCTTTTCTGCTTACTATGATTAATTGATAATCGAAGATTCATCTTGCACTATTTAACTCTCAAACTTTTAGGATTCATTTGCAGATTTATCTTGAATCTCATTGATATTATTTATCACAAACTACTCTTAGATCTTCGACATTGTATCATCCACTTACTTTTCTCCTATTGCCTCCTTAGCCACATCCTTTGGATCCACCAAATAAGGGCCCCATTTGACTGGTACCTTTTCCAATTGTTTAATTGCAATTTTCAATATGTCATCCCCCAATTTGAAGATGTTATTGGACCCTCTCATTTGGATCGGTATCAATAATTTTCTTGGGTTTCTAAAAACAAATTTGAATTCTGTGTCTCCCTCTTCTTATTACTCCTTAGGCACAATCTTATTATATTCTGCTGCCCTCACATAACCAACCATATCCACAACTCCAATCAACACTCCTGTAGGATAACGTGCTGGAAAAGGAGGCACATTATTCAAATTACCATACAATTATGAGTATTGATGTTCAATAGCAGATATCAATTCTGTCTCAGGCTATTTGGCTCCTGCATGAATCCACAAAGGACCCTTGTAATTGGTTCCCCACATTCTTCCTTCGATTCTCTTAAACCCTTCGACCACCAACTATGCCCAAGGTTAATGCATAGACAAACATCCAATTCCATCCTCTACTTTGAAAAATTATTCATCAAACATGTCTTACTGCTATTCTTAATTTACAACTTTGAGGAGTTCTTTTTAAAAATCTTGGAAATACTCATCTGTGAATTAGACACCACAAGTTGTTGGTTTGAACTATTGGTTATTCTGATTCATTTTATTATTCTTATTGTTCTACTTTTTTGTTTCCTTTTTAGTTTCATTATTTAAGTTAGTAATTATCTCATTGTACAATTTTTAATATTCCTAATTGTCTGCGAGATGCTAAGTCTTCGAATTGGCTTGATTCTTCTTCTTCTATGCCAAATCTGCCTCCTTTAGTAATTATTTCGCTTCGTCTCTGAACTCATCAGCCTATTTTGCATCACACTCTTTCTCCAATTTAAATTGCACTAAAACCTATACAAATTATTAGTTTACTTGTCTAGTAATCAAAAACCTGTTTTGTATTAATGGTTTATTCAGCATCAGCCTATTGCATTAATTTGATGACAGCTTAAGATCGAATATCTTCATTTTGCCAAACATCATCTACAATCTAATAATAATCTGCTTGATCATCGATAATGTTTGATTAATGAACATCTCGCCTATGAAAATCTAATAGTTTATCCTTGTGCATCAACGCCTTTGAATAAGCTGTCTTTGATTCCATATCGGGAAATTGTGAATCATCAATAACAATATCTCCTTTCTTCATGATTGGATTCCCACAAAACAAACATGGCCCTTCTCCTTCCACTGAACACACAATTCGACCACAACTAATACAATTATTTATTAGCTTATGAATCTGTGCCTCACACTAGCATTAGTTTCTACTCATATATTAATTTCTTTAATAATTACTTTTTAAAACAAAAATCAATGCTTAAATAAAAATGAAGTTTCTATATTTTAATACTCAAAATTATCCTATACATTTTGTTCCTAGATGTATAGTTTAATTGTAAATTAATAAGCCAACAAATTTATATTATAAAATAAATCTCGGCATTTTACTTCAATGATTGATATTCTGTTCAACTAAATCATGATGGCATTTCATTGATATTAGAAATTATTATTGTTCAATTAAGATCTCTTTATAGGAACTCTAAAATAGAATTTAATCGATTTTATTGAAGATGTATAAGAATGCAAAAGAAAGTATTAGATAATTACTAAGAATAGATTAAAATTAAGTTTAGCCATAGCTATAATAATTTTCAAATTTCCCTAATAATAATTAATATCATTTTCAATCTAATGAATTTAGTAACTAATAGTGTTGATTTAAACAACAAAATGTTTGAACAAAGTATAATTCTTATGAAAAAAATTGATGAATATATTAATTCATATAAAAATTGATTAATGCATATTAATTCATTTCAAAATAGATCAATATGATTAAATCATATCTAAGTTGATGAATGTGTGTTGAATAATATAAAATAGATTATACATCCATAGTCTCCAGGGATAAAAAGATTTTATAAATATAATATTAAATATATTAAATTTCCTTTAATTTTGTTTGTTATACTATATTAGTTGTTTTTTACCAAGATTTCTATAAGAGGAAGTTAAAATTTAATAAATAAAAATTTCAGGGATTATAAAATATCGAAAATTTAAAGTCATCATCTCTTGATTCTTTCGGTAATTCTTTGCTAGGTATTAAATATAAGCATTTTAATTATTCTGAATTAATATGATCTAAGATAAAATAAAAATCAGAGGTTGTTGGTACATTAATAGAAATTGGACAATACAATAACAAATTTTGGCAATATCTTTCATCATCTCGACTTTTATTTTTCTGATTCTTTTATTGATCATTTGGGAAAGTCAAAGCTAAATTTAAGAAATTCTAAAGGTGACCTCCCAAGAAATGTTCATGAGATAGACTTCTCAATAAATAAATAATATTTGGATATAATAACGCAGCCTTGAATAAATGATTCTTTAGACTAAATAACAAGTAATAACAACCAGAGCTATTTATAAATAACTGGATTTTCTAATTAATAATAACTACAATAAGAGTGTTAAATTTGAGAGTCCGCATATGTGCTTAAACAACATTTCTGCTCTCGATTCCTATTGTTTTTCATCAGCCACTACATGTGGAATATTTGGAGAATAGGAACCTGAAAAAGAGTATGAAGAAACTCAAAGCTTAATTGCAACAACTTTTATTTTGACATCTTTTCGTGTAGCTCTTGATCATACATTCAGCGCACCACTCTATTATTTCTCAGATAATAAACTCTTATTCTTCTGCATAACAGCTGGAGGCAAGTTTCCTAATTCATTCAAACCAAATGAAAGACCATATTATCTAGAATTTTTAAATTATACTAGTTAAGATACACCTGTGGATAGGGTGTATTTTGCAAGTCCTTACAAGATTATTGCCAATTATATAAGAATTCCCATGATTACATCCTTAATCAATCGCTATGATCGAATTGTAGGTATGGTAGCAAAAGATATTGATTTTGGATATGCCTCAATTGCGTAAAGCAAAAATACTAATACAGTTCTATATGTTATCGATATTGAAGGCAAAATCTATTATTCCATCATCTATAACTAGATCAACCTAGCAGTTTACTATTTTAATGAGACATAAGTAACTGGTTTTAATTAAACTGATTTTGAATAATTGATGAATCAACATCATAATAAGCCTCTCCAAAATGATTGTCCGCTCATTTAGAGTGACATCATTTTGTGCAGATTTAACTAAAAAACAAATTAAAACTAAATAATAAAGTCTTCTTAAATACAAGGATCCAATTTAATTTTGGTAGTTTTGGTGGAGACAAACAATATTATTGAATAATACGATAACAACTTAAAATTGATAAATCAATCTTAAACTCAAGCATCTGAATCGATCCTTATTTATTTAGTGGTCTATCCCATTGGAATCATTTTTCTAAGTAATATTCTTATATACATGTTATTTCGATAATTTAATTAACTCCTTAATCTCATTAACTAGAAAGTTTATTCTAATAGAAAGGACCTAGTTCTTGCTTAATTTCAATAAGAAAACCAATTTTTCAAATCATATGCTGTTACAGAGTTAATTGAAGCATGCATCAAAAAATTCCTAAATTTGGAGTCTTTTGGTAAGTCAAATACTTGTATAATTCAAGAAAACCTTAACTACCCGAAATATACTCATACTTAAATGAAATTTTAATAAAACCTTGTTCTGATTATGAAAATTTCTAATCTAAAACTAATTAATGAGCAAGAAACAAAAAGTACTATTTTCAACAACATAAATAATTTTATAAGTAAACAAAAATTATGATTTTATTTTATAATCTGATAACCAAGATTTTCAAATTATTTACAATTCCTATTTTATATTTTTATGATCAATTCTTAAAATATAAATGATAATCATTCATAACATTTTGCCACAACCTTACACCATAATCCATGTGTCAATCAGAAAGCCAAAAAAGTTAATTTGAATCAAGAATCTCTTTGATAGCGTGGAGCTTGCCTGAATTATAATACTTATATGAGCTCCTATAAAATAATTGAATCGAATGAATATTCATTATTATTTGATTAGACCTAAAAATCGAAAGCCTTTGGTAGAGTTTCAGTCATATCAGATTAAACAATTCAAATCATAATCAAGTTGGATTTCACAAACAAAAAATATAAATTTCAATTAAAAATTTATTGTGATTTTTTTAATATAATTACATTTGAACATATTCCTTGCAAATAATTATTAGCCAAATTTCAGTCTAAAAAAAAGTATGAGTTTATAAGCATTTTTAATACTCTCGTCAAAATTAATAATATCTTGAGAATGTTTACCAATGCCTTACTTTAGATACAACAAATAATAGACAATAATTATGATCTCTAACTTATCAAAGAGACTGTAATGAACTTGAAAAATGCAAACCAAGTAGAAATAATGGCTTTGATGGAGATAATTCTTTAATAAATGTCATCCTCATTTAATCATGAAAAAGAAGCGTAGTTTTTAGACTTGTTGAAAGAATTACAATATTTACTATAAAATAAATTTACAACTCTTTGTGTCACTAGCGCTAACACTAATAATTTTTTAGAGTACAAAAATAAGTGTAATTCCTAGAATAAAGGAATTCTATTACTAAATCATCAAGGATAATTTAGTATTATAATGTATTTATTTGAGTTCTATCGGATTAAATATCCAGAAACATTGTAGAATTAAATTCAAAGAAAGAACTTAAATAGAAGGACTTCTTCTCTCTTGTTAGCTAAGCTTCAAAAGGGAAACTAAAAAAGACGCTTCAAAAATGTTGTTTATTATCGAACGGAAAAAGTATGGATTCATTTTAATTGGCCATACATTCTGACAGAAACAGAAAGAAAAGTCTTAAATACTTAAATTAAATTGCCTCGAATAATAAAAAAGTTGAAAAGATTAAGGCTGAAAGTATAATCTAAATTTATATTTTAGAAAATGTTTAAGAAATGAAAAAAGAATAAATTTTGGTTGCAAAGTATTTAAAATCAATAGAAGTGACAATCTATTAAGCCACTCTTCAATTTGACAAGGAGTTTATTGAATAATTTTCAAAATCAGATGATATTATTTTGAGTAACTTGGATAGTTTGAATAATACAAATGCTAATTAATTAGCCATTTGTGAAGTGAAAGAAATAGATGAACAACTAAAATTTACAGAAAAAGAATTATTGTCAGATGATTATATCTCTAAACATGAAAGTATATTAAATATCATTACTCTAAGCCAAATGGGACAAAAGAGTTAAGAAAATGAAAGTTTAAAAATCTGATTGAAGATGACCAATATGAATTATTATAATATATAAAAATTATTATTAAATAATTAGTAATGTATCTATTTCTATTTCTTTATTGATTCAAAGAAGTGTATTTAAATTGAAAATGCATATTATTAAAGTATATTAATTTAAAATAATAATGAAAAAAATGGGAACAATGGGGATCGAACCCATGACATTAAGATCTTCAGTCTTACGCTCTCCCAACTGAGCTATACTCCCAAAGTTAATATAAACCTGATTTATTAGTTAATGAAATAGCTGATGAGATTATTGGCGAAAGTACTTTGGGAAGACATTATTTTAAAAATCAGAAAATTCTCGCCAAATCAGTTTATTGACTAGCAGTCTGTATAATGGTTTATTCTTAGAAGGTTTATTTAAAATTCAATTTGTGACTTTGTGCAAATCTAAAATCCTACAACTCACTTATATTATTATATTATTGTAAATCTCAAGTATTTTAATAATTTAAAAATGAATCAAAAAGTTTGGATTAGCATACCCAAAGGCATGAGTTCAATGCATAACAATGAACTAATGAAGTGTACTCTAAGTAAGAAGAATGGCAAATATAGAGTTTTATATTGTTACGATAAATATATATTTTATGGAAAGGTTTAGATGAATATTATTGATAGGTCGGAGTGATCGCAACAAAATACCTCAAACTAGATTTCGATATCAAATTTGAAATACTTTACTAATAAAGCAATAGAAATGGAGAGACAGATGATAGTTTAGGTTAAATAATTGGTATATAATTTCATTTTGATTATGGAAATGGAATGATAAGCTCAAAATTAGGAGGAGATGAAAATTAAATTAAGGAGTTGAGAAATTTCTTGCGATCGAGGATAAATTAATACAAATTTCATCAATATTTTAGAGTTTTTAAAAAAATTGGAAAAGGAAACTTTGCAACAGTATAAACGATTAATAAATAAAGGTGTACTTTACAGAAAGAATTGAAGATGGATAATAGTTTGCAGTCAAAGCGTTTTCAAAATAAGCAGCTTATAATGAAGAGAATGGAAAGGAGTCAATAATAAATGAAATTTAGATTATGAGGGAATTAAATAATCAACATTTAATGAAATTATATGAAGTATATGAAACTGAAAATTCCCTTTACTTGGTATTGGAATTGCTTTCTGGAGGTTCATTGCATGATTTGATAAGAGAAAAAAAGGGATTGAAATTGAAAGAAGTCCAACAATTACTATCCGGTATATTGTTAGGATTAGAAGAAATGCACTAGAAGGATATTATGCATAGAGACTTAAAACTAGAAAATATTCTATTCAAACAAAAGAAGTAAATTACATGTTTGATTAAGTTAATTGCAATCTGTTGTGATAGCAGACTTTGGGTTGGCGACTCATGTTAATGAAGCTAAATATTTATATTATCGATGCGGAACACCTGGATATGTGGCTCCAGAAATAATTAATTAGAAAGATTCAAAGCAAAAATATTCTTCAGTATGTGACGTATATAGTTTGGGTTTAATTTTTTATATTTTATTATCTGGCAGACCTGCCTTTATGGCTAAAACATATAGAATGATAGTTAAATAAAATAGAGATGCAGCAATTGATTTTACAATAAAACAATTAAAAAATTTGCCTGAAGAGACTATGGACTTATTGAAAAAAATGTTAAACAAGGATCCCAAATCAAGAATCGATGTTGCAAATTGTTTGAAGCATTCTTTCATTAATGATATGGCAAGACAGATTTAAGAGACAGAAATCAATGAGGATAGTGATAATGATTTAGGTTAGATTGATGAGGATGTCGATGTTGGAAAAAGGATAAATAAAATAAATTAACAGTATAATTTAAAAATTATTGTAGATATTTTGTATTTGAAGCTAGTAGACATTTGAATTCTCCAAATTCATCTTCGGATGACTCACCAGGAATCATCTTGAAAAAAACAACAAAAAAATAAAAGGAGATTGATTCTTCTATGATGTTATCTGGACAATCCCCTTTATTTAAAGCAAGAATTGATTCAATTGGAAGTGTTCAGTCTCTTGATATTTTATCCCCATAATTGACTTAACAATAGTCACCTGCAATTAAATAATCAAAGTTTGCTTAGAATAAATAAAAAGGTAATTAATCAATTCTCAAATATATCACAAATAATTGAAATAATGTGTTAGTAAATTATATTTATTATTATCCCATACTTGCGTTAGGATGATTATCTTCAAATCAACTGACGTCATTTCAAAGACTTTTTCTGCGTTTAATATGCCAATTCTTGGATTGAAATTCAGTGCCATTTGTAATAATCAAATAATTTAAAAATGTAAAATCAAATCGTTCATGAAAGTATTTCTGAAATGAAGAAATACGCAAAGGCGTTACAAGGAAACAAAAATTATGTTGCTAAAAAGACTGCAGAAGACCCTGAATACTTTAGAAAACTTTCACAAGGGTAAAATCCCAAATATTTATTGATTGGTTGCTCAGACTCTAGAGCTCCACCTAATGAGATTACAGAAACTGACCCTGGAGAAATTTTTATTCATCGTAATATTGCTAATGTAGTTGTTCCCACAGACTTAAATGTAATAATTTTTAAGAATTCTTTTAGATCAATTGTGTAATTCAATATGCCATCGAGCATTTAAAAGTTCACAATATTGTAATTATGGGACATACCTTTTGTGGAGGTGTTAAGGCAGCTATGAAATAAGATTCTGTTGGAGGATTGTTAGATTTATGGCTGAATAACTTGAAATTGGTTTATGAAAAACACCAAGAACTCATCAACTAATTAGAAGACGAAGACGATAGAGTTGCATGTCTAGCTCATATGAATGTGAGAGAATAAGTACTTAATGTATGGAAAAATCCAATTGTCTAAAAATCTTGGCAGGATGGACATCGTATAAATATTCATTTTATGCTTTTTAGCCGTCATGGTTCATGGATGGTTATTTAGAGTAGAAACAGGTTTTATTGAAGAATTAGAAATCGAAGAAAGTATCCCAACTAATCTATCGAAGGTTTTTTAATTGAATTTCAAACCTACCTAAACACATAAACCTAAGCAATAAAAAGATGATAATGAAGAAGAGAGATCTAGATCTCCTTCAATTAGAAAGAGATTCTAAAGGATGCAGAGTAGATTAGAAACTGAAATTAAAAGATTAACAATCACACTTTAAGATCCTAATTAAGAGGTTGAAAAGGATGTCATTGACTAAGTTTCAGAAGTATTGTAAAAGGATCTTGGAATTTAAAACTGAGGATCATTGAGTTATGGAATAATATAGATTATACATTCTATTTATTTATTAATATTTACAATATAAATCTCAATTAATTAAACAATTAGTCGAGAAATTTATTGATGGATTTAAGAAAGTAAAATTTACGAATGATATTATTTCAAAATAAAACATAAACGGTGTTTTAGGAATAATAAATTCTTTTGCTTCCATCATTTAATATCAATTATTGATTATCACTAAGTTTAATTAGAATTGGATAAACATAATCTTATAAGAATATCTCAAATCATATATTTATACTAATTTTGAATCTCTAATTCAAGAAGATCTAAATAACTTAACATAAATAAAAACAAAGAAAAAAATTTGAAATTTCATAGTTATCAGATATATTATATTACACTGATACAAAAAGATTCATAAATCTAAACGTTTACCAATTTTTTCAAGAAGTTAAGCTTCTGTTAATGTTTACATCTCTTCATAGAACTAATTAAAATCCATGTTTATGTCTTTGAATTCTAAATATGGATTTAAACAAATAACTAAAAACCATCCTAATTACAATAAATCCTTGTAAACAGGATCGGTTTCTTTGGTTTGCTTAATAATAGATTTAATAATTTCTAAACATTCTTACACCACTTATTAATATAATTATTAAAAGGAAGCATTTTAATCAAAATTAACATCTAAAACTGACTTAATTTTTGATGCTCTTTTGTTGTCTGGTTGTGCTAATTCTTTTTCAATAATTTATTTTTCTTTCTTGTAAATTTCTAAATAAAAGTCCTCTGTATGTTTGATATCATTTTTAGTAACAGTCAATATCTTTTTATATTCTTAACTGATTAAATATCTACCCCAAGTTTCTCTATCAAACTTTTCTGGGTTCTTGGACAATAATTAATCAGACATCCTTTTGAGATGCACATTTTGATTTTTGGAGATGCAAAATATTGTTGTATAATAGAGTTCTTAATTCAATTTCAAGATTCCTAAATGTGACATCTTAATAATCTTTTGGATGACATAATTAAAGAAGAATGCAATGTTTCTTTCAAACAGAAAATACGTATTGTATTTTAACATAGCCTTGCGTCTTTTTTGCTCAGTGTCATATTGGTTAATAAGTTGTAATCCCTAATAACAAAAGATCGAATACTTTTTCATGATTAATATCATCAATAGATTGTTTTTCTTCATTGCTTTAAGTGGATTAAGGAGTTGAAGGTTCTTAAACGATCTAATCAGGTTAATCAAGATATCCCACAACTAAATTCATTTCCATATAGAGTTTGTTTAGACTTTCAGAACGAGACAATTCATCTTTTTCTTTCATCAGTTATTCTAAGTTATTTTTAATTTATGCCTCTTAGATCTGAATGATTTCATGATGAAAGATTTATTCCCATGAGAATCTATCCTAAGAACAGTTTAAAATCAATATACCTTTTCTTATACAACAAGCATATGTCTTAACAATTGCTTTATTTTATCACTTCTAACAGGAGCATCTGGGATAACTAAAGCTGTTTTCTTAATATTCTGCAATAGACTATATTAGTTATCTCCATCCCAAGGCGGCTTGCCATACAACATCTCAAACAACATAATTCCCATAGACCAAACATCACATTTAGATGAAAATGGCTGACCTTCAAGTATCTGTGGGGCCATATAAAGAGGCGATCCAACTCTTGAAAAGTAAGCGGGATCTAATTTAATGGATATATGTATTACCGTTCATTCCAGTGTCAATGACTCTTGCAAAGCCAAAATCGGTAATTTTAGCAACTCCTTTATGCAATAATATATTGGCTGGTTTGATATCTCTATGAATAATTTTCAGTTGGTAAAGTGTTCGAAATCCTTCAACTAGATGCTTCAAAAAAATTACTGCTTCAACCTAAACAATTAGAAAGAGAAATACTTCGCTGAGCCTTCTCCCATATTTTGTTGATAAATACTTTTTTAAGTCTCCATCATGACAGTACTCCAAGAATAGGTATAAATAATGGGGTGTTCGAGCAACATCATATAATTTAACAATGTGCGGATTATTAGCTTATTGTAAGATTGAAATTTCTCTTTTGATATGTTCCACCATCTTGGCAGAATCCTTGATACTCTAGATGATAATTTATTAATTATTACAGCTATTGAAATTGCTTTAACAGCAACTTGCTTCGTTTCATCATTTTTCTTAAAACCTCTATAGACAGTACCAAAGGCACCATTTCCTAGTTTTGTGTTGACTATGATGTATTTGTCAATTTATTTGGTAGACCATTCTTCAGACATTTCTTTGTATATTTATAATATTTCTCTGTTTGTAAAATTTATTCATTGTTATATAACAAGACTTATGGATTCTAATTTGAAACGTACAGAACACGATTAAAAAATTAATGTATTTATTATACTGTATTGACATTAATCTACTCAATCATCAGATCATTCTTTTTGCAAGATCGTTGATAAGATCCTCTCTATTTCCCCAATCTCCTTGATTGATAAATGATCTTCTTTTGGCAATGAATCCTCCTCTTGGTCCTCTTAATTTGAATGCCCTATTTCATTGATAATTACATTTCCTTACCACAAAAATCTGTTAGCTTCCTTGAAATGTGCTCCCACTGTAGTGATTTCATGAATAAGATCTTCAATTCCATGAATACCATATTTTCCAAGTTATTAATCAATTATTGTGTTTGAGGTCAATGGAATTCTTTAACCATTGACTTTGGCATATCCTCTCTTGTAAATCAAGTTCTTAATCACTGTTCTTGAAGGATATCCATAAGTGATGTATGGTTCTACTTTTCGGATCATTTCAATTGTTGCTTTGTTGATTCTGACAAAAGCTGCATTATGTAATTGTCTCAATTTCAAAAGCCTAAGAGTTTGTCTCACTTATGGATTCAACGTGTTGATACTAATTTTAATTCTAAATGCTTTACCCTCTGATTCTAATGACAAGAATCAATTTAGCTTCAGCTGGGACATAGAATCCACCTTCGCTCTTTGCCTTACGAATGTTATCAACTAAACTCTTTTCTGTTGCCTTATATTCTGCTTCGTAAGCCTAAGCACTCTTTTCTAATTATGCTCTTCTAACTTTATTCTACCCTAATCTTTCTGCTCTTTTTTTAACAACGAGGTCTCTTAATTTTGAATCTCTTTATGTTTTCTTAACAATACTTTCTGGTACTTTTTATCTAACATTATTATAATTGCATACTCCACTTATATTTAAGCCTTCTTTTATGACATTTTAAAGAATATTTAAAATCTTTAATTTTAAAATCAAAATCACCTTTAATTTGTGACAATTAATTATTTATATAGACTTCATTTCTCAATAAATAAATAAATAAATATTAAGCGATGCCTTTTAATTTAAATTCCTGGTACTCCTACTTCTATCAAATTCTTAAGATAGCTCATCATAACAATTCTTTATTATTATTCTTTTTCAAATAATAATTTCTATTTATGTTAAGGATTACTTCTTATAAAATAACGTTTATTTATTAACATAATATTTATGATAGTTTTCTGCTATAAAGTGTAAATTGAGAATGAATTGTATGTTTTCGAATGATTTTCAATACAATCAAATTTAAAATAACCAGTTTTTAATTCTTCTTAGAAGAATCTTTGACATTGGTTATGAGAGCTAATCTTTAGAAAAATTAATTTTGAGATTTAGGAATTTTCAATTAGGAATACAAATGATCTCAACAAGTCTTTCTTCATTAAATCAAAATCTGGAAAAAGTATATTGTCAATATCTAGGAACCCATTGAGTTGGAAGAATTATTAGTAAAATTAACATAATTTATAATGATAATAACTAAAAGAATAGATACTATTTAGTTCTTATGTTTTTTTACTTCGAAATTTAAATAAATTATTAAATTAACAATTCAATATTTTTAATTATTTATTGTAATTTATACATGTAGTCCACGAAAATTTAAATTTATAAAGTATTAACCTAATGATTTTTACAAATACACTAAAATAAACTTGGATTTAATAAAGTTAAAATTTTGATTTGGTTTTTATATAAAATTTTGAAAAACTTAAGATTAGATAGACAATCGATAATGAGAAAGTATTTGTATATTAAATCACTAAATTATTCTACTAGATCTTACCACATATTACACCCAAAAGCTACTAATTAAGTTTTTGTAATACATTAATTAAAAAAATTATTTCTTAAATTCTATTATTTTTTCATTCACTAAAGAATTCTTATACATCAAACTAATAATATAAATGAATTACAAGTTAAGTTTATTGGTATTAAAGGATTAATTTTAATAAAAAGAATTAGGAATTAAATTCTTAGTAGATATGAAAAAAAATTAGATAGATATGAATACCAAAATAATTCAACTTTGTTAATTGTTTCAATTAATATATGAGCATATGTCTTTAGATTGTTTATACATGGTATATGCTAACTAAGAAAAATGATGATGATTTTATGAAATACTTAAATCTTACTAATGCAAATGCATCTTTGAAAGATCTTCCTCAAATTACATGATTTACACTAATTGCTTATTGTAACACATAAACTATGAATTAAAAATTTTTTAGTAACATGATATATATTTATCTTAATTTTATTAATGAAATAATAAACATATTAAAGTAGCGTGATACAATTAGCAGCCCAAAGCTCTGAAAGAATAAAGAAATATATCAATTCTAATCATAATTCAAGCTTTGTGAAAAGTATCTCATTGGAAAAAATTAGGTATTAGAAGTGGAAGCATTCCATTATTAAATCCTGAATTACATGAATTTGTTAATCGAACCCATGATCCCAATCCTCCAATTTATAATAAACGATATAAGCCTGCTAAAATAAGAGCATAGGAAGCTTAAGAAGAATTTAATAATAATCATCTTCAGGCTGGGCCATACAATTGCTTCCCTAAAAACATGAGAAATGAAATCTTGGCTGCTGAATAAATGCCTATGAGATATGGTAAGAACCCAAGAACAGAGAATGAAAGGCTTTAAGAAAAACTGGAAAATACTTCAATTATAGATCATTCATTCAGAAATGTAACAATGATCTCGAAACCTAACTGGAAAGCTACTATGAAAGAGAAATGGATGAGTCAAGATACATTTAAGTCATAATCTGCAAATTTCAATTCTAAACAAGCTTGGAGTTAGATACCTTATCGCAATCCAGAGGATAATTTTATTTATCTTGAATAAGAGAATTCTCAAATTGATTTTAAAAGGTTCCGATAGTAAGAATTAGAAGCATCAGGAAAGTTGCCTTTTAATCCTGTAATAAAGAAAAACCCTTACACCACATATTCCACAAGCCTACGTACATTTAAATAAGATGAAGCATTTGGCATATAAGAAAAAACTATGTTCTCGCAAAACACTTAATTAAAATATTATAAAAGCGCCCTTGTTTCAACAAAATCAGTAGATCATCTAATGCCTTACAATCATAGTAATAATATCCAAGCTCTAAAAAACATTTTTCCGAATGCTGAAAAATAATATCCCAAATAAAAAGATATAAATCAGAAACTCTAGATTTAATCTAAAGATGAATTTCCTAAACTTCATTAAGATTAGCCATCTCCAATTCACGAATAATCATAACCAGAATATATTATAAAGACAAATTTCGAAAAAACCAGTGTTCCCTTAAAAAAAGTATACAAACCATTTAAACCTTATTCTGAAGATGAAGCCAAATAAATAGTGGATAAATATTTTTGCAAATAATCGTTTTGATTTTTGATTATAATGATAATATTATAAATTATTTATATAGGATTATGAATCACTTGAATCTATTTTGAGATGCACAAACATTATCTTCTAAAGAACTTAAACTTGCATGCTTTAAAAGCCTTTAAAGAATATCAGTCTTATTGCTTTATAATTCTTTACAAAGTCTTATAATAATGATCACCCTAGCAAATTAAAATTCTATGTATAAAATTACTTGAATTATGTATGCTAATATTTAAATACTCTCAAAATTTGATAGAATTCATTTAATTTTGATATTTCTTCAAATAGATTCTAGCGCGACCGCTTACAAGTTTCATTTGATGATTCAGATTAGATTTATTAGCATCAATAAATAGACTAAAAACTATTATAATAAAAGTATTTACTATCAATGGCACATCTAATTATGTGAATGTTTCAATTGAGTCTATTTTAATTAACTTCAATTCTGATAACAAAATATCATCCAAAAGCTTCATTTTTGTTATAAATTATTGATAATAAGAGGCAAAGCATATTATTGAAATAAACTTCAAAAGAAAAAGTAAACTATATCTGTGAATATTTTTTATTTAGTGCTTAGTTAAAGATCATTCTTTGATTCTAGATAATCATATTCTTTTTATGTGCTATTTTATATATAATATGTAAGATAACATAATAAAATTCTAAATTTTTTTTAATGTAAGAGTTTCATTGTTGATATTTTTTATATCCAAATAAACAATTACAAAAAAATATAATGAAAACTTATAGTGATTAGCAACAAAAAGACTTTTTAATCAACTTTTAATGAACCTTTTCGAGCATTTTCAGAAAATAAAAATAATAAAATTATTTACATAAATTAATTGTTATGTCCTGTAAATATGAATTGTTATCCTTTAATAATTTTAAACAAATTGATATTTTATGGAGATGAGAATTAATAATTAACTAGGCAAACAATGAGATTTCAAAAAATGTTAATAAGTGGATTTATAATTTGCAAATACTTTTTTTTCTATTAATTTAAGGTTAGTTATCAAATCATATTTTCACTATTTATGATTTGATTTGTCTTGGTACAATTTTTGCAATAAATAAAAAATAACCTCCATTATGTGGGTACAAGCGATGAGCAAAATGATCTGAATGATTTATTAATTTTAATCATTACCTTTAACTCCTATGAGGTTTCAATAAATATTAAAATAATAAATATTGGTTTGAAGATTGGATTCCTGAGTTTTTCTTGTTTTTTGAATTTTACTAAAAATTTGAATTATATTTAAGATTAAAATTAAGTTTAAATAAATCTGATTGTTTTGAAATTTCAGTCATAACTTGGAGAGAGTTCAAATCTTGAACTAAAGTATAGGGTGAAACTTAAAATTTCATATCAATTCTAACATACAATTTAAAGTTGATTATATGCACTGTTTAAGGTGTTCTTAGAATTTAGCAATAAATATGAGTCTTAGCAGCATGAAAAGTATTTATAGAATAACCTCTTTGTAGTAAGAGATTCAAATTATTCTTCTTGCTGTCTGAGTATTGCGTTTGATAAATATTATTATCCAATTCTTTTTCGCATCCTTAATAAATATAAAATTGATCAAGAAATAAAATAAATGACCAAATCTTATCACATCAATTTTATAGAATAATTCTATTGCTGAGGGACTTAAAAAAGTATATATCTGCTTTTCAAATATAATTAACAAAAGTAAATATTTTTAATTTGCTTTTTCCTAAATTTGATAAAAAACATCAAATTAATTAGGTTGTGAATTGCATTTATTAACAGTGTTATATTAAAATTATAGATGGAAATTATTTTTGTGGTTTTTTCTTCATGTTGATCTGCCGTTTACTCACCATACTAAAAATTATTAAATTAAATTGTTTTTCTATCACTTAGGAGCAATAATTTATAAAACAATTTTAATTGAAAACTCATAATAATACTTAAATTAATAGAAATGGGAAATATGTGCTCAAGTTGCCAAAACAATAAAAAGAGAATTAGGTAAAGAGTATATCGATAATTTGAATAGGCCTCATTAACAAGACCAATAAGATTACAAGAAATTGAATTACAATACAATCCAAAAATATGAAACGTTCACCTATTTAGAATAAAGTCATTACTTAAAATGGTTAGGAAATTATGGTTAGAATAATTAGAAGATTGGAAATTGGACAGCGGCATGGAATGGAGTGATATTAGACAATGTTGGCGGTTAGTACTCGGAGGATGGGAAAAAAAAAGGTTAATGGAAAGAATTAACAAAGATGTTTTGGAGGTATTTAAGAATTAAGAAATTATTATAAGAAATGCTCAAGTTTATATAAGCGGAGAATACTGTAATGATATAAAAAATGGAAAATGGATATATCTCTATGATGAAAATTTGATGTTTGATTATTGAAATATTAATTAGTGGAGGTGGGTCCTATAATAAACAAGGACTGAAGAATGGCAGATGGGTTGATTTAAGTGATGAGTTTTAGCGCGATTCACAAATTATTTACAGTGGTGAATATAAAAATGGTAAAAAAATTGGTAGATGGGATATATCGTATAGAAGGAGTGATCAATTTGAAAAAATGTAAACAAACCTAATTAAATATAATTTTAGTGGTGGAGGATCATATAATGAAAATGGGGATGAGATTAAGTTTGGTAACTGGATTGAGTAGGGTGAAGGGTTTAGATTAGATTCTTAAGTTATTTATAATGGATAATATAAAAATGGTAAAAAAGTAGGCAAATGGAATGTATTGTATAGAAAATAATACGAAAATGAATTTAAATAGATGTACATATATAATATAGAAAATTTATTATAGTGGTGGAGGATTATATGATGATGAAGGAGGCGAGATTAAATTAGGCTGTTGGATAGAAGTAGCTGATGGATTTGACAAATATTCTTAATTTACTTATTAAGGAGAGTATCAAAATGGGAAAAAAATTGGTCGATGGGATATTTGGTATAAAAAGCCTTATTCTGCCGATAAGAGCGAGTGGATGTATTAATATTATATTTAAAGCACATAATAAATATTTAATAGTGGAGGGGGATCGTATAATGAAACAGATTAGGTTTAGTTTGGTAGTTGGATCGAAGTGTCTTCCGAATTTAATTATTATTCTTAAATTACCTATAGTGGAGATTATTTGAATGGTACAAAAAATGGTCGATGGGATATTTTATATCGAAAATAATATGAAAATTAATTTAAACAAATGTAAGGGTTATGAAATATTTTAAGTGGTGGAGGATAATACAATAAAGATGGAAATAAATTGGGGGATTGGGTTGAAGTATCCGAACAATTTTCTTTTGATTCTTAATTAACTTATAGTGGAAAATATTTAAATGGTAAAAAAATTGGTTTATGGGATATATTTTATAGAAGGAGTAATCAATTTGAAAAAATGTAAGCAATATTTTTATTACAATATACTTTTAGCGGAGGAGGATCATATGATGAAAGCGGAGACGAGAAAAAGTTTGGTAACTGGATGGA